GCCAACTCTGCCATTCTCCAAGAAGCCCTAAAGACACAAGAAGCTGTAGTCAAGATCATCCACGAAGACTACGGCCCAGCCCTGATCTCTTCCTTTCGCTCCTTCCTCGACCAAACACCCCTCAACGTCATGGTCTGTGGGCTCTTGCCTCTGGAGGATCAAGCAATGGCTGGAGGACCACACCTACCTGAGAACCCTCTCAGAGAAATGTCACAGCAGGGCCAGGAAGAAAGGACCGGAGCTCGAGCCGGAAGAAGTGGAGAGGCTAGTGGAGATGTTGAGTCGAGGTGTTGCAATTGCTGGGAGAAGATTATACTGGGCCAAGGTCGAGAGCACTTCCAGGCTGTCATGGATGCCCTCTCCGCCATCCCATTCAATGGCTCTCCCAGGGACTGGCTCGATTTCTTCACCCAGGCATGAGGTGATGCCGCTGGAAGAGCCCTCTTCTATGCTCATCAGACAACAAGAGCTCTACTGGCAACTCCCTTTGTCACAGTACCTGTCTCTGCCCTCAGCAAGAGAGAACTTGGTGGGCTTGTTCCCATCGATTGGCAGCATCCCCTTCATCAGTTCACCTGCTACCGATGTTCATGCCTTGGACATTGGTCAACTGACTGCCCAACTCACGGTCACAACTAACGCTGAGATTCGCTTGTGGGTCGTCCAGGGCCTCTACCTGCCTTCGGAGGACCTCAGGCCTTGAGGGGGGGGTGATGTTATGCTGCACTCACATTCTTTCCCTTTACAGACTCTTACATACTACGTTTGCACCCTGTCCTGCCTTCGGGGACAGTCTCGGGCCCATAAGTCACTACCTATGCAGACAGACTTATGTTCCATATGCTTTCCCTTTCTCTTTCCTTTTATGGTAACCCCCTGTCAACCCATGTTGTACTATAGCCAGGCTATGCCTATTTGCCCTTCCTCCCATGATCTGCTGGTGGCTCTGACCCATGTGGTCACATGACACATTCACCCCAGGTGAATGCTCCACCTCTGACTCGTTACATGGTTAATCCCTCTATCACGGACCAATGGTTTGTCGTTTACCCCTGTTCCTTTCCGTCTGCAGTCGGGCTGCACTTGCACCCACCACTTGGGGAAATGGTGAGGGTTTAAACTATGTTTTCAAATGTTTGCAGTACGGTACTGTACATATGTATATAAGCCTGCATGTATCATACTGCTCCCCCATTCGAAATCTACTTTGCAACCACCCTTAGCTCTGCATGCTGTACCTCAAGGACTCACCAGTATGACTTCAGTTGGCCAAGACTAGTGTACCACCGCTAGTGAAGTTAAATAACATGTCACTTCTCGTGCAGTCATGTGCTTGTGCATCACACTCGATTTGTGACATGACATGAGTTGTCGGTGTAACAGTGTGTGTACAGCCAACCACTTGATATCATCCAGGTGGACCTTGGCCTGGAAGAATGCATTGGTCATGTCTAGCTTAGCAAATACTTGCCCTTGGCACAATTGTGAAGAATCTCATCAATGTGAGGTAGTGGGTGATTATCAGGGACAGTGTTCAAATTGAGTTGTCTGAAATCATTCACCCAGCATGGCAATGCCATGGGGTCTGCCTTTGGGATGATGAACACTGGTGAGTGTGTGCTATTAGAAGGGTGCAAGTGCCCTGCACTGAGGTGTTGTTGCAGTAGCATCTTCCAAGCCTCATGGTACTTTTTTGGGCAATCATATGACCAAAGTTGAATTACTTTGTTTGCATCTTTGGGCTGTACATGGAAAAGAACATCATCAGGTAGCACATCAGTGGGTGGGATGTCCACAGGGAAATGGTCAGCAAACTCAACCTTGAGTCATGCATTGTGCTTTGTCAGCTCCTCAGCCACAGCAAGGACCTCAATATGGTGTTGTACCATGCCAATCACATCTACCCCACAAACTGAGGTGGATGCCACTTCTGCAATCTCACAATACCTTGGTAAAACACTTTGCAACTCTGTAAGGACATCACCTTTGATCTTCTTAACAGCCTGAACAGAAGGGGTCACCAGTGAAGAAGGAGAACACAGGGCTTGGGGGATTCATTAAGTCATGGCCAGTATCTTTACTGATACAAGTGCAGAGAGCATGATCAATGATGAGCTTATTATGAGAGAGAAATGGAAGGCCCAACAAAAGCAGGGTACATAACCCAGACACAACAATGGTGCAAACAGAGTGTGAATGAAAATCCAAGTCAGAAGAAAGGCAGGACAAGGTAACATAATTTCTCAATGACATCACTTCCTGATCACCAGAAGAAAGGGCAACTGAGACATTGAAAGACTTGTGCAGTTGACAATGCCAGAGACCAAGTTTTGCAATGAGGGACTCATCAATCAGTACTAGATGAGAACCACTGTCAATAAGTGCCTTCACAGGAAGGGGAAAGGTCAAATTAGGTCCTTCAAGAAGACAGGACCATTGGAGGTGGGGAACTGAGAGAAGTGTGATGTACTCTTCACCTGAGTCAGTGCCATCCCCAAGGGCAGCTGAAGGCATGACAACAGTGATGGCTTCAGTGTCATTGTCAACTTCAGTGATGCAGGCATGTTTCATTGCTGGTTCCTCTTTGATGACAGCAGTGACTGGCTTCACACATTTCTTTTTAGCAGCTTTGACATCAGCAGCAGTCAGCACCTTGTAGTTCTTAGCATCCAGGAAGTCATTTGGACAGTTATGCATGGCATGATTTTGGAAGAGACAATGGCACTTGAAACATCCAGAATTGTCAGGGCAGGGGGAAAGGTGTGAGCATGACCATCTGGTGCCTTTGAGCTCCATGCAGTAGTGTTGACTGAGTGACTAGGGTGAAGGGGCTTCTTATGAAGAGCTGCATCAAGTTTGGCCACATCATGGATACATTTCTCATCAAGAAGACAGACCAAATCAAGCCAAGCATGAAACCTTTTCTCATGGCAGGCAGCAGTCAAACAATATTCTGTGGTGAGGTCTGGGTGCATATGTGACTCTAAGTGGAAGCAGAGATGATCTTTGGTAAGACAGAATTCACTTCCTTGCAGAAAAATGTTCAGGCTTTCTACCTCAATGGCCCACAGATGGAAGGCCTTGTTACCCTGTGTTGATGACAGCATCTTCTGCTGGATAGCTTCTGCCCAATCACTGGGGAGCCAATATGTATGAACCTTGTCCATAAACCCAGTGAAGGTCAGAGCAGTTAGCTGACTACCATTGTTACTGATCCAATCCTGTACACAAGGATCCAGAAGGTGGCCAGCAACCTTGGTGACCTGAATGTCTTCTGCTATGCTTTTCAGCCAGAAGTAGTTCTCACAACCTAACTCCCAGCTACACAGCCCTTCCAGGGTAATGTCACCCACTGTTAAGAAGGGAGGGGCTTTTCTGGGAGTAGTATTCTTGCATCATGCTATCAGGGACTGCACTGAAGACATTGCAATGGCAAGAAGTATCACAGTAAAGCTGTTGGATGACAAAGAGCTGTCTGTTGAAGTAGGAGATGGTGGGAGGGACACTGGTAGGGGAATATGCAAAGGAGAGGTGGGCAGAGACAGAGTGTCATCAGGTAGGGCCATGAGTGGTGACATAGGTGGCAGGGGAAGAAAGACAGCAGACAATGGGGATGACAAAGATGAAGACAGTGGCAATGACAACAGTGTTGCAGGTGGAGGGTTATTCCCTTGACTATGAGTAGTCAAGGGTATGGGGACAGAGGGGACATGACAAGACAGCAGCTTGACACCTTTACCAGGTATCAACATGCACTATGGCATGTTCAAAAAAAGTGGAACTCACTGTGGTAGGGGTGAGCACACTCAGGACAAATAACAACAAGACAGAACATGGACAGGCATGTGGGATTGAACAACCAAGCATACTCTCTGATACAAGATGATGGAGAGAGAAAGAAAGAGGGAAAAGAAGATATTATCCATGATGCAGACAGCACCAGTATATATATCCCCAGTGTCCAAACAACACAACACAGCAGGGATCCACATGCCCAGACAATGTGCAATAGGAGACATGATAGCATGATGTGCTAGCAGTAGCATCATGAGTGGTGTGTGTTAGTGGTAGCAGCATTGACAGCATGAGTGTGGCATGTTTAGTGGTAAGCAGTATGCTTACATCATCCTTGCCATTGTTGGTGTCAGCTTGGCAGTGCACTTCTTCCACCATAGAGTCTAAGTGTAATGATAACTGCATATGTGGGATGGACTATGAGCCTTGCCCTAGTAGGACAGTACTAGTGGTATCTCTTAAGCAATGTGACAAACTGGCTACCTGCTTCTTGGTGCAACAATGACAATGCTCATCTAATTCATGATTTACTGTACATATCAGAAAGTACTATTAATGGAAGGTACTGGGAGCCTTTGCTACATGAAGGGATATCATCAATCCTATTTCTCCCCAGCTAGGCAGTGTTGGAGATTTCTAAACCCCCCTTCCAATGCTCCCAAATTGGGACATGTTTAGACTCATTCCAACCAAATTAGCCACAGATTCCAAGTTCAGTTACATAATTGACACGCCTCGCCTTTTGTCCAGGCCGAAGCACCCTGGGTGACACAGGGTGACATGCAAGAACTAAAAATTTGTTATCCCCATCCCACAAATTGCATGCTTCAGGTATTCCACAGTTACTTCGAAAAAACCAGGTATATACATATCAGCAATGCTTCTAGCCAAGCAAGCCGTAGCAGACAATCCTTTAGCTCCGGGAAAATCTGATAGTTCCGCTCACGGAATCATACACTCATCATGGACCCATACCTACCGCACCTGGTTCATACGTCCTAGGTGCAGACGAAGCGGATCGAGGCCGCTTTCTCGGACCCCTCGTTCATGGCGCTGCTTACTGTCTAGTTTCCTGGAAGGCAGAACTTGACAAACTCGGGTTTGCTGGTGAGCAAACATCACTTGGAACTTTCCAGGCTGCAACTCCGATCCTTCCACAGATTCCAAGACTTTGATCCCGTCAAAGGGTACCGAACTACCACTGGACGTACCCGAAGAATCTGGGCCGGTCAGTGCGCGTAGTTACGTACTGGTCTTGACTTTCCTACAGCAAGTTAATTAATAGTTCCTAGTCCCTGGGCAATATCCAATGGTATGTTAAAGGTTCCTCCGACGAATTTGAACAAGCAATCACAAGGTGCGACAAATCTACTCGTTCGTGAAGTGCTCCAGCGGGGCGTACAACTCTCAGAGATGCACGCTACTCTGCGTTCTGCAGACAGCTTCCGGCTGGATCTCACATTGTGCAGGTATATGTTGATGCTTTAGGAACGACTACGACTCTACGAGACCTACTTATCTTTGTTATTCCCGGAAATCCAATTCACTGTCACCCAGAAAGCGGACTCGAAATTCAAGATTGTAGGCGCGGCCAGTGTTGCCGCAAAAGTGACCAGGGACACGTGCATAGAATCGTGGACATTCGAGGAGCTTCAGAACATAACAGCTGATGAGAGTTTTCGGTAGAAATTTCGGAAACGATTATCCGTTAGGTTGACTGGTTTGTTGTTATCTGGATCGTATGCTTATATGCCTCAGGTCCAAAGACACAAGAATGGATGAAGGATACACTCCACCCAACATTCTGCTTCCCCTCGATGGTACGATTCTCGTGGATGACAGTGAAGGTTATGCTGGATAAATCTGCACATCCGGTGAAATGGTACGTGAGTGAGGCGTTCCTGGATTACTATAGAGGTCTCGATAAACGAATCCAGGATTGATGAAGGACGGGAGCCTTCCATCGCTGCGTTTGGCAATGGTAGAAGCAGAGATAAAGACCGAATTATCGTCGCCAAAGATCCATGTCTACATAGCGTTGGCATAATGTGATGCTTGGCGCGTTTCCTTCACACAATCAGATGCACAGTCAGCAGGCAGATCCCTCTTGAAGTGACCTTTCGAGCTATTTCACGCGATAGTCCTTGCCTCATAGCGGTTATGCAAAGGGCCACCAAGCATTCTATATTCGTGTTATTTATAGCAGGGTCAAACATTCTCAGTCTGTGATACTAACGTGATATTTCTTTCCTATTGCTACAGATGCAGTGGTGCGGTATCGAGAACGCCACTAATACAACGGCCGCTGGACTCTCAAAATTCTCCGTGCTGGGCCAGAGCTTCCTGAGCACGTTTGTGCGCTTCACAGTTGGCTGAGTACATGCGTTGGAGGAACGAAAGGAATGTAGACTAACCTTCGTGTTTAGCGCGTTGTTTGTCGACCTCATCCATCCCTTTGGTCTCGGCGATTCGGTCAATGAACCCGCCAGTCAGAGCCGCCCTGCATGTCGTAGATTAGAGGCGAACAGGGTTCAGGTATCAAGCAACATACAAGAGCTCGACTGCCTTCTCATGGTTGACTGGTTTGCCGTTCTTTGCAACGTGATGCTCGTAGGCCTTCGCCGCCTGTGATGGATGTGGTTAAACGAACGTTGTCTATCGTATTGTCTCATACCTCGTACGACGCGGCGGCGGCGATGAGCTCGTGAGAGAGCTTAGCTGTGTGGCCACCCCCACTCAACTGCTTGTGTGCGGCTGCTTCTGCTGAATTTTCTGTGAACCACATGTTTGTTGTGTTGATTTCTGTTGATTTAGCAGTGTGTTAAAACCTGGGGGTTTATATAGTCCTCTTGGGTGCCTGGGACAAGTGAAACACCGTGTCCCACAGAGCGGGGCGCAGCACGCCCGATGATATCATACTCCCCCGATGATGCACTCTGACCTATCATGTACTGCTAAATCCCTTGTCAGAACGAGTGGGCTGTCCAGTAATTCCCCGCTACTCTAAGAATACCTCTCCCTCGTCATAACACCCCCGTAGTGGGGTAACCTCCGGTGGGTGAAATGACGTGTCCGCATGGAAAGATGACGCAAGGGAGTCGGCATTATATCGATTGATGACAACAATCTGAAACCAAGACTTGGAGCCCGTAGCTAATATAGTTCTGGGGTTTCTCTGAAAATAAACGTACTTATTAGCACAGCGGAGGCCTTCGACAAATCCCTCTAGTGCATGTGACTTGGGAGTTACCTGGGAGATTAGTTCGTCATCGTCGTTCAAGGACTTCCATTTTCTCGCTACGTGAACTCTTCCACTCATCTATCTGACTGATGGCCACAACATAATAGAACCCTTGATTCTACTTTCGTAGGAATCGTTGCTTCTCCCCACGCCAACGTCAAGTCGACAGGATGAAGGCGCTCCGCAAAATCTGTAATGCAAATCCTACCGCTATAGGAGGTACACGCTATTGTGACGTGGACACCACAAACCATTGAAGACCATGCATACAGTAACTGGCGCGAACACTATACGATAGCTGCACGATACTCAGGTTGTTCTATCCATTACTCTAACATTGAGTATAACCAGCATCGAAAAAAAAACCCAGTGCGTACTGCACATCCCAGTAAACCGAACACAACATACGAGTCTAACTCAACGGACCGGGCCAGTCAGGCAATCCGGTTAAGGCAGCGTTGGTTGCCTCACGGACGCGCCGCTTGCTGGAAACATCCCCCGACTGCCTGTAACTGCTATATACTTCCTGCAGTTGGAAGACTGACGCAGCAGCGGTATCTGGGTAGTATGGGTTTAAGTAAATCACTCTGTCATACCAATAACGATAAGAAATGCTCTGCTTACCAACATTCGACACTGCTTCTTTCATTGCCTACTGCCAGTCAGCAAAAGAATTCCGGAAAGAAGAGAAAAGGCGACTCTAACCTGCTTCCAACCTTCGATATGGGAATTACTATTGTATCCATATCCCTGAGGCGCATCTCCGAAGAAGCCGGAAGAACCTCCACCGTACTGCCGTACCGTGTTTTCGGCATGCTGTTTCCGGAAAATCCAGGCATCCTTCAGGGCCTCGCACGCATTGATCAGCTGCTTCCATGCATATGGGTCCCAGGCCTCTAGGTCGGCCTTATGAGACCGGAGGAAGTCACGCGGATGCTGTTCTCCTCGAGGCCCCTTGCTTCCTCCTCCCGAGGAAGACCCACTCAAGTGGGAACGATTGGGTGACGCCGGCTGTTGTTGGGCGTATGGATCGAATTCCGAGAGATACGATGGACTACTCCTAAACTGTTGCGGATAGCCTTGGTTGGAGTACTGCTGGCCGCCACCGGTGTACCCGTATTGCTGTGAGCCCGTCTGCTGCTCGAATGTACTTGTTGGCTGTGGCTGGAATCCGGCTCCTGTTGTCGATATGAATTGACTATTGGTGCGGATGCGAAACGTAAGATGGCCCAGTATAAATGAACAAAACTTACTGTGGCGTATTAGTGTATTGCGGGGTATATGATGCTGAAGCAAACTGGCTGTAGTTCTGGAACTGGGGCGGCTGCCCTGGATACTGTCCGGAATATTGCTGCTGCTGCCAGTACGGGTATTGTTGAGCCTGATACTGGGTGCTGTCAGCATACTCCGTTCCACTGTATCCTACTTGAATCTGCGGTGGCGGAGACTGTAGGGAACTTGAACTTGTAATATCTGGGAAGCGGGTGTACGGGTTGGAGGGATCGTCGAGGAATGGATTGTTGGAGAATTGAGTTGGATTGCTGGGACTCTTGGGCCCGCAATGGTTGGCGGCGTACATAGTGGCGAAGATCTGGTTTCAAGCGATACGATCACGTCGCAGAGTTGACGACACTGGCGACACTGGGTGAAGCAAGCTCCGGGTGAGGATCTCTTGGACTTCGATGCGATAATGAGGTCTGGGAGGACGACGAGTGCTAAACGGTGGGCTGCGCGATCCCCTTAAGAGTAGACTTATATGTCATGCAGTGCACAGCCTCCTTTCTTAGCACAGGTCATATATAGGGGTCAATTCATATGTGGACGACAGTCACTGGTCTATCGTAAACACGTAGCAAGATCCATCGTCCCCGGCACTGACAACAACTGACCCCTCCAAACCCAGAGACGCACTGAAAACGGCGCCCTCGTTACCCTTGTGGACAGTCAGCAACGTGCCAGTTCTGGCATCCCAGGTTTTGAGAGTTCCGTCCGCTGAGCCTGTAGTGACAAGGGGACTCCTCGGCACTGGATGGGACAGCACGGCTGTGATAGTCTGCGGCCATAACTAAGTTTGTGAGAAGTATGCTATGCAAATGTACACCCACCTCCTCTCCATGGTCTAGCGTCGCACGCGCACGCATCGTGTTAAGGTCCCACATGTAAGCCTTGCCATCCGCGCCACCGCTCACGGCCAGACCTGCTCCTCCTGATATCCCTGTCGGCTCCACGAAACTTAAGGCTTCCACGCTTTGACCCTCTGTGTGACCTCCGGGTGTGCCAACTATTTCACCCTTGCTGAGGCTTACAACACGGATACCCCCCGACTCTCCGCCTACTACTGCCAGCGTTGACGAAGGGTTGATTGCTACGGATGTTATTCCTCCCATGTCGAAACGAGCATTACTAGGCCCAAGTTTGAAAATTGGTGCTGTAGATCTCGGGTCCCAGAGGATGAGAAGTCCATCTGCACATGCTGTTACGATCCTTTTACCTGCCAAATGAAAAAAAAAAAAAAAGTAAGCAATGCATAACGTACGCCCAGCGCGAAGTGGGAAGTTACCATCTGGAGTAAATTCACCGCATTGGACAGGTCCCGTGTGGCCAGAGAAAACCTGCATCGTGTTTCCGGATGGCACTGGTATCCACCGTCAGGTTCATCACGAGAGAGCTGGACGGGTGTCTTACGTTGCCATAACCAAACGGTAGAATCATTAGATCCCGCGAGTAGGACAGTCCCCTTGGGATGCCACCGGAGCCACTGTGTGCAGGAACATTAAGAAGAAGTAAGAAAAACAGGACAATTACTTGGTAAGGGGCAGTCACCATGACTTCATCCGGACCTTGAAGTTCAGTCAAGAACTCCCAAGTTCTGTAGTTCTCCTTTCCATGCCGGCGCCATATCCTAACCTTCCCGTCCATCCCTCCAGTGGCGATCATCTCCCCGTCACGACTGAAGGCCGTGCTCGTCACACTGTCCGTGTGACCGGTAAGCTTCACGATCGTTTCTCCGTCTGTGATATCCCAGATATATCCTAGATCGTCCTCGCCTCCAGAAGCTGCTAGGGGTTGTGTAGGGTGACAGGAGACTGCGAATACGGACCCTTGATGTTCTCGAAAACTACTGACCAAGCTTTCGCTCTGTTCACGCGAGGGTAACTCCCCTACGCCGTCCTTCTCTTCCTCCTCTCCATCCTCGTCCTCGTCCATGGGTATGTCTTCATCGTCTGGCAATTCAGCGAGGATGTCGTTGGGATCGATAAACTCGAATTCCTCTCTTTCTTCGATCGCTTCTTCTTCAGTCGTCATAGGATCAAAGGAGTGATTTTTGAATGGTCTGTGAAGGTCGAAGATGACACCGAGACTTTTTATCGGTTCCGAGAGAGCTGATTACTCAGATCCAAAATTCAGTAGCTGTGCTGCTTAGACTACACTTGCCTGCGATCTGAGTAGAGCTGACGAATCCTCTGAGTGACCCACGACAGCAAGGATAAAGCCCCCTGCAGGACACTTTATCGCGTCCTCCACTCGCTCTGACGCTTTGCAATCGCCAGCGGGCCGTCGGACCGAGAATAGAGTTTGCTGACTAAGCCGGAGACTAGCTACATACAAGCTCCACGTCAGACTACGTAACCAAACCCCCACCTCGTCACTAGTTGTCTTGCTATGATGAGGTTTTCTCGCCCGCTATTCCTATCCAGCCTACTGGCCGTCGTGGTTGCGTCCAACGTTGTCGACCTTGGACCAGACAACTTTGACGCGATCATTGGTAAGGGTAAACCAGGTCTCGTGGAGTTGTAAGTGTGCAGACATTTGTTTGCGCGTAGCTTGTTTTGATGGTTTTTCGTGTACTTCAGCTTTGCACCTTGGTGGTAGGTGTTTCTTCACTGAACCTTCTCTCGTCTGACTGCATTTCTCTTTCATCACAGTGGACATTGCAAAGTAAGTTTACTTCCTGTTCCGTTATTTTTTTTTTTTTCTTTTACCCCCCTAACTTGGGCATGTCAGAACCTCGCACCGACGTATGAGCAGCTTGGAGATGCATTTTCGCATGCAAAAGATAAGGTCGTTATCGCCAAAGTCGATGCCGACGGTGCCGGTCGTCCGCTAGGTGAAAAGTACGGCGTCTCGGGCTATCCAAGTAAGTCACATGTACCAATTTCATACGTGACGCGCCAACATCCTGTTTCCCTCAGCACTCAAATGGTTTGACGAGAAGGGAAATGCCGAGGCTTACGAAGGAGGCCGAGACCTCGATGCGTTGGCTACTTTGTGCGCAGTCCGTGGCTGTCTGCGTTTCGAGATACTCACCTATCACGTAGCGTTTCTAAAAAAGCTGGTGTCAAATCGAATATCAAGCCCCCTCCTCCACCGGAAACTCTGATCCTGGACGCTCACACATTCAATGACGTCGCATTGGTGATCCCATTTCTGTGCTGCGTGTTGAGCATGTGATAATCTCTGTTGTAGGACGATACGAAGGACGTACTCGTAACATTCACGGTAGGCATGGCAATTACTTGGCATTTGACGCGTTATAATTATCTTTCCGTTAGGCTCCTTGGTGCGGACACTGCAAGAACCTCAAACCGATTTATGAACAAGGTCAGATATCGCAACTGGATTACATTTAGTCTGTGCTGAGGCTTGTCACAGTCGCGCAAGCCTTCAAGCCGGAAAGTAACGTAGGTTTAAATTTCGTGTGGTGTTTTTGGCTAGGAAGAATCTTGTTCAAACACGTATACCAGTGTATCGTTGCTAACATTGATGCGGATGCCGCCTTGAACAAAGAGCTTGCTGCTCAGTATGGTGTTGCCTCGTACCCTACCATAAAATTCTTCCCTAGGGGTGGCAAGGAGGTGGAAGACTACAATGGCGCTCGCACTGAAGAAGCTTTTGTCAACTTCCTCAATGAGAAGTGTGGCACAAACAGAGCCGTTGGTGGTGGCCTCAACGATCAGGTATTGTTAAACATCGTGCATTCTTCTGGGTATCTATTAATATATTGTGTAGGCCGGCCGTCTGGCCGAGTTGGACGCCCTTGCTCAAAAGTTCTTGACAGCAGCAGGTAATGCAAGGGATGCAGTGCGCAAGGAGGCCGTCGCCTTGTCGGAGGGTCTGGGGTCCGCATCTCAATACTACGCCCGTGTGATGGAAAAAATTGTCAAGGACAGTGAAACCTACATCGATAAGGAATCCAAGCGGTATGTCAGATCTGTGGGTCTTCAAGGAAGTTACCGACACCTTTGCCTTTCTTAGTCTCGCGTCGATTTTGAACAAGCGCACATTGGCCTCCGCTAAATTGGACGAGATTAAGATCAAACTCAATATTTTGAAGGCGTTCGTCTCTCAAAAGTTGGAGGAAGCTGAAGAAGAGGAGGTGAACGGTTTTGGAAGAGCTACTGCTGAGCTTTGAGTTCCCTGTAGGAGTAAATGCATATGCTAGAACCATCTTATTGTGGATTGTGGTGCTCCCACTAGAAGGACGGACATTTGTTTCTACCTATGCTGTGGAATGTTCCTAGTGCCACGAACGCCCACCCACTAGTACAGCAAGTCTCCAATGACACGTTGCAGGCACGCGGGAGAGAAGGCATTATTAACCCGATCATTGCTTGCCAACGCCATGCTAAATTGATTTTGGTGGAATCGAGACACAAGACACGCGGATGGCCTCGAGGACGGGTCAGGTGCCGATAATCGGGGATCGCTCTTCCACATAACCGAAATGGTTTATTCTTCCACACATGCAGTAGTGATTTAAGATCCTGGGCTCCGCAAGACCCGTATCGATAGTTTCAACTGGGCACAAACAGACCACCATGGACGGTTCCGATATCGAGGAATCCTTCATCCCATCTCCTCCTACAGATTCTGACGCAGAATCGTCGCCTCCACCGATGCCCATACCGATGAGAGGAAGGGCAGACGTTCCTCGACCGCTTCGTGCAGCACGGTTTTCAGCACGGGAAGGGCGTTGGATACAGACCACCAATTGCGCTCGTGGGATAAGAGAGCCATTGCCTACACGGGTACGGCTCGTGAGCTGGAATGTAGATTTCCAGACGAAGGGCCCCAAAAAACGACTGATGGCCGCGCTGCTGCACCTCCAGCGGCAGGTACTCAGATGCCAGACGCCAGCCGAGCGTCCAGATCCCTGCTGTATCTTGCTTCAGGAAGTATGTGTGGGTTCATTCACGATGATCCTCACGAACGAGTGGGTGCAACGATACTTTCTCGTTGTGCCCACATCTACAGACAAATGGCCGGCTGGGGCGACGTACGGGACGGTTATGCTGGTGTCACGCACGGTCCCTGTGTCGAACGCGTTTACGATCGAATTCAGTAACTCAACGATGGCAAGGAATGCGATATTTGTGGACTTAAAGCTGAGCGTGCCGGCACCGCCACATTCGCCACGGCTGTCCGACGGCATAGTAACGGTCCGGGTCGCGAATACGCACTTGGAGTCACTGCCCAGAGGGGCTGCGGCGCGACCCATGCAGTTGGGGCTTATCTCGGAGAAGCTGCGGGAGTACGAGCTTCGTGGAGGGGTGGTTGCCGGGGATATGAATGCCATTGGACCGTCGGATATGAGTATTGCGGAGGATGTAGGATTGATGGATGCATGGCAACATGGGGATGACGAGGAGGAAGGATATACTTGGGGATACCAACCCAGGGAACAATATCCACCCGGGAGGCTGGACAAGGTGCTCTTCACGACGAGGGGGGGATTTGCAGTGGAGGAGCCGGAGAGGTTTGGTGTCGGGGCAAAGACGGACTACGGAGATTGGATCTCAGACCACTTTGGGCTTGCGACTACGCTGCACGTCGTGAGAGAGGACGAGGGGATCATGATGGAAATGTGAGTGACGTCTGCGCAGCACCCTGGCCTGGTGACAGCTGCGGCGACGGGTAATCGATCATGTTTTTTCTTCTAATAACTAGTATGTACATGTACACAAGCCCATACTGTATGTCACATTTATCCGAGTTGTTGTGTTGTGTTTGGTCGTGTGAGACCAAAAGTAAAATTGGGGCGGAGACATAATAAATTCAGAAATGAGGTCACGTCGCTGCCAGCCTTTTTCTTCCTTCCAAGCGCCTGGTTGCTCTCAGCCCTGACCACAATGAAGTCCACGTTCGCTGCTGTTGCCCTCTTCGTCGCTGCTGCCCTCGCGCAGTCGACCCTCACCATCAACACCCCGTAAGTCTCGTCCCCAATGCTCGTCGTCGTGTTCTTATGATCCCCCCAACAAGTGCCAACGTGGTAGAGTGTGAACCGACTCTCATCACCTGGAGCGGTGGAACTCGTGAGTACTCGTCGCGTGTCTTCTCTAACTCTAACTCACTCGCGACAAAACTCAGCCCCTTACTTCCTGGTACGTCGTGGTGTATCCTACTCTTCAGCTGACTCGTCAACTACGCATGTCCCCTCGTACAGAGGTGAGTTTTAACCCATTACGTCACATATAGACGTTCCTCATTCGGTCACCCGAATAGCATTCTACCTGGTGCTACTCCGAACGGTGCCGCCCTCGAGAACCTTGGCCAACAGAACAGCACTTCCGTCACCTGGGTTGCAAACATTGCAGCTGGTTCGTGTTTGGACGGTCATTCTCTGAAATAAACATTGACCTTCTGTGACTAGGCACTTCGATTGGCCTTACCCTCCGCGACAATACTGGTCAGGTCGCCCAGTCCGCACCGTTCACCATTAACAGTGGTTGTGAGTACTCATCGAGTAATTCGTATTGCGACCCGGACTTAACTTGCCTCCAGCTTCTACGTCCTGCTTGAACACCACCTCCCGTGAGTAGAATTGGGTGAATGGTATTGCTTTTTTTTTGACTGTTGAATTCAGTTGCGGCTGGTCCTACCGCTGCTACGAGTGCCGCTAGTGGCAGCAGTCCCACAACTACCTCCCCCAGCTCTTCCAAAGCCTCTAGGTGAGTGGGGACGAGCACTCGATTGTTGATGACGTCATCTTACATATTCCAGCGCGAGCTGGTACATCTGCTGGCACCGCCGCAACGTCAACATCCACCACCAGCACTGGTGCGGCCATGGCCAACGCTGCTAACTTGGGTGTTGCCGGTGTTATTGGCGCCGCAGCGGTCGCCCTCTTGCTTTGAAATGAGTACCGTGGTATTAGTCACCATACAAAAGGATGATACCAGTTGATGGAACTTTGCATCGACATTTTTCGTCAGCATTTTATTTACTTGCACACAAGGCTACATCTATTTTACTTTAGGTGCTTCAGATACACGAGTATGGCTTGGAGGGTTGGTTCTGTAACCTTCTGCCCTGCTTCACTAACTGCGCTACATATCCCACTTTCTTTTTCTTCTTTTTTCGATGTCGTTCGTGCTTGCTGCCAGCTTCGGATATTAGGAGTTACTGTTGTCATCATAGCTCGTAACGCTTCTTACGATCCGAAATGACAGTGTTTTTTTGGTTTGGTGGTTATGCTAAAATGCTTGGTTCGTTCTTGGATTGCGGTAAGTTTTCTGTGGTCTCGGGATCGTAACTAGCCGTCTACCAGACCGGTTTGCTTTAGTAGCTCCGACACACGAGGTTGAACTACAGCCGTCCGACATTAGTAGAGGTTGAAGATGAGTGCAAGCACAATTTCGCCCGGTTTCCGTGTCATTGTCAATCATTGTGACGAGTAGAAAGCTTTCACTCCTCGAAAGGTCTTGTAACATAAAAGTGGTTCTCGTTAAACAAGGTGTAATCTAACTATCGCTGACAGATCCAACAACGGACTCGTCGCTGCCACTGTTCAAGAGAGGTGCGCGGGCGATCGTCCAGTGAACGGTGTCACCTTCCCTACACACGGTGTTCGATGATTGGCAAAGGTGGCCATGACTGTGACGATGGCTTGCCGCTGTGGTGTGCTCAGTGCGATGAGCCGGGTGACCCCACGTGCCTTCAGTTAGTTGATGACGAGTGAGTACGCGAGAGCGAGGGGATCTTCTTTAGCAATCCGCGAAAGACAGCGGACAAGGCGGCGTCGACGGTCTACGATACATCAGACAAAGACACTGCGTTCGTCAGTTGACCCCTGCAAATGACCCAGGAGCTCTCTCAGAGGTTCTGACGACGACGCGTCCGTTTCTGATGACTCTTTCGACGAGAAGCACCCCGATGCCATAAGTCTCTGTTCATCGTGCTTTGATTGTAAAATCCTGACTTCCCTTTCACAACCACTTGGTCTGCTGCAAAGACCCAATCAATCGATCAAGTTTTATCTGTTCAGAAGCAGGACAAGTGTCCTTGCTTCCTGGCATAAACACATAGTCTGACAGGGTTCGACTCGCAATGGTACGCACTCTTCCATCGACCTTAATTGGAGAAGTCTAGGTTAGCAGAAGTGGGCAGGGCGATGTATGCCGCATTCTCAATTGGCAGTACCACACAACGATGAATCAGACGTTGTGCTACGGTGTCCAATGATCTTTGGGTGGCCTTGATGGCGTGGGTCGCCCACGCGAGCTCGTGGAAAATGTTGTGTACCTCCGAAAACGCCAAAACGCATCAGAAAAACAGAAGCGCCCGTATAGCTTTATAAAGATCTACAGCTTGCTGATACTTCCTGTAGCAGCGAGTCGTTCAACATCAGATCGGATCCGCCTCTTCCTCGAAGAGTATTGCCTTCTGGTACGTGGAACAACAGCATAGTATCGGGGGTGCGGATAAAGGGTAGAAGCATGTGGACAGGAAAACCTGGAACATTTATCACCCTCGGTGGAGGTGCCATAACCTCGGTGCGTGATGTTTCTGATACCAGCTTCGCGCCAGGAAACTTAATCTCGAGGACACCAGAGGAGCTTCTTCGGACGAACCACGAAGCTGCTATGAGAGGATATTTGTTCGAAGCGATGCCTGTCAGCGTATACGTCTGCATTTCGGAACAATCGGCATTATAAAAAGTTATAGCGTGAAGGATAAGCGTCACAGGAACCTCAGAATGGGACTGAAGCGTGTTCGCCAGGCAGTGCGTTGCGCAGCATGAGTGGTAATCCTGTACTCATCTGTTACATTTAAGACGTTCGGGCTAGAAGACTGGTGGGCGGCTCCCCGGTTTTGAAATCTCTGTGACTTACTCGAGTAGTATACAGCGTGATTCTCTCTTATCAATCTCGAATCAGCTTACATTTTTTGCGTCTATCGGTAACGTCCCTATCGGCCGATCGTCATGTTGCGTGCGTTGACCGTCGTGTAGGTCAGTTCTGCGCTTTCTGTTCATCGAGACCCGAGATTTCTCTGCTTCATACTTGGTGTCTTTACCTGTGAGTTGTTTCGTGTCATTGAGTTCACCTCGCTGATTCGAGTAGCACTCTGACGTTTCAAGATCTTTTGAACTCTACTTCAATCTCGAGTTTAAAGATAATGTATGGCTTTAGTGTTCCTATTGTATACCGTAGCTAATTGTCCAATTCGCTCTACTAGCCGCACCACTTCCGCTGTGTTTATCATCCCAACATAGTGACGTTCGATGGATTCGACCAACGAGGTTTCGCGCGCGCGAGCAGAGTTACAACGCTGTCATCCTGGACATGAAGAGTGGGTCATCGTCGTTGACGACCTGGCGGGAGCCCTGCGTGACAGGTTCTTAGACGAGGGGAACATTAACGACCTGGATGAGGCAATCGCTCTGCAACGCGCCGTTTTAGAACTCCAATCACCTGCGAGTGATTACGACCGGTCCAACTCACTCCACGAACTTGCTCTCTGTCTCTCGAATAGGTATGACAATCTGGGGGTAGATGCCGACATAGAAGAAGCTGTCACACTCGGACGTGCGGCACTCGAGCTTACCCCACTGGGGCATCAGCACTGTGACACGACTCTCTACAATCTCGCCTGTGCCCTCCGGAAGAGGTTCCAGAAACAAGCTGTGGTGCAGGATTTAGAGGAGGCAATCGAGCTGCACCGTGCGGCACTCCAGCTACGTCCATCCGCACATCCTCGTCGGTCTTTATCCCTCCACGAACTTGCTCTCTGTCTCTCAGAGAGGTATGACAATCTGGGGGTAGGTGCCGACTTAGAAGAAGCTATCACACTCGGACGTGCGGCACTCGAGCTTACCCCACTGGGGCATCAACACCGTGACACGACTCTCTACAATCTCGCCTGTGACCTCTGGAAGAGGTTCCAGAAACAAGCTGTGGTGCAGGATTTAGAGGAGGCAATCGAGCTGCACCGTGCAGCATTGCAGCTACGTCCATCTGGACATCCTCGTCGGTCTTCACCGCTCCACGGACTTGCTCTCTGTCTCTCGAATAGGTATGACAATCTGGGGGTAGATGCCGACATAGAAGAAGCTGTCACACTCGGACGTGCGGCACTTGAGCTCACCCCACTGGGGCATCAGGACCGTGACACGACTCTCTACAATCTCGCCTGTGACCTCTGGAAGAGGTTCCAGAAACAAGCTGTGGTGCAGGATTTAGAGGAGGCAATCGAGCTGCACCGTGCAGCATTGCAGCTACGTCCATCTGGACATCCTCGTCGGTCTTCACCGCTCCACGGACTTGCTCTCTGTCTCTCGAATAGGTATGACAATCTGGGAGTAGATGCCGACATAGAAGAAGCTGTCACACTCGGACGTGCGGCACTTGAGCTCACCCCACTGGGGCATCAGGGCCGTGACACGACTCTCTACAATCTCGCCTGTGCCCTCCGGAAGAGGTTCCAGAAACAAGCTGTGGTGCAGGATTTAGAGGAGGCAATCGAGCTGCACCGTGCGGCACTCCAGCTACGTCCATCCGCACATCCTCGTCGGTCTTTATCCCTCCACGAACTTGCTTTCTGTCTCTCAGAGAGGTATGACAATCTGGGGGTAGGTGCCGACATAGAAGAAGCTGTCACACTCGAACGTGCAGCACTTGAGCTCACCCCACAGGGGCATCAGGACCGTGACACATCTCTCTACAATCTCGCCTGTGACCTCTGGAAGAGGTTCCAGAAACAAGCTGCGGTGCAGGATTTAGAGGAGGCGATCGAGCTGCACCGTGCAGCATTGCAGCTACGTCCATCTGGACATCCTCGTCGGTCTTCACCGCTCCACGAACTTGCTCTCTGTCTCTCGAATAGGTATGACAATCTGGGGGTAGGTGCCGACTTAGAAGAAGCTATCACACTCGGACGTGCGGCACTCGAGCTTACCCCACTGGGGCATCAGGACCGTGACACGACTCTCTACAATCTCGCCCGTGACCTCCGGAAGAGGTTCCAGAAACAAGCTGTGGTGCAGGATTTAGAGGAGGCAATCGAGCTGCACCGTGCGGCACTCCAGCTACGTCCATCCGCACATCCTCGTCGGTCTTCATCCCTCCACGAACTTGCTCTCTGTCTCTCAGAGAGGTATGACAATCTGGGGGTAGGTGCCGACTTAGAAGAAGCTATCACACTCGGACGTGCGGCACTCGAGCTTACCCCACTGGGGCATCAGCGACCGTGACACGACTCTCTACAATCTCGCCCGTGACCTCCGGAAGAGGTTCCAGAAACAAGCTGTGGTGCAGGATTTAGAGGAGGCAATCGAGCTGCACCGTGCGGCACTCCAGCTACGTCCATCCGCACATCCTCGTCGGTCTTCATCCCTCCACGAACTTGCTTTCTGTCTCTCAGAGAGGTATGACAATCTGGGGGTAGGTGCCGACTTAGAAGAAGCTGTCACACTCGGACGTGCGGCACTCGAGCTTACCCCACTGGGGCATCAGCACCGTGACACGACTCTCTACAATCTCGCCCGTGACCTCCGGAAGAGGTTCCAGAAACAAGCTGTGGTGCAGGATTTAGAGGAGGCAATCGAGCTGCATCGTGCAGCATTGCAGCTACATCCGTCTGAACATCCTCGTTGGTTTTCACCGCTCTACGAACTTTCTCTCTATTTCTCAGAGAGGTATAACAATCTGGGGGTAAGTGCTGACTTGGATGGAGCCGTCGCATTCGGGCGTGTGGCACTTGAGCTCTGCCCACCAGGGCATCGGGACCGTGACGTTATTCTGCACAATCTCGCTTGTGGCCTCCAGAGGAGGTCCTGGGAACAGGCTAGGATGGACGATTTGGATGAGGCGATTGGGCTGCACCGCGCAGCATTGCAACTACGCCCCTGCGGACATCCTGATCGGTCTTTATCGCTCCACGCACTTGCCCTCTGTCTCTCATATAGGTATGAACGTCGGGAGGTAGGTGCCGACTTGGAAGAAGCTGTCACACTCGGACGTGCGGCACTCGAGCTCCGCCCACCAGGGCATCCAGGTCGTTGTACAACTCTCTACAATCTTGTTTTTGACCTCAGGGAGCGGTTTCGGGTACAAGCTGCGATGCAGAATTTAGAGGAGGCAATACAGCTTTCCCGTGAAGCATTGGAACAACGCCCCTCCGGACATCCTGATCGGCCTTGGATCCTCAACGAGCTTGCTGCCTGTCTCGCCGAAAGGTTTAACCAGCAGAAGACGCCTGCTGACTTTGAAGAGGTTACGATGCTCAGGCATATGTTGCTCGATCTTCATCCAATAGATCACCGCGACCGTCGCAAGCATCTATATGATCTTGCTGTCCTTCTGTGGGCGAGGTGTCTGAGACACTTTGCATTGCTCAGCTCGGCGGAGGCACGATCTCTTTGTCAAACCATCGCGAGGGCCCATTCAGCAAATCACTCTGTCCCCACTTCGTCACTCTACAGCCTCTCATTACGCCTTCGGCACTCGGTTCACCCGCAACAGGCTGCAACAGTCGACTTAGCCGATGCTGTTTGTCTTGCGACTTCCGTTTTGCAGCTCCGACTACCAAATCGTCTCACAATCGCTCGCTCGCTTACCAGACCCACAACCCTTTTCGTTCACCAACAAACTCAAGCTCTTGCTCTGGTGGAACGGTTGGATGAATTTGCCGTTCTCGGGCGAGTGGTAGACTATCTACACATCCTCGCGAATTTCTTTAAGGAAAGGTTCTGCAGCCAACATATGATTGCCGACTTAAACGAGGCCATCGCGCTGCATCAGCTAGTAATTCGACTCCGTCCAGCCCGACTCCCTACCCGTGCATCATCCCTCCACGACCTCGCATTATGCCTAGTAGATAGGTTCCGCGAAAGTGCTGCAATGGCTGATTTGGACAAGGCCATCGAGCTTGAACAAGAAGCTACGGCGCTATTAATGCCTGGCGATCCGGGCTACGACGTGTCTAGGGACAGTCTTACGACGTACTTGCAGATAAAGATCAGTCCGCTCAGTGGGGTGATCACTTCTGGTTCCCCCTGCGTTAACGAAGTTGACATCCGGCAAGTCGTTAAGAATGTCGCATTTGAGATCCTGGAAACGGCTCCGACTAGACTGATATACACGCGTACTGGCACCTTGTGCGACCGGGACGCCCAGGTGTCACACTTTATGAACAGCGAGCAGTACAATCGTCTGCTGTCGTCCATCGCAACATGTGACCCCGATATCGTTCTCGAGTGCATTCGTCTTGACGTCTCGTCATACTTCCAGCTCGCTACCCTTTCTCATTGCTGGAGTGATAGCGAGCCGTTGTTGCGCGGCATCGAGAGCTCCTCTATTTATGATGTGGCATCAAAGCCAGGTCTTCGAAAGCTTCAAAATTTCTGTCTTGTCGCATTCAGCCGGGATTATCTGTGGGCTTGGAGCGACACGTGCTGTATAGACAAAGAGAGCAGCGCGGAGTTGCAGGAAGCGATAGGATCGATGTTCGCGTGGTATCGAAAGTCCAGTCTAACCGTCGTGTACCTTGCTGACGTTTCGGAGAACGATTCGCTTGTTAGTAGCAAATGGTTCCAGCGTGGATGGACCCTCCAGGAGTTGCTTGCTCCGAGCACCATACTGTTTTACACACAAAACTGGTCGCTCTACAAGAACCTTAACTCTCCGAATCACAAGATGGATGGCACCGTGCTGAAAGAGCTCGAAAGTGCAGCGGGAATAGCACCCCGGTTTTTGACAGACTTCTCTCCAAGCATGGATGATGCACGCTTGAGACTGCAGTGGGCATCGTCACGGCGTACCACCCGCCCTGAAGACATCGCCTATTCGCTTTTCGGGATCTTCAATCTCCATCTACCCGTTCTCTACGGCGAATCTGCAGAGGTGGCCCTTGGCCGTCTTCTCGCAGAAATCATGTCGCAGTCTGGCGAAATCTCTGTTCTGGATTGGGTGGGAGAGGCATCACGTTTTCACAGTTGCTTCCCGGCCGATATCACCTCCTACCAAGCGTTGCCGTTGTTACCCGTCTTCCAGCCCGATGCCGAAGAACATGTGTCGACAATCTGTCCCGCGGAGGGTATGTCAAATAAAGCACTACGAAAGCTTTACGGCTCTCTCGCTAAGTCACCCCTCCCCCGGTTTTCCAGTCGGCGCCTTATACTGCCATGCCTCTCCCACCGTGTTACAGCGGTTGAAGTGAAAAAGTCAAGTTCGCTCGTCGAATACGAAATTCAGGCCTCCGGCCTGAGACCCCTCCAGATTACGCTGTCATACGAGCTAGAAAATGTGGGAAGGATGCCAGGTGTCTTGCAGCTTGTTCGCCCTTGGAATTCAAAGCTACTTGGTCCATCGGCCAGGTTAGACCCCACCGCTGTACAACAGCTGCTGTTAACATTGGAGCGGCCCTTTAGCGCTCTTCTGTTGGTGGAGCTACCTCACAACGAGTATAAACGGATCGCGTCGTCCACCCACTTCATCGCTCAGCCCATAGGCCGCACCAGTATCCTACAAAGCAAGGTTAGGACTTTTACTATAGTGTAGCTAGTCATGCGTCACGATATCGAAAAGATTGGATTTTGTGCTATGCAAACCGTACGCATCTCGCACTAAGACACAGACTTCCCCCACAATGCAGTCCCTGTGGATCCTCGATATGTGTTTACGGACGGAAGTATATTGGGAGAAAACCTCCAAACATTTACCACTCACCGCGAAGGTACTAGAACACTGCTTGAAGGTTAACACCAACACCGTTTCTTCGCTTCGCACTTTGCCTTCGGGGAGAAGAGCAGCAACCGTGACATCTTGTCGAATCACTATTTGCCGAAGGCGATGCCACAGCGACACTTGGTCGTAATCCACAATGGTCTTGATTCCGGTGATCTTGGTGTAACCAGACGGGCGCGAAACAGAACGGAATGCTTCACACCCATTCTGCAACGGAAGTATCGGGGCTCGTTGCATATGAACACTTGGACAACCATGCAACATGCGATACCACGGATCAATGGAATGGAGGAGCCTGCGAAAACCTGTACAGATCCTTCTGTTTCGCGATGGGCCTTTCACATTTTCGAAGGCAGATGCTTAAGGTGTCAAGAACCCTGCGGGTTGTGAAGTATAACTCCCGAGAAGGCAGCACACGTGGCTCCTCTTATTGTCACCAGTAGTACATTAGATATTCCAATCAGGATCGGTGGAAGAGTGCGCACCTTTGGAAATTGAGTATTGTCAGAATGTGTTTATGCGAGGAAGGAAGGATACTACTAAACAGATTAGAATTAGTCTTAATACTGCACAAACACCCAAGCGCGTGTATCGCGTCACAACGATATATATGCCATTCGGTGCATGCACGCTTCTGGTTTCGCCGCGCAGTAAAATTGTCACAATTACACGTTCGTGTGAGCTGACCGCAATCACCTTCGGGCTTCAATATTCAGAGTACGCAGGAAAGGGGGGTGAGTCAATCCCAAGTATTTCCGTTCTGTTCTTTAGTCTGGATACCGGCTTCATAGACAGGCTGGTATCCCGGATATCTGTTCTTGTCTCTGAGGGATCGATGATAGAGGTCTGATACGAGCGGCTCCGTCGCGCAACAGATGGAATTAACGTGAAGGCGTTCTGCGGTGCAAGTCGTAAGCTGAGTGCGGCAAAAAAAGACATCTGCATACGGCTTCTCCGTCATATATTACCGCTCAATATATTGAGCAGGAACATGCTCCATGGTGGGCATACATTGAATTTTACCGTTAACTCAGAATACACAAACCGCACAATTCAGACGAAAATCCGTCAGTATCGTAAGTGGACACCACCTACGACCGGGCTTCAGCTTAGCCTTTGTTGATTGTTCTCGCCCCTAATCGTGTTAAGGTGTCCAACAAATATATCAGCCTTCCTACACATTTCATAGTGTCATATTTACCATGCGCTCGTATTATTATGAAGTTGATGTTGTGGTGTCCAAGTGATGTCCATTGCAATAAGAATTCGCGTAGTAGCAGGTTGAGTCATATCAGATAAAAAAAAGCCGGGGCCAATGATCTATGTCCGTTTTCAATCTCCGCTCAAGCTAAAGGCTGAACGCGAAATTCTGACTTTTCTTCTCTAACCGTTTACCTGACCACCTCACACACCTTGTGTCCTGCGTACCAGTTATTGGGCTCAAGCAACATGGAGGTTATCGAGGAATGGTCTAGAGGGAAAACACGGCCATCTTAATCGCTCTGCTCACGGATTCATACCACGCTGAGATGGAGTTTCATGCCTTGGCGACAGTCGACTGCTTACGACGGCTAACGAGCACCGGTCTGTTACGATACTTGTTTTACCTACCTGTCTCGTTCCCAATATACCGAAAAGTCGGAGTCTCGCTGCAATGATATCTCAGTGCAGAGTGAGTAATGATATCAAGACGGCAATGCCACCGAGAGGTCAGTATTGTCAGCGACGGGGGTTCTCTTCGGCGATTTAGGACGGGCAGGTCTTAGTCCAAGTACCAACGCGTTAACCGAAAGTTAAGAAGGCGTGATGCATCCATGTCCCCAGCGCTCTGATTTCTGAAGGAGGCTGGGGCATCACTAGGCTCCTGACTTCGGATGGGTATACAGTGCGATACGGGTACAAGATATTTGAGATTGGTGAGAAACTGCAAGACATGTCCTCTTCGATAGTGCCGCCCTTTGGCATAAACAGCAACGGTCAACAGTGTACGCTTGATTGCCCGAAACTTCCGATGTGCTGGTTCACTGCACTAACTGGTGAGCGACAAGTGCAGACATTAGGCATGACGGTATTCGTTGGAGCTGCAAAAAGTATGCTGATTCGGCGTTACAAACATTGCCGGTCCTCGGCAGTGCCCAGTCGTATTTGTCTGGTCTCGAAAAATCGTTTAGGTGGATTATCAGCCCCTGCCAATCCTCCCCAATCGTCTCGGGACCGCATCCATATCTTTCATAGGTGAGAGTCGCGTAGGGATACCTAGACCCTCCCCCTAGTTGGCTCAGTTCAGCTGAATCTGCATGGATATGCCACAAAATGATAGTATTTACCTGTGGAAGTGAGTCCCAGTCGAATGTCAACGGCTGAGAAGCAGGGAATAGATTAATCTTCCGCTTCTTCTTTTTCGGAGCTGGATCTACATCGTCGAGAACAGCATCGTCCTCTGTGTCTTCGTGATGCTGCGGTGGTTTATTAGGTTTGGTCTTCTTCGGTTTGGATACTGCCTCGGAGGCCGTCTCTGGCGGAGGGCGTTTTTTAGACCCATGCGTCGACTTGGGCTTCGAGCGTTCATCGTCAGATTGTTCACTTGGCGGCGGGTTGAATACGTCTTTTGCCTGTGCACGCTTCACTTCCTGACGTTTGCTCTTGCCCGTGAATTTGTCGGTTGCCTTCTTCTGCATCCTCGGTGGTTGTTTTGCCCTTGGTGTGTCGCTGTCATCTTCGGCATCAACGTCAATTACCCGTTGCTTTCCTTTAGCCTTCGAAGCAGGCTTTGGGGCAGCATCCGGAGCGGGGGAAGGAGATTGGATCTCAATGATCTCAATGTCCTCTGGAACATCCGGAATTGGACTTGGACGTTTAGCTGGTCGGCCGGGCTTTGGACGAGCCTTAGAAGATCCACCAGCCTTCGAGGATGATGGTTCGGCCACAGAAAGGGAAGGCGGTTTTTTAGACTTGGGTTTTCCCGAGGAAACGAGTCGCTCGCGGGTGACTACAATATCCGAGTCTGGCTCCTCGATCTCTGGGACGGACGGCGATGGCTTTCTGTTCTGAGAGATAGGCGATAGCGCTGGATTTTTAAAATACGATTCGAGCAGCGGGAAGGAGGAACGAGGGCACACCTGCGATTTGGCAGAAGCAAGTTGCGAGCGAATGTCGGCAAGTTCTAGCTCCAGGGCGTTGATTTGAGCGTTGGCAGTCGCCAACTGGGTCTCCGCTGCCTCCCTAGCGTTCGTTTGTTCGTTGGCTTCAGTCTGGGAGTATCCCCATTACCGTGGAAATGAGATCGTGGGCAGGGGGAAATGGAAGTAAAAGATTTACCTTCCATTCTTCAAGAACAACCTTCAGCTTATCGACTCTGCCTTTCTCCTTCTGCAGCCTAGCGTCCATAGCCTGGAATTCCTCCATGCGTACTCCGGTCTCATTGATGCGCTTGTTGGCCGCCATTAACTCAGTCTCCAGCTCGATTTTCTTTTGTTTCAGCGCATCAACTTCAGCATCTTTTCCCTTTTTTAAGCTTTGCCAGTTCGTCAGCTGAGTACGAAGTTCGTTGCTCTCGTCCTGGGCCACCTCTAGGGATTTTTGAAGGGAAGTGACCTGAGCTTGCAGCGCATCGCGCTGTGTCGTTATTCGAGTGAGCTTGGATGAGGATGTCGTCGTGGCAGCGGAAGCATCAGCAAGAGCTTCCCGTAACTCGCGGAGTTCCTCCTTCGGGTGTAATTTATGGGCATCATGACGACGCATAAGTATCATCATTCGACAGGGGATAACAATGCAAATCGTATAACACACCTCTACTTGTTCGCGTTGCTTTCGAGCAGATTGTATCTCTGCCGTCTTCGCGTTTACTTCGCCGAGGAGCACCGTGCATTTCGCTTTCCAACGCTTGTGATGTGGTTTCACATTGGACTCTCGCTGCCTCTGCACTGTCACGCAAGTCCTCTAGCTCGGCGATCCGTGCCTCTAGATCAGCTTCGCGTGCTTGAAACATGGTGATCTTGTAATCCCGTTGTAATCTCTGCAGCTGCTCTTTCCTCGCGTCATCTTGCATTCTGAGCGCAGTGACGCGTTCGTTGCCGAGTGCGCATCCCATGCGATATTGTTGAATTCGATGGCAAGCTTGCATAGTATCACATCCTTCTGCCCATACCTTTCTTTCCTCTAACCACTTCTGACGTTCACTAGCCCACGCCTTCCGGTCGGCTTCCCAGGTGCCGCGTTCCGATGCAAACGATACAGATTCAGCGGCGGCTCTCTCGAGCTGTTCTGTGAATTTCTCTATTTCGTTTTCGAGGGAACGTGTTTTTTGAACGAGCTCGTTTATATGCGTCTGTTGAGCGGCGACCATTGTCTCGTATGGGGTAGCTTTTGAGCCAGTCGCGGTGGATGTGGTGAGGATAGGCGTTGTTGCTCGGGTGACGGGGGTGCTCCGAAGTGTCGCCAATGCGCTCTTTGACGAGACATCCTTTACAGACCCTGTTTCGACTGAGATCTCTTGATCGGTGAGCGTGGAATCATCTCAACACCCTTTGTACACACTCGACTGGCCGTCTACACATTAGCCATGATTATGTCAGCAACACAGGGGTGCAAGTACAAACGGACAAGCTGTACCGTATCATGGTCGACACCATCAACGTATTAGGTTGGTGGCAACAGTCAGAGATCGCAAATGTACTCGCATCCTCCTGGCTAGTGTGGTGACCAAACCGTCTTTGATCGATGGCTTGCCTTGTAGACGTTTCTGGTTACCAGACTGCCTCCTTGCTACTTCGGCAGCATCAACAGTAGAGGGTCGCATCTCCCCGACCAATCGGAAGGAGGGCAACTCATGCCGCATGCCACACAGGTTCACATGGCGTCAACGGTACAGGTACTCCCGTGCTAGGGTGGGCGTCTGTAGTCTCCTATGCTCACACACTAGACGTTCAGCGACCGTTGGGCTGCTGGTGAGCTCCTGCTCAGTTCTTCATTTTCTACTGCTTGCTCAAGCAGCATACAGCTTGATTCCCTCTCCTGTTCTGTCTTTTTGCACTTTTTGCGCACATTGGTAAAGTGCGGATCGGTCTGTCGTCACGCTACATGTATTAAACACCGTGCAGATTGATCCAAGCCTTGTTCTTATCTCCCGCTCCACACTCTGTCTTTACCTGTGGGTTTTTTGCGCTGTATAATTAACCTCACTAATTTAACTATGTAGCATTCTGACGTCCAAGATTACTTGCTTCGTTTCTTGCTCATTTCCAAGGATAAGGCATGGTTTTGCTATTCCTGTTGTATTGCAACTGATTACCGAACCTGGCCTGAAGGCAGAACCATTTCCGCTGTGCACAACCTGCCAGAATAATCGCATTCGATGAATTCACCAGACTACGTTTTCCGCAAGAGAGCGGTGTCGGAATGCTTTCATCCAGGACATATTAACCAGGACATCGACGTTTCTCGGAAGCGAGCAGTGTCGGAACATGTTTATCCTGGGCATATTGGCCAGGATGTTGCCCTCACCAACTTGGCGAGGGCCCTCCATGACATATTCCAGCAACATGGGAGAGTCGATGACGTGGACAACGCGATCGCTTTGCTTCGTGTTACTTTGAAGCTCCGCCCCTCTGGACATCCTGACCGGTCTTCATTGCTCGACTTGCTTGCTGTATGTCTTTCCGATAGATACGGCAGTCAGCGGGTAGTCGCGGACTTGGAAGAAGCTATCACGCTTGGACGTGCGATGCTAGAGCTCCGTCCACCAGGCCATCCCGATCGTGACATACCTCTTTACCATCTCGCTTGTGACCTCTGGGAGAGGTTCCAGAAACAAACTGTGAAACATGACTTGGACGAGGCGACTGAGCTGCACCGGGCAGCATTGGAACTCCGTCCCTCTGGACATCCTGATCGGTCCTCATCACTCCACTTGCTTGCTCACTGCCTTTTGAATAGATACGAGAATCAGGGGGTAATAGCAGACTTGGAAGAAGCTATCACGCTTGGACGTGCAGCACTAGAACTCCGACCATCAGGACATCCTGATCATGGCATATCTCTTTACAGTCTCGCTTGCGACCTCTGGATAAGGTTCCAGAAACAAGCTGTGATACACGACTTGGACGAGGCTATTGAACTGCACCGGACAGCATTGGAACTCCGTCCCTCTGGACAGCCTGATCGGTCTTCATTGCTCCACTCGCTTGCCCTTTGTCTGTCGAGTAGATATGACACTCAGGGTCTAGTCACGGACCTAGAAGAGGCTGTCATGCTCGGACGTGCCGCATTAGAGCTCCACCCACCAGGGCATCCCCATCGTGGCGCATCTCTTCGCGTTCTCGCTTACCTCCTCATGAAAAAGTTTCAGAAACAATCTATGATGCCCGGGTCGGGTGCGGTAAAGCTTCTTCGCCGAGTTGCACTGGTACTCCGTCCGACAAGTTTCGCTGATGCCGCCTCTTCATTCCATGCACTCTCACTTCACCTTTGGGATAAGTTTCGACAGCAGGCTGCAATAGCAGACTTGGATGAAGCTATTTGTCTTGGCACGTACGTTTTGGAGCTCCGGCCGCCGAAACACCGTGATTACGCTGTCTGCCGAAAAACTCGCTTTATTCATCAGCGAGCGCATTCAGAGGCTGGTCCAAGGGACAAACTCGGATGAATCCGTCATGCCTGACCGTGTTGTAGCCAATCTACGTGCCGTTGGCCATTACCTCAAGGGCCGATTTCGAAATCGACATGCAATTGAGGACTTGAACCAAGCGATCATGTTGCACAAATATTTGCTGCAACTCTGCCCAACTGGGCATGCCAGTTATTCCTCGAACCTGCATGACCTTGCACTCCACTCCGACTAGACTGCTGAACACGCAAACAGGCGCCTTGTGTGACCGGGATGCGCAGATATTACATTTCACGAGTGGCCTGCAGTACAACCAGCTCTTGTCATCAGCCATGTCATATGACCCGGTGGAGCGAGTTGGCCGTATCCATACTGTTATCTCGAGATACTTCCGGTTTGTCATGCTCTCTCACCGCTGGAGAGAAGGCGAACCGTCTCTGCGCGATGTCCAAGGCCGCCCATTGTATGACATGACACCAATTGGGGGTGTCAAAAAACTCCAGAAGTTCTGTCTTACTGCTTTCAAGCGAGGTTACCTGTGGGGGTGGAGCGATACATGCTGCATTGATAAAAATAGCAGTGCTGAGTTGCAAGAGGCGATAGGATCGATGTTTGGATGGTATCGGCGTTCTGCTCTAACGATCGTGTATCTTGCAGATGTTCCCGAGACTGGGTCATTTGCTCCAAGCCAATGGTTCGGACGCGGATGGACCCTCCAAGAGCTACTGGCCTCCCACTCCATTCTGTTCTACACTCGAACCTGGTCGCTCTACAAAAATATCGAATCTTCCAATCATAAAGCAGATGGTGTTGTACTAGAAGAACTCGAAAGAGCAACTGGAATAGCATCTCGGTTCGCTGACTTCGCTCCAGGTATGGACGATGCACGCTCGAGACTCCAATGGGCATCGTCGCGTCGTACCACCCGCCCCGAGGACATTGCTTATTCGCTTTTTGGGATTTTCAACCTCTATCTACCTGTTCTTTACGGCGAATCTGCCGAATTTGCTTTGGGTCGCCTCCTAGCCGAAGTCATATCACAATCTGGGGATATCTCGATTCTGGATTGGGTCGGGAAGGCATCGACGTTTCATAGTTGTTTCCCGGCCAACATTACCGCGTACCGAACGTTGCCGTTGCTGTTGCCGTCGCCGTCCGTCCCACCATCCGGCGCAGAAGAGCAGTCATCCAGTATGAGTCAACAGCCTGCGTCGTCGAAGGCACTGCGAAAGCTGTATCGCTCGCTCACTAAGTTGCCCCTGCCACGATTTATGGACCGCCGCCTCACATTGCCATGTCTCTCCCATCGTGTCACAGCGATGCAGCTGAAGAATCTAGATCTGTACTTAGGGAGCTACACATACGGAATCCAGGCGTCTGGTTTGATGCCACTTGATATTACGCTTCCAGAAGAGCTAGAAAATGCGACGGGTACTCTGCAGCTCGTTCGCTCTTGGCATTCGAAGTCGCTTGGTGAATCTACTAAGCAAGACGCCGCTACTACAAAGCAGTTGCTTGTAACACGGAGACGACCATTTAACGCCTTTCTATTGACTCAACTGCCCTACAGCGAGTACAAAAGGATTGCATCTTCTACTCTTATCGTGGCTCAGCCCGTAGACTCGTCCAGCATCCTCCAAAGCAAAGTCAGGATACTTAACATCGTATAGGTTTTCATGGTGTTGTGATATCAGGATGAGTACTACACTACGACTACGCGGACTGGAGGTGCTGATGAATGATCTGTCTCCTTTCTTGTCATTTGTATTTTATCTCATTTTTTATCGTAAAATAATTTAAATTTTTGTTGGTTTTACACGACTACCGCGTGGATATCGATGTAGTTCAAGTGAGCCGTCAACTTCTCCAATACCCTAGCCAGGATGACAGAAAAACAACTGAATGCTTTGATTCCTGCCACATCTACAGAGGGCAAGTTATCGAGAACCTTTTGTCTGATCGGAACGACACATACACGTCTCGTTTGGAGTCAGTTCGAGGTACCCGCCCCCGGCTAATAAACGAGTGCTACTGCAACACACCAACGAGATCTTTCCGAGATCTTCAGACTTGTCATGCGGTGCGGTCACATCTTCAAATATCCCCCTTGACAACGAAGCATTACTTGTAAATGCGTCTTAACGGCTCACAGCCCCTGCCCAAAATTCAGGGCAATGGATACCCGTGCCATGTTAATACACCTCTTATAAGCCAACTCTTCCACACCGTCAGAGTGGGTGAGCAGCAGCTCAGAGATAGTTGATGCCAACCTTTTGTACTCACCGGTTGACAATCTGCTGCTGGAGAGCCTGGTACTTCATTGGCTTAAGCGAGGTGTCGTGTTATGTTATAACCCTGTCCCCTTCGGGACAAGAAAAATACTAAGTCACCTTCAGAGCGGGCGATTTATTCGCTGGACGTGAAGAAGCACCACATACCAAGGGGGGACCGCATTACCGCCCCGACGCCAATCATCTACTACCCCAGACGGAGTCCAGCGTGGGGAACATCTCAAGCTCCTCTTTTGCGGTACGACGAATTACAATGGTTTCTGCATTGAAACGAAGGGAGTAAGCTTGTTCGAGACTGCGTCGTTGTGAGCTCTGTTTTGCGAATATACGCTGTCCCACAAAAACAGTGTCTCAAAGACGCCATCCGCGTGTACACGAAACAACGCACCTTATTGCTCAACCTACGCACCTACGCTGCGACGCATAGCTATTACGCATGGAAGTGAGTCGATTGGTGTGCTTTTCAAGCAATCAATTCGCGGTAAGGGTATCCAATTACTAAGAGTAACATACAAGTACATATCTCAATGGCGGATAACATGAATGACCACTTCCCTGGCATCCTCTCAATCCCCAATAACACCCAAGACCTTGAAGACCTCGGCCTGTCTCTCTCTGAAGGACTTAATCTGCAGTATGCCCAGTCCTAACGCGTTGATCCGGTTAGTGAATACGACGGCTCTGCCTTCGATGCTCCTCCTATCACTCTCATCGTCTCCTTGGGCCTGATCGTAGCCAACGCCTCCCTCCAACATCTTCTTTACGCGCTCAAGTCTCGACTCCGGAAGCTCCTCGCCCCCCTGGAGACACTGCGCCGCAAACAGATCATCCTCTTCTGTCATTTGTCTTGCTGAGTGCCCAATAGATACGAGTTCAGCCATCAACGGCTTTAACTCGTGCGGGCATTCTTGCAGGGTCAACTCTCGCCCCAAGATGCCGACAATGGTGCCGTCAGGAGTAACCGCTGTTGATGCAACGTCGAGGATTGCAAATGCAGTAGAAGCAAAGTATGCACGAGGTGGGTCCCGCTTGAGGAGACGACGGAGGGAGGGCATACGTTCCAAGACATCAGCAAGAGCCGCATAAAGTGTCTCGCGAATAAACTCGATCGCTGGAGACTCTGGACTGAACAGTGTCGGTGAATGAGACCGCGATATGGCGGATTTCTTTGACGGAGACGATGAACCGGGGCCGTCATAAACGGGTGGGGGGACAAAGGAAGTTTTCACCTTGAGGCTCGAGCTCCCTCCGCCAGCGTCGAGCGCAGCCTGTAAATCGGAAGCGTAGCGGTCTTGGAAGGTACGTCTTTGCGAGATCTCTATTGCAACAGCGCGGAGGTCTGCGGCAATTCCTGAGAGAGACGGCTCGGTGGGCTTAATTAGTGGATCGAGGCCACAGATGATACGGGCCAGATCATGCTGAAAACTCGGGTCCAGTCCTTGTATCCTATGTACATTGGATGCCCAGACACGGAAAAAGGATAGGAAAGCGGGCGGACAGTTCGCTTCACTGAACTGACGTGGCGGAGCCGATTTTGACCCTCTGGGGAGAGGGACGGAAGGTGGAATAGTCGTACTCCTCAGAGCAGCGAAGTAGAGGCAAAGTGCTGGGCCTAGAAGTGGCGAGACATCCCTCAATGATTAACAACGGTCATCAAGCTTGCATGGGTGAAACTACCCTACCTGTGATCATAAGATCGGCCTCGGCACTAGCAAGGATCTCGGGTTCTAGGAGGTGCTCGATCTTCGCTTGCGTCAGGGATGATTTGAGATAGCTATGAAAGCTATCTTGGACATCAGTCTCAGATAGTTTCTCTTCTTCTTGGGGTGACATGGCGAGTTTGACGTCCTTGCGACGAGGATAGGTTGTATATGATGTTAGGAATGGGCTGTGCTCGCTGCAATGAAACAACCAACTCCCAAATGTAACTTGGTGCGAAAGCTAACTTTGCTGTGCAGGGTATCATGCATGACGCCAGACCTGTCATACATCTAGCCAGTGTTGTCGCTAGACTTCCTCTATGTCGACGCTGGCAGTCGACTCCGAGTATGCACGCCAACGCATTGTAGAACCCTAAGGACTTAGAGACGGGTTGAACCATACACCGAGTCAGGGTGTCACGTTCGCCGTTGTCAATGTAAGCTCCTTTCCATTGTTTGCTGTGGTCTCGGAACTCGGGAGGCTGCACGACGGAGCTTCTGGTGCACCGGCATGTATCGGTTTGTCTGTTGCTGAGCAAGACGCCAGTCCCAGTCCTTGGGACTTCTCAGTGAGGAGCCCTGCTTTGCAGTAGGATAGATTCCATCATTCGATATGGCGTGTCACTCGATCAATTATCATCAATGTAAGTCAGCTCATATGTACTACGTGAGTCGTGAAGATGTATACGAAAAGCAGAGTTGTAGGTATCGCAAGAAAGGTGGGGAGGGGGGTGTCGCATGCAAGTGCATTCAAAAAAAGATAAGCGTGCTAGGTGTCATCGTGGATGAAGGTTAGAAGCGCTTCGGCAGGGTATCCCAGACGCAACTTCAAAATCGACAAGGCAGCCCCATCAACGTGCTTGTCGATGGGTGTAATAGTCTAGGTCACCATCCCAAGGGAATTCCAGAGAACAAACGCCTGGCAAGTGAAGTGCTCGAAACAGTCTCAGGGACTAGCGGTGTGCGAGGACCACCCAAAACGATCTGTGGTTTACACCCTCAATCGGCCCATATCAAGATCCCCGAACCGAAGCCGGTCAACAAAGTCGCCTACGTCCTCAGTGGTAGTTTCTGCACCGCCACCTCCAGTTCCCGTGGTGCTAGTACCTGCGGTGACCGTGGTTCGCGTCATCTCCGTGTCATCGGATGTAGTCGTCGCCCCTGTACTCTGTATCGTCGGTGCGAGGACAGAACGTGCAGTGAAAGATGGCATCGGCCCTAGTACTGAAACGCGACTAAATCCACCGTTACCGTTATCCGAAGACGAAGGCATAGAATAATAGGCAGAACCGCGCGAGGTCGGAGATGGTAAGTTGTCCGTTGAATGTTGGCTACGTTCCCGCGCAAGGCCGAACGCCGAAACAGCTGGAGAAATAGGCAGACCACTCGTTCTGCTACGCAGTCGAGGAGATAGCGATCCTGAACTGGCCGTTTGAACTCCAGATTGCGCCGATGGGCGAGATGAAACGGAACCAGAATGCCCATAAGAATAGCCTGAGCCTCGCGCAGAACCTGATGCGGAAGAACGGGAAAGGGGACCAGCATAAGAACCCAAGGAGTGGAGCGAGCCTTGTTCAGAGAGCACTGCCTGGTGCTGGTGGACCAGTTGAGGCTGATGGCTTGTATGAGCTGAAAAATTCCAAACGTTCAAAACCGAAAGGACTTACCGTACCGAACGTTGTTCGTCTCTCACCAGTGTCAAACCCAGGGCCACGACCAATGTTTCGCCCGGCTTCAGCTATCGTCCGCCATCCTTCACCAGCAGCCGGTGGTTCAGCGTCAAGCACATCAATCGTAATACTTGCCTCATTTGAAGAACCCGTGATGACTGATAGTGATTCGCGCAGGGTTCGTGGTGGTGTGCCCCTGTTGGTGCGTCCGGAAGCAGCGAACTGGGACGCAGGCGTTGGAACTGGCAGGTCCAACACATCCAAACCTTGTGAGAACGGGAAACTGCCTCTGCTACCTAAAGAGCTGTATGGATCTTCCAGAGCATATGCAGGAGGGGAACCCAGAGGCATTGGAGGAACGTTCTGGCCCGAGGTAGCTCCATCCACCGGTCGCTGGTGTCATTGCACAGGGAAGGAATAGAGACGGGTGTGCCAAGACGAGAGACGGCATCGTGATACACGGTATTGCCTGAAACAGCACTCTTGGTGCTCAGAGTCGAGAGCGGACGATCGTCTCCGATAATTAAGCTAGGGCCACTACGACGGCGAGAGCGCGGTGCCTGAAGGAGAGATTGACTAGACTCGATATCATCGGGACGGCGGCCATTTGAAGAACGGGAACCGTTATGCGAGGAGCTGCCAAACCAGCTCAGACGAAGCTTTTGAAGCGAGCCAAAGCCAAAGCTGCTGTGCCAACCACTAGGACCTGCAACTGGGCTAGGTTCGGAATGACTGTGAGTTGAGGTCTCCGCACTTTCCAGCGAGCGAGGTCCAACGTCACGAAGCAGTACGCGACGGGCAGTGAACACCTCTGATGCCTCCATGTCACTTGCAGGATAGGACAAACTGCGGATAGATTTCTCCTTCTCGATCACTGAAGGCGTCTTACGAGTGGAATGCTTTTCGCTGTCAAACGGGGGTGGCGGAGGGAGTGGTGAAAGATGAGGAAGCAATGGATCGCTATCGTCCCCATGGGGAACACCATACATTCTCGGCGGGCTCTGAGGTTCCTCCTCGTCGTCGTCGATCCTAAGAAGTTCACCAGGGGGAATGATATGTCCAGTCATTTCACTGCTCGCCCTCGCAGCTGGGAAGTACGAGTCGCCATATGCTTGTCCAATTCTTCCACCATCAGGTAGCAAGACGCCATAGTCTGTAACAGCGGAAGAACTGGTGTGGCCCGAGTCGCCTGACGCGGTACTGCCAATCACTGGGGGAGCCGCACCCGGGGGAAGAGATGGAATATTGGAGGCATGGCGTTGTCCCCTACTGGCCCCGGTTTGGCTGCGCTGAAGGAAAGAGTCAACTTCGTCACCGGACCCACGTGGAGAACCGACACCAACTGGCCTGTCCCCGTCGGCGCTTCGGGGCGCCGTAGGATGTACGACTTCCCAATGCGTCCAAATCGGGGTTGCCCGGTAACCATCGCGTCTCCTCTGTCTCCGCCATCGGATTACACAAAGCAAGAGCAACAGTAGCAAAACGAATCCCGCTATAGCACCGAAAATGATACCGATCAGTGCGCCCTTGGAAAGCGTGGACACTGCGGAAGGTTGTGTAGTGGATGATGGCGATGCAGTGGTTGTGGTCGAGGCTGCAGTAGGCGTGGTGGACGAAGGCGTAACGCTAGAAGGAATTAAAGATGACGTAGAGGGGATGGACGTAGATGGAGATAAGGAAGATGATGTTGAAGAGGGTGTCGCTGTAGAAGAAGGGAGGGGTGTCGCTGTTGGGGAGGCTGTCGACGGAGACGATGAAGGAGGGTACAAGCCACCATAAGTCCATGCTCCGTCCGTTCCGAGAGGGATCTGGAAGTTAATCAGTCATCAAGTTCTGACCGGCCACTACCATTAGCCGCAACGAATCGGGTAACACGAAGAATGGAATAGCAAGCACTGCCCCTCTTCGAGCCACCTAACAAACACTTGCTCCGGAGAGCATAGAGCACCAAAGCTGTGGATTAGAGAGGAAGGGACCCACGCTTGGACCGTAGTAGGTGAGTGGCAACTGCAGGATTGTCGTGCTCGTTGTCACGGGTATACCCTCAGGGTTGGTTATCGTGGTTATCGACATCGTCATCCAGGATGGCAGCTGTTGTGTGCCTGCCATCTTTAACGTGCCAAAAAGTGGGTATAGAGAAGAAAAGGTTTATGCAGTGGGCAGATTATAGCACGGAGTAAATGTTGAAGAGATGAGTGTCGTTCAGTGAGTGAGTGTGAGGAGACACTGTGGAACAAGCAGTTATTTTGCGACTTCCATACCACGGAACGCACGAGACACCTACACAGCCGGTCTTTTTTCGTTAGTGAGTCGTGAAAGATGATCGAGGACAAGGAGAAGGGGGTGGCCACAACCGCGCACGTGGGTATTTTACACTCGGTTGACTTATCACGTGAGCTCAAAATCAAGAAAGATGTCTTCTCGATTGCAATAAAGTATTACACACATCGAGGATCTTCAACTCCAAGCCTGCTCCAACGTGTGAAGACAGGAATTTCATCTCCCCCTGCTGGTCTTTGCTAGACTCGCCAAATTCTCCCCCACAACCTTCATACCATCATTCATTATTTGCATGTCCCGGTCCAACTCTGCACGTCGGTCCGCCACAGCTTTCGAGAGGGCGGAATACGAAAACATTCTCCCGCTAAATCATTGTGGTATCTCCAATCAGCGACAACACAACAGTAGGGAGAAAGGTAAATAAAAAGACGCACGTGAAATGATCCTTCGCCTGTGTAGGATATTGCGCTGGAGCAATTATTATAAACCTAGTCTGCCTACAAGCACGCACCATGTCAAGCAGGTCCTGAAATTCCTTGGACAATTCTGCAATCCGTTTGGATAACCACCGCCGGCAGAGCGACGGTCATTTACGTACCTTCACCCCCCCTCACCCATTCTTCTGTGGTGCATTCCCTCCACCGTTTGCATTCTGCATCGAATTCCCTTTCGTTCACAAATTCGCCAAGATCCATAAACAGCGACTCAAGCGTTGTCAGTGAGTCACTCTGTAGAGGGGGGCCCGCTGGGAACGGAGTGGGCGGCATTTGTGGGCTTGAAAGCATTGTGTAGCCCTCCTTAGGAACATCAGGCCTCATCGTACCACCCGCCAGAAAATAGTACCTCATCTGTCCGGGCTCTTTTCTGAGGCCGGTGGTCTTCCTGGTACTGATCTGAAAACGCTCCGCCCTCCCTCCCGGGGCCAAGTCCGGGTACTGGGGGCACGGTCCTCCTTCCTTCAGCCATGGTACCAACATCTATGTTGCCAAGGTCCCCCGCGGCAACTGGCACCGAATATATCCTCTCGTTTACGCCGTTAACGTTGTCATTTACGTTCATGGCCCCCTCTATTTCGCCTGGGCAAAATTGTGCATACCCAGGCACAGGCGCAGCTATCGTTGGTGCAACGGCATTCTTACCAGTAGGGTTGGCATTACCCCCGACGGTAGCCCGTGCAAGCCCCGGTCCGGCCCCTAACAAGCGCATATATCCTGGTACAGTTTCACCTGCGTCTATATTACAACGGTTAGTGCCTGTTAATCATGCGTATCCTTACCAGCGGTGAAGCTGTTGCGGTTCTCCTCGCTGTCGCGCCTCTGTCTAGCGTTTCCTTCTTTAGTGGAGTCTTCTTCTATCTGTCCAGTTGCTGTACCCGTAGCTGAGGCAAAGGGTAAGTTCCTGAGGACCGAGCCGCCCACGAAGTCATTGGTGGGTGCCGCATCAGCTGGGTAAGGAACAAGTGAAATCGGCGCCATTTCTGGTCTACGAATTCCTTCGAAGCTTCGTCGAGGCTTCTGCATGTGTGATGTCGCCTCGCGTTCGGAATGGATGGGTATATGCGGGTTAGGAGATGACTTGGGTGTCCTCTTCCCAAGGAGCCCAACGAGTGAGCGGGCTTTCACACCGCTTCCGGTAGATGTAGAAGTACCAGCAGCACTTCCTGGACTCGCTCCATGACCCAGTCCGGACTCAGGTACACCGCCCCCTACCGATGAATGTGGGCGTGCCAGATTCGCCATGCCTGTAGATCGCGACTAGAGCGGAATCCCTACCACGACATTCGTCTGGTGTAGATTTGTCCATGAAGGATACAGAGGATTGAGGACGCTGCGGGACAAATGTTTGCCTTGCACTCATGAGTGGTTGCGATAGTAGTCCAAGTGAAGCGACGCGTCTGGCCATGTCACGGGAGCACGTGACCGACGCGTCCAACCAGCTCAAGTAACTTCTCAATTGCTTGTAAGCCAGAAAATCAACGTTTCAATGACCAGCTTCTACAATAGTAACAGTTAACGTTGCTCTGTGTCGTACCTTACATGCTCTTCGACAATAGGAAACATGATAGAAGTGGAGCTACCAGTTGATAATTCCCTCTTGTCGCTCATATCGCCAACTCCATGTCTAAGATCCTGCAAATCCTTGTCCGCCTTCGACAGCTCTACAGTGTTATTACGATTGATGCTTGTTTCAAATCGAACCCCAGTACCTTGTTCAATATCGGGTCGGGGTCCATTGCCACCCATCGAGCGCCGTGGGCTGACGAAGGAGCTCCCAGTACTGTATGGATGGCGCCGATGGATGTAGTCGTCACCCGAGACCCATATCGTTGCACAAAGGACACCAATGACGCTCACATAGCTGTTAGCGAGGAGGAGCACGGTGCCGACGTAGAACGAAGAATCGGTCGTGATGCAGATGATTTGCCCTATGTTAAATAAGACTGGAAATACGAAGTTGGCAGCCGAGATATAAAGTATTTGCCGTATCCTTCTTCCGATCCCGATCGTTTGAGGGAGCGAAAATGTAAACGAGTCTACATTATCGTATGCATCGACATAATAATGAAAGAGTTGGTTGCTCACCCAATGTCAATCTCAATGAAGTTGTCCCTGCGCATTGGATGTGCAGTTTGTAGAGGAAAAGCCCTGATGAGTAACTGCTTCAAGGTGAGAAGAAATCTCTTAGTGATGGAAGACCCCATACAGATTATCGAACATTTGCAAAGTCCATTCCGTAGTGACATAAGGGTTGCGAAACCATGTCACCTCTGCTTGCGTAGTGAGGGTCGTGACGTCTGGCGTTGATATGATATATTGGTGGACGTACAGCGACTGCCAATAGACCCGTCGAAAATCAAATGAATTCACGGGAACGAATGTAAATACATACCAGCACGACAAAACGACCGCATTTGACACACACGGGAAATGCAAGCACCCGCATTAGGGTGGATAAAGGGGTCCTTTCTATGGGGTATAATGCAAGGAGGCGTGTTAGTAGTATGGAGTCGTAAAAGATCGGCGGGAACATGGCAAATATAATGGTCGCTGTATACACCGATGCCGGAATAGGATCGAGTGGCCGTAGGATGGCGCTTCCGCTGACGACGAAGTTTAGGACCCCAAGTACTAAAGCAAAGCAGATAGCAATAACGTTTAGGCGGAAAATCAACCGCCTACGCGACTCTGCGGTCGAAAACACGAACAGCACAACCAGCAGTGGAATAAGACATGCACATAAGGATGTAACGACTGTTACGAAGGTGAACGGGGCACGTATGTTCCGGACGAAGTCTGTGATGATCACCTCTTGTGCTGTGGAATTGGTTGGCTGAGACATCGTGTACCGCTGTGGAAGAGTAACAAATTCCGTGGATGGTGGGTACCGAGGAATGTAGGCGAGGCCACCACTTTTGACATCTGACAAACTTTAACAGTTAGTTTTCCCACTTTGCAGGTACTTGAGTGTCCAGCGTCTCGAACATCTTTCCCATGGGACGGTTATCCTTCCCTGAAGGAACGACGTGCAGTGGGAAGATATCCGCGCTTGGGGAGCTTATCTACTGAAGGAAGGGGCATCACGAATCGCGCTATAGCCTACCCCTTATGACATTTTGCTTCGGAATTCTGGAACACTTACCCTGAGAAGAGAGACTTGTGGCGTCGATCGCCTCAATACAGCCACAATGAATCGTTTTCAGTATGTGTGCACCGGAAGAGTTGGAGGTATGTACCACCTTGATTTCTTGTGGCCACCCATCACTGCAGCACTCATGATGTGAATCTGGCAATTTCCCTCACCAATAAGGAAAGGTGTGACTCCGCTGAAATGATAAGTACGCACTAAGTAACCTGCTGGGCCCTTCGAAGAAGCTAAACAAGATCTTCTGTAATGCGATAACAAAAAAATGCGACAGACAATGCTATCATGTCTATCGCTCTCCAACTCGTTTAATCACTGTGCCTTTTATCTCCAGCCTCTCGTTCTTCCTCCAAAAATCACTCAGAATCTCTGCAAGACGCGTAGGATCATCCTGGCAACCGGTATCAGCAGTTTGGCCAAGGCGCATCGCCCAGACCACGGGCCGAAGATCGGCACTAACCTCGTGCACTAAGTGTCCAACTCCACGGTCACTCATGACCTCGAGCCAAAATTTACCCTGCATCTGACCGATCATAAGGGGCGTGTCGAGGCGTTCGGCGCCAGCGAGGACCAGCAGTCTCGCTGTTCGAATGGAAAGAAAGAGCGACGACAAGGAAGCAAACCATGCTGTAGAAAAGATGCATCAAGTTCGAAGAAACTGTTGGACACGGTACGGACATTCCCAATAGGGGGCAGTAGACCGAAGTGGTGTTCGCCATCTGTATTCAAACGACCCGTTTGCGCGTGTGCGTGGGAAAGACTTGAATCTCTGGGCACTAGAATGGAGGGTACTGAGATCCGGGCCGAGGTAGGATTGTTAATAGCGTGCGTGTTGACACTAGGCACAAAAACGAGTCCGATCAGTTATCGCCTAAAGTGCTATCTGTCAACCATCACAGGGTGCTTACTGCCATTCAATAGCTTCTTCAATACTGTCAAAGCCCTCGGGTCTAGTATTCAACAGTGCATGCATATGAGGAAGTGCTTCCATGGCAGTTCCTGTATGACGGCCCGTTAAGGGTTCATGTGGAGATACCCACAGCACAAAGTGGCGTACCCTCTACAACATCCAAAACTGCGACACCGGATATGACATACTTTAACTCCTGGAGCTTCGGAGAGGCATGAACGACGGCGGAGCCACCCATACTATGGCCTACTAACTAAATAGAACGGGTTCTAAATTTAAGTTTATGTGAGGTGCGATAACTTCATGACATACCATAAATACAGGCGAGGTGGACGGGTCAGGGAAAACCTTTTGAATGAAAGCGCATAAGTCATCGACAAGGACATTCATGGACAGGTCTTCATCCGATGCGATCGCAGTGGTCTTGCCTGCGAGAGACGATCAATGTAGGCGATTTCGTGAAAATGAAGATAAACCAAACCGTGTCTTCTTGCATCGAATGCAAGTACTCCAACTTCTCCTTTCATTAACTGTACGAGCTCTCTCGCAAGACACGCGAAGCTTGCGCCAGAGTACCCAGCGCCATGGTGCATCACAAACACGCCGCCACGCTCTGAACGTGGTGGTGTATAGTAAGCCCGGACGTCGATGTCCCGGTCAGGCAATGTCACTTGTAGAGCTTGTGCAAAGTATCCGGCCAGTGATATAGGGGCGTAAGCCGGGTTGGGCATCTTCTTCGCGCGATTCTGAGATAATCCTGATCTGTGACTGGCAATCACGTTCAAGAGGTTCGGATCGGCAAGATATGCTAGAGAATACCTACGACGGTAGGCCCATTACGGAGGGAAGAGATCCGAGAGAATCTTCCAGCTCATCATCATTTTCTCCTTCCTCTGCAGGTGGCTCTTGGAGTGTAGATAACCGTGAACTGATTGTAGATCGATAGAGTTGGGACATGTTGTGTGGGTGATACGTACAGGAACGGATTAGTGCAAGGTCGATGTGGTCATCAAGGAGACATGCCTAATCTGGAACGGGCACATTCATCAACTTCTGGTCCCTTTGAAAAATCTTTTTGCATTCCACCTTCTTTGGCTCGTAACGCCCAGACAGTTACGCGCGATGGGCCAAGTTGTTCCCTCGCCTTGATATTCTTGGCATTCACCGACAGGCAACCCTTGGTTCTTCGCCTCAACGGGCAAGCAGAGCTACTGAGTGAGTCGAAGAGCGCAAGAATCAATATCTTGCCGTCGTCCCATTTCCACAGGCATCATTTACTCCAGCATTTCCAAGTGCCATGTAAGTTAACAACTGGCGATGCAAAGGGGACTTGAGTAGGCCATTACATGTACACTACGTCAAGCTTATCTGTCTGTGCGTGCTGGATTGGGGCAGGCGGTGCAAGAGGTCAGTTGCATCGGATAGGTTAAAGGCTGATTGTTGCCAGGTGTAACAAGAAAACAACCAGGGTCGACCTTCCTCGGCTCCACGGGAAACGACGTCCATATAGCAAATCGAAAGTGTTCGTTGTGGATGCCAAAGTTTCCATTGCGAAACATGTGACAGTCAATCACTGCAGCTGGAAGACGAATGAGGGAGCATTATTCACCCCTGCCAGCCCTACTCTTGTTTCGGTGTCACGACCGGTCAACGTTCGTAAGCCACAGGTGCGTCTGATGTTGAACGTCTTTTGCACGACGAAAAGCTCCCAACGTGTATCAATCCACTTTACTGTAGACAGTCGTTGTGGATGTCCGATTTTCGGTGAGTCGCATCTCACCATCACCAGTTCTTGTCGCGAATAATGTAAAGCTAATGTGAATGACGAATAAATTCGGTGTGAGGAGGTTTGCTTGGCCAACCGAACCGCACGTTCCTTATTCAATATCCCCTTTGTTGCGGGGACCATCATGGTTCGTTCCCGTCTGTCACACGTCGTATCTATACACTCCTGTATCGAAGAGCCTTTGGTTACCGGGCACGATAAGAGTTGTTACCCTGTTGCAATGGAATAGGGGCTATTGCGTGCGAAAATGGCAATGTAACTTAACTTTGCTGTCCCCGACGCCCTTTCAATTGGATCGTAATAGCACCCATGTCTCCGCTACGTTGTTGGTCGTCGTCCTTATCAATTAACCATATCCAAAGAGTCTTTTTCCGCTCGATTGAAACGGCCGCTGCATCCGCATCTTCCACCGAGCCAAGAACCCACTTCAAAATCACTCTCCGTCGTTCTGCCATCGGTCTCGGCGAAAAGAAGAAAGAGACTCTTGTCTCCCTCGGTCTGCATAGACGTATGCAGACTGTCTACCATCCACACACCCCAGAGGCTGGAGGAAAGATATTGAAGGTGAAGGAGCTCGTCGAGGTGGAAAACGTCCCTGCGAGTGCCGTCCGCACTCAGGAGCAGCAGCGGCAGGAGCGGAAAGCACCCAGGGGGTATGCCGTTGCCGGTTCGAGAATGAGAGCATTTCAATGGGAGAGGACGAAATGGCAATGACAGATACCATGCAGTGGTGGGTTTGGTCGTTGTATCGTGCATGCCCCAGCAACGCTGAATCTTGCTCAAGGGAACCATAATCTTCGATCTCGACATTCGCTGTATCGTGCTGGAGCGTCTACTCTGTTCTTCCGCCTTGCTCGGTATTGGTATTGGTAGTGTCCTGTGTACTTTTTCAACTGAACAAGGTGCTACCATTGTAAAGATCTAGACTACCTCTTCCAAACGCCTCCCTTCCTCCCTAACCCTCACAGGCAGACCGGCAAATTTTGACCGCAATGCTTCGTACTTGCGCCTCTGGCTCAGTGACACGCTCGGTCCGACCTTACCAAGTGCCCCCGCAAAGTCTTCTTCCGTCACGACAACACAGTGGCTTTTCTTGATTCCCCTTTGGTTCCTTCTACCTCCTCGAGGGAACCCAACACTCGCCTCAGCGCAACAACACCGGCCTCACGTACAAGAGCTGCAATATCCGCTCCACTGTACCCTTCACACTGCTCCTGTATCAGTGTTTCTGTAGTGGGTTAACACCGTCTCATCCCGCAGCGGCACTCTGCGTACAAGAGTCCGTAAGATTTCGACGCGCTCCTCTGCGCTGGGAAGGTCGACATAGAGGAGCTTGTCCAATCGCCCAGGTCGGACCATCGCAGGATCAATCATATCTGGCCGGTTGGTGGCGGCAATGACATAGACCGACTTGCGAGCGTCGAGACCATCTAGCTCAGTGAGCAGGGTATTCACGACCCGCGCAGACTGAGTCAGACTGGACATTGCAATGCAGATAGAGTCAGCTACATTTCACGCGGTGAAAGTAATCACACACCAAACTATCGTCTCGCCGTGGGACTAAAGCATCCAGTTCGTCGAAGAAGATGACGCAGGGTGATGATGCTCGTGCGCGGGAAAAGACTTGTCTGACTGCCCTTTCACTCTCACCAACATACTGGAGCAAGCAATTTGAGGAAGTTCTCGCATCTACGTAAAGAAAATTAAAAGGAAAACATACTTTGTTTAGGAGCTCTGGACCTTTGACACTGATGAAATTTGCTCTCGATTCATTTGCCACTGCTTTTGCAAGCAATGTCTTTCCGCATCCAGGCGGACCCCATAGCAACACGCCGCACGCTGCTACGATGCCAACAGCACTAAATAATTCGGGTCGTCTAACGGGCTGGACGATGGCCATCTGGAGTTCTTCACGAATACCACGTAAGGCACCGACGTCAGCCCAAGTAACGTCTGGAACTGTTGCGAAGCCCTCCCGCTTTGATGAAGGTTGTACTTCCTGACAGTGCTGCACGAAAGTCCGATGACGTTATACACAAAGGAGCGAGTTGAGAAGGCGTGAGTGGCGACGGGTGAGCACTCAGAAAGTGAGCGATAGAACTCGAAGACAGTTGTGAAATCAGGGACGAAAACGGTGCTGAGTTAGAGCTTGCCTCCGCTGTGGGCGTCTGAGGATCTGAGTCAACGGTCATCGAAGTATCTCCACTTATTGCTTCTTGAATACCAGGTAATACGAGCGACCCGTCTTTCAACTGTTGGAATATCCGCTTGACTGCTATGATCCCTGCTGCTCCTGTCAGCGCTGACAAGTCTGCACCCACGTACCCCGGAGTGGCCTTTGCCAGCGCGGCAAAGTCAAAATCCCCTTCGAGTCGGAGCTTGGCGCATAAAACGCGCAAAATCCTACCATCCATACTGAATCAAGTCCGAAATTGTTCCCAAGATTTAACAACTAACTTCTGCCTGGCTTCCTCGTCTGGAACGCCCATACTGACTTCGTGGTCGAAGCGACCCGCTCGCCTGAGTGCAGCGTCGAGAGAATCTGGGCGATTCGTGGCTCCAATCACGATGACGGGTTTATTGTCATTTTTCTCCCAAGACATGTCTACCGATTAAACTCGTTAGTTAGAGCGAAACCAGCAGTGATTCAACTCGCCATCCATGCATGTCAGGAACTGAGCTACGATTCGACGCTCCATCTCTCTTTGAGCGCTTTCTCGTTTCGGAGTGATGGCATCTATTTCGTCAATAAACAGAAGACAAGGTGCAGCACGCTGTCGTGCCAAACATGAGACCGGTGCTCGGTAGCATATTGCTGAAGCGTACTTTAGCCTCCTCGAAGGTATCCCGTAGCGTTTTCTCCGATTCTCCTGACATCCCGGAGACGATGGACGGCGCGGAGATGTTAATGAAAGGCACACCAAGTTCCTACGCAGTCCCGGTCCATGTAAGTAACATCGCCAATTGATGATAGTACACTTACCCCAGCAATTGCATTCGCCAGTAACGTCTTTCCACACCCAGGAGGACCATGGAGAAGCACGCCACGAGGAGGCTGAACTCCAGTATGCAGGTATATTTCGGGATGGCACAACGGCATTGCGACAAGCTCAAGCATCTTTTCCACACACCCCTCAACACCGCCAAGATCAGATAGTCTAGTAGTCGGCGGCTCGTAGGTTTGCACGGGACCACCGCTGCTGCCGGCTTTGATCCGCTTGTTGCTTTGCTCAGTGGTGCAGCTCGTTCGTAGCCTACGCTTCGAAGATGGTCTGCCATCCGTGGAGGATGAACCCGAGGCCGTAGTATTAGGAGTAATGGTTGTAGCTGGTCCTAGTTCAACGGGGTCCTCGTTCTGATTCTTGTCCTGTGGCTGCGTGTCCGGGAGCTCATCTACGGAGAGCGGCGCGACAACGGTTGCCGGCTGGTTAGGGACGGGGGCCGCATTGAGGTTTAGCTTCGCTTTTCTATGGGTTGACCATAAACTCTGCATTGATCTATTGAGAGCATTTGAACCCTGCCTGAGATCATCAACGGAGCGCGTAATAAATTCGTGGGCGCAACTTACATCCATGGTATAGCATACAATCGAGTTTTCTATGTGTGACAACCGTATAGCACTCTCCTTTTATCAAGCACTGGCACCCAGCAGTGTTTGGGCTCTAAGAGATATGCCTATTGGCTCGTGGTGGGCTGCAACTTAAATCTTGCACAGCCACAGTATTGCAGCCCCAATGCGAAGTACGCCTTCTCGATCGCAGGCGTTTGTATGGGTGGTGCGGGGTGCAGGTACGATGTTCATTGAACACAACCAAGTTTGCTCAAAACTCCATGAGATACACATTTGCAGCCTTCAGGTTATCTCAAGGCTCCGTGAGCGTTATGAATCCACAATTCGATGTTGGAATCAGCTAGTATGATTATGATTCGAAGCGGTATCATTAGCATTACAGATCAATGCCTAATACATCTAATAAGTACTGGTCTGCCCTGACCTCACAGCCCCGCAGGAAGGACTACAGTTCACAACGTCGCGTTACCTTCTTCCTCTTCCGCCCACCGGTCGTGTCTGGATCCCCGGACTCCGGCGTCTCAACACCCAGCATCGCCATTAGCCGGCGCTTCTCTTCCACCTGCACGGGGTCCTCGTACGTCACACGCATGCTTTCGTCTGGTGGTCGCATGACTTCCAGCAAATTAATATTCTCGTAGCATGAGCTGTCGAACTCGAGATCTAGTCCGGGTCGGGGGTGAGAAGGTAAGCTATTGAGAGAATCCTTCCGTACGTTGGCCTGGAAGAGTCATGATAGATATCAGAATTCGAGTTCATCGACCTCTAGCAGCAGGATTGTTACCTTCAATGGCGGCGGCGGTCTTGGTCGCTTCCCTTTGCGAGATTGTGGCACGGAATCTTCGTCAGATGACCGTTTTCCAAGAAGAGTTGTGAGAGTCTTTTCAAGTGCTTTGGCAACATCACCTAGGCCCGGTCCATCTGTGGAGGGTGCCTCATCTGGTGCGGAGCTGGGTAGAAGTTTCATTGGGGATGGTGACTTCGACGAAGGTATTGTTTCTGCGCCCTGCGAGGACAGATCAATAGGCGAATGGTGGAATAATCCGCTGTCAAGTTGTCCAGGAGACGGTTCCGGGACTATGGGAGCAATATCCAGTGGGGGAGAGCTGCTCTGGGGTGGCGGTCGGGGTGGTGGGGAGGATCGCGGCGAAATGGACGCCGCACGCCAGCCATCTCCATTCAACAAACCAATCGGCCTGCCGAACCAAACCTGTCCTTCATCGATATTTGAGTGTTGCATCGTGCCTAGCGAAAGCGAAACCCGTTCGCCTGGTCTCTCTGCAGGAATCTGCCGACCCGAGGACACATCTTCGTTTGGCTGTAAGAATTGGCCTCCGCGGACAAAACCTCCCTTGCTACTGGTAACATCTCCCGTGAGAACGTCAACTTCCCTTCCCTTTCCTTTATCTACTTTGGGCCTCAGGGAGGCCTCAGCGCTTCCGGAGGGTGGGAGGGAAACCAGGTTGTTCTGGAGATTGCTGACGAGGTACCGACCAACGTCTGGAACAGATCCTTGGCGTGCCATAGAATCAAGCCACCCCATTGAAACGACTGGTATTCGCCACTCCAGGGCTTTGTCAAACTTTGCGCCCTTCGCGCTGGGACATAGTAGATGCGTGGAACGGTAGGAGAATGTCTGTGCGATAGTAATTCCTGAGTAATGTAAGCAATGACTCGATACGTCAATGTGATGGTACCAACCAAGCGCCCGGAGCAGTCGACGAATCCAACATAACTCAGACTGGTCAAGACCAGATAAACTCAAGAGGATCTTCTCCACGCCTAACAGGCAGTGAAAGTAACATGAGCTTCTCACCTAACCTGATCGGATGGCAAAAACAAACCGGGGATGGGAGTGGATATCGCCAGTGGTGTGAAAGAAACGTTGTCTTCTGGTGCACAGATCCGTTCGAAGAACACGGAGTGCTCGAGCCAGCATTCTGTGCGGTACTTCGTACGTTCCACCTCATCAGGTTCGTCGCGGTAAAGTTTACTCCCACTACATGTTCTGCGTAAGTAAGAGTTGAGGAAGCAGTCTTTGTCAAACAGTACCTGATAAGCCGAACAATGATGAAACTAACTTCCGCCGTGTCGTCGTCTGTAACCACTCCACCACCGTTCTCAATTGCTGAGCGGACATTCGGACACCGCGCCTCTCCAAGCAAACGAAAGGTGTAGGCCAGAAAAGAGAGTAGCTGCTGTAGTGTTTGTTTCCTGATTGACAGAATGCTTTGACCTGCTGCTACCTGCACTTTCTGGACCCTGGCCAGCAATGGAGGTGGATGGCCTGAATGGTTGTCGGAGCAGGGGTTCCTTCGTTATGGACGCGAACGAGTGCGCACGTTTAAATGTCGAAAGGACGCTTTCTTTAGTCTTGGCCTCGGTATTCAAAGAAGCCCGCGGAGGTGGCAAAGGAGTCGACAACGGTAGCGGCCGAGTTTGTGATTTTGATGGACTACGGACAAGTTTTCCCCCTTCTAGTTCAAAACCTCGGGGTTTAAGGAGACCCTGCCAGAGATGGAGAGTAACCGCAGGTGTGCGCTTGATAGCCGCATCCTCTTCTTCATCAAGGTCATTAGGAAGTTGGTCAATGGCCGTAAAAGTTGGTTGAGACGGCTGGCGTTCTGGAGCGATCTGCACTTGCGGAAGGTTTTCAGTAGGGTTACTATCCGACGAGTTGCGCGGATCCACATGGGCACCAGTGCCAGATTTGTCAGCCGGAATCGTAGACATTCGCTCTGAACCACGAGGTACACGATTCATCCACTCATTTCCGTGTAGCGACCGTCGTTCTGGCCTTGGTCGCTTCACGTGGTACTTCCTTTCATCGAATCTACCTTGAATGTGACTGTTGGACTTCTGCGAGACGGTCACCACAGAAACTTACCACCAAACTCAAGGCAATCCCAGAACCACTCCTCCCACACAAGGTGTATGCTTGCCTCGCCGCGTTGATTGAATCTCTCGGCGTAATGCATCTTGTCCGTCTCCACATCGCCTGAGCAGAGAAGATGCGTGACCTTAACCGGCCGTTCAATATTCTTGACATACACCCCTTGTTCAGCAGTGAACAGGCGGTTGATCTCAGCACAGCGGTCCACATCGCCTATGCCAGATAGCGACATGATGACTCCAGAAAATACGGGGAGACGGTATTTGGATACACTCTGGACAATATGTTAACACAATGCCACTAACGAGTGACAACCGAACCTCTCGAAAATCGACATCATCACCACGTAGCCAAATAGCATGAGATTCGTTTATCCATTCAGGAGTCATGATCGGGATCTTGCGTTCCAAGGCGCACTACACACTTGAACACTATGAAGAGACACAAGTGAAAGTCTGTCGGGCTTACCATGTACTTTGGTCCGCCGTGCGCGCTTGCTATCAGATGCGTAACTTTGTCGGTAAAGTCACTGTTTGACAATGCCCCAAGTTCAAATGCTTTCTTGAACAACGTAGGCTGCAATAACATGACTTCGTATCCTCATCTCCGCAAGCTGACCAGACGCCCGTACACACCTTGTCTACTTGACCGGTTGCACATACGGTGACACCTTTGAAGGGCCGTGGACACAAGTCCACCATGCTCGCATTCGGGGCCATCTCGGAATCGGAGCTGTTGTCTGGCCATGACGTGTCTCGATCGCAAGCATGGTATTCCGATGTTTGGGCCGGTCGTAGTTTGACGTTTGGAACCTGTTAGGTTAACTGGGACGTGAACGGGCCGGCAACAAGGCTGACAGCGTCAAGACCGACCTTGTGTGATTTGTTCCTGCGTCTCATCGCCAACTCATGTGAAGTCTATGGTCCATTTGTTTAACCGCGCCTATGACACGAATCACGTGATTGGATCAGGGCAGGCTTATACGCGCTTGGACTTCGACTGATCTGTCACTCCGCCCTCATGGACAACTGAGGATGGTTCGGTTTAAGGTGCGTGCTGTGCACAGACCTCAACAGGGGACGTCTTAACGGCGTAAACAGAATCGGTGGTTTCTAGTGGAATTCATTACTGTTTCTCCCGAATCGTCACAGCAGCCTTCCTTTGACAGCAAGCAGCTCTACTCTGCGGTGCGACAAAGTGTAGTATCCAACTTCGGAGACACGGGATGGGGTGCGGTTGGCATGTCGCTCACCAGTAAGTCTTTCTCTTTCCTTGACAAGTCTCTTCTCCGATCCGTGTAGTCAAATATTTCTCCCCGACAACAAATATATGCATCGTCCGTGTCGCACGAGACCAACATAAACTGGCTTGGGGCGCGATAACCTTACTCACCTCTGTCAATGGTGTGCGCATCATCCCAAACGTTGTCCATGTCTCAGGTGGGTGCCAGCCCCGGCTGTTACCCTTAACCCACCTTTCTCTGACGACCATGTCTTACTGATGCCTTCTAGGTACCATCAAACATACTCAGCTGGCTGCGATAAAGCATAACAGGGAGATTATCTCTCGTTTTCGGGCTCGAGCGAAGAATCCCGGTAAGAGAATTCGCCGGTTATGGCAAGCTCGGGATATATTTTCTGAACCTTTCCACAGCTGCATACCACGCACAGGATTCCTACGAGCCTTACTTGGTTCAGAGTACACGCGAAATTGAAGTATTGCAGGAGTAAGAGTTTCTCCAAGACTCAAGATTAAGATTCCAGGTGTACAATCCACCTCATGGGCGAAAACACTTCCCACAGCAGCATCGTATGTTTGGTGGAGTTGTTGTTTTGAGAACACTGTTCGTCCTGTGGAGATCTTGAAGCAGCCCGGGGCAGGTTATCTCCTCTCGACAAAGAATCATGTCGGTTTCCGTTGGTGTAGTTGGTCGAAGCAGCTTAGATGGGTGCGAGGCTTCACCGGTGGTCGACCACCTGTCCGTTACGATACAAGGAAACGAAGACTTAGTCCCGACTCATGGCTTCTATAAGTCTATTATCTCCCCTGAAACGGGTCATGCTCTTGGCACTACTAGCTATAGCTTCGACTCCATCCATGTTCTCACTCCAATTTCTGATGCCATTTGGTTCCACTCCTTCCTGTCACGTCGCGCATCCTCGATCCGGCGATGAGCCCAAGCGACGATGCCCTGTATCAATATCTCAACGTCTTCACGCGTATGCCCTGCCTGCAGGCATATACGAACACGCGACGTCTCCCGAGGAACGGTCGGTGGGAAGATAGGCTTTGTGTAAATAGCAACAGATGGCGGTGTATGATGGGAATTCGTATTTGAGTATTCGGACGGCGAGAATGCTAAGAGGAAAGTTGACAGCGAACGTGGCTCCGCAGTTAGGAGAGGTATGATTTGCGATGGAAATTGAAAGGGCTGGGATGATGGTGTCCCGGTTGATCTTTGTGTGAACTTGGCAGATTGTTTCCCGTCGCACTGTAAGGACTTCCCATTCGACCCTTCGGCTTCCCGATGAGAGTTATGCCCAGCTTCGCCACTCCGATGCCCGTGCTGCAACCTCGATGAGCACTCCTGGAGGTGATCTGGAAGTCTGAGAAGTGTAGGGGGTATGCTTTTAAGATGCACACGGATGCGATTCACGAAAAACGCGCAGAGCTCCATCAGGTGTGCAGCGAGCTACCGAGAAAGAACTCAACAGTCATTCCATGAGTTATCGGCGGAATGCCTACCACTTCTGTGGTTCCATCCTCGAGCATATCGAACGAGCATCCAGCTGCTATGACACTAGCGTTTGTAAGTGCAGTGGTATATATGAAGCTGCGCGCGTAGTTGAGAAGGTAATCTCTAACTAGCTCTGTTACCAATAGGACAGCTGGATGCTAATTGGGTTCAGTCTCTTCATGGACTGACCCAATGACTCACCTCCCGACGCAGCCAGAGACTTCCCAAAGGTGTGTAATCTAGCGAAGATCCTTTTTTCTAGACCAAGAGAGGTAACTAGTCCTCGCCCCTTAGGACCATAAATTCCCGTCGCATGAGCTTCATCCACGATCACGAATCCGTTACCTAGCGGCAGCATCTCTTCCACGCAATCCACGATCTCCGACAGGGGCGCAAACGTCCCATCCATACTATACAGACTCTCAACGGCCACGAAGATACTCGATTTGCCCGTCTTCAAATCTTCTCCATGGCTAAGGAGACGTCTAATGATGTGCTTGAGAGCGGGAACAGAGTTGTGTGCAAAAGAAATGAGGGAATCGCGGGATAAACGGGAAGTTCGCATGCCATCATGCACAGAGGCATGAATGAGCTCGTCGTATATGACTACATCACCTAGTTGGGGAACAGCTGAAAATAACCCAACGTTGGCGTCGAATCCGGAATTGAAGAGGATTGCGGCTTCGGCGTCAAAAAAACGGCAGAGGCGCGCCTCTAGAGCAGCGTGTGCAGGAGCAGGAACGAGTAAGCGTGAGCCACCCGATCCAAGGATATCTGGGGTGGAACTGAGAGCGTCAAGGACTGCCCTACGAAGGGTGGGCGATCGAGATAGTGAAAGGTAGTCATTGGAAGTGAAATCGATCACTGATTGTCCGGATGTCACTATCTGAGAAAATTCTGGAAGGCGGCGCCTGATAAGACGTTCGTCTCGGGATTTGAGGGCCGCCGAGAGTTTTTGGTCCAAAGAACGCATTTTATTTTTCGGATACTTAACGAAATGAAGTGGGGATGAGGCAGCTGGGGGGGATATAACTTCGATCTCGTCGACCTAAAAGCACTTACTCTAAGATACGACGTTCACTGTCAACTAGCTGTAAACTTGGACTCGGAGATAAATCGCTACTTACAGCCTGTTTTTTTTTCACAGCTGCCGGAAGTCCGTCTTCAGTAGCAAAAGCCTGGCTCAGTACTGTTCGTGATACGACGAGTCGCTTTTCAAAATCCTCGTGGTTGGCAAACTGTCGATCCAATATCAAATCAAATCAAGATCACACGCAATCACCCGACCTCCTTCTTTACGGTTTGGCATAGTTAAGCTTTCTTCATCTTTATAGAGTGGATCGAGGCTCGGCAACAATCCCTATTGCAGCCAATCATTGGATCCGATCGATGGACTGTTAACCCATTGTGAGCCTGAGTTCTTCAACCTTGACGCGGGTGCCAAGAGTCCGCTGAGACGGCGCACATAGGTACACCTGTGTAAATTTTCCGAGATAACCATACATAGCGTGCCTGAGTCGTGCTGGTAGGGTGATGATAGTAACCCTAGTAAGCTGAAAGCATCAGATAGCATCCCACTTTAGTTCATGTCCATCCTTGTTTTTATTTTCTGGTAGGTGTCTCGCTAAAAAGGCAACTGATCAAATTGATCAAATCAGCCCTTTGAAGTTGAGGCTTTCACAGGCTTTCTCCCGAAGTCCACCCTAGCCCACCCTTCAGTACAGTCATCCTCTGTTTGTCAAGCGGCGCCGATGTCGATGGGCCTCACCAGACAAAAGTTCCGAAGGTAATTCAAAAACAACAACAACTCAGTTCTACATATGTGCAGGTCAAGTGAACCTCTGTGAACCTCCAGGAAAAAAACACCTTGCTGCCAACGCATGAGAACTTACGGCATGAAATGGTCAGCCAAATGTACCACCGGAATCTAATTCAAAGGGGCCGAGTACCACAGGCGCAAAACGCAACGTGGCTTGAAGGTTGTGTCTCGGCGGGGCAATCGGTTAGAGCATGGATGACCGGGCAATCTCAAATTCCTTTTTCCTTAACGGATACAGAACCAAGATCCACTAGTGATCCACCCCAGATATAAGTATGGTTGTCTCGGAGAAAACCCCGGACTACTTGAGATTTCTCCCTCTCTCCCTCTACTTTTCCTTGTCTCCCAATGGGCCCTAATCCATTATACCTTCGTGTAAGTGTGGTCTTTCACTGAGAATGAGAATGCCTGGGCACTGACCCGCCTCCGCGTACTCTAAGTCAATCGACGGAAAGCCGGGTATTTTGATTGATTTCATCATTGTCGGCGGAGGAATCACAGGTTTGGCATGTGCTCTGGGACTGAGGAGAATTGGCCATCGTGCCATCGTGCTTGAGAAAATGGTCGTGGAAGATGTTTCTCGTGTATGTTCAAGGTCATTCTGCTGTACGCTGATTCATCCAACACTTGTTTATGCTCGCAGTTGGGGAATGGAGGTAGCAGGTTACCTCCCAACGCTTCCAAGATTTTGTTTCAGTGGGGTCTCGAGGCTGCCTTACGGGAGTTTGCAGTGTCATCTTCAGGGGTGGAAGTCATGAGATGTGGGTTCTTCGAGCGCTGAAATGGCAAGTTGAATCTGAGCTTTACGCGCAACAGATGAGACAGGTGACTCACTGGGCACTCATCCTTGGGAAGAGGAGATCCTCCGAGAAGCTGGTGGCGAATACCTGTTTTGCCATGTGACTACGCTCCCTTTTCCACTTGAAATACGTTTGCTAAGTGACTTAGCATGTGGACTTGTGGCAACTGTTGCTTCGGGCCGCAAAGGAAGCTGGCGTCGACGTCCGACTCGGCGCGAATGTCACTTCAATAGACGGAGACGATTGTAGCGTCAGATTGTCAGGGGGTGACGTGCTCCGTGCTGATGTTGTCATCTCCGCGGTTGGTATATCAAGTGACCTGCGGACAGTGGTGCCAGCGAATGATCATTGTCTATACGACTCGACCCCGGTGTTCTGCCGATTGTACAGGTGAAGAAAATGATTGTGTTCAAGGGCACATCGAGTAATATTATCGGTCAGCCTAATTGTCCCGTCGCAAGTTATGCTCCAAGACCATCTTCTTGCCCAGATGTATACCCGGCCTTCGGTATGTGCCGTCCTATCAACCAGATATCCATCCTCATGCCCCAGCTTAGCCACCCGCTTTTTTGTGGCTGGGACACCGTGCATCTGGACTCGCAAGTCGGGTGGTAAGTAATTGGAATGTTGTCAAGTACTACTTTCTTCATAGTCCCTTCTGAACAGGGAGGCGTGAACGGGTTTATGGTTCACATTTGGGTGTCTGACTACCCACGGTCGACTTCCAATGAAAGCGAATGGACTACTCAAGTCAACGAGGCAGACTGGAAATTCCTGATAAGTCATTGCGAGCCAAGGTCAGGTGACGTCTCCAGGTGGTGAATCCTTCGTGACAATTGTCTAGGTTGCAGAGACTAGTGCAATGGAGCCACGTTTCGAATGCACGAGCCTGTGAAAATTGTACCTCAGTTAGAAAACTGGGTGCATCCTAGTGGTCGTGTGCCAGTGGTTGGGGAGGCTGCTCATCCGCTGCCGGTATGTTGGTTAACACACGCGAATTGTTCGTCGATATACCAACGACCTTCACAGGCTGGTTCGGTGCAATTAACCGCCTCTCGGTATTGAAGACGCAGCGGTGTTCGCCAAGTTATTCTCGCATCTCACGTCCGAAGACCAAATACCTATGTTCCTACATGCTTTCCAGGATCTGCGGGAGGACCGTTGCAAGCGCGTCTTAGACTCTGAACTAGATAACTTGATTATCCCGTATGATGCCGAATAGTCCCGAACAAGAGGAACGGGACAACATCATGCGCGAGCGTCAAGCGCTAGGCTTAGGCGTTCTTGGTGCTGGTGGGGGGAAATTGCCGGATCAATGGGATCAACTAAAGGAGTTATTCGGGTACAATGCCGAAGACGAAGCCGATGATTGGTGGGTCAAGTGGGGTTTGCTGAGGGAGCGCGCGAAGCAGCGGTCGATCGAACTGGAGGAACGGATACATGTTCACCTTCAAGCAGTCAACATTAGTAACGAAGATGACGATGGCGAGTAAGTCTCCTTGTGCGCACATTAATGCCAGGTGCCGGCACTTTCATAGGTTTCCAATACTACTTCCAAATCGGCTCTCTCATTAATCACATTTTAATCCTCATTCATGGCCATATGATTTAACATATCACTACCACCGAATGTACTATAGCTTGCGAACAAATCTGGCAAACTCTAAGCCCTATCCTTGGTCAACGTGCAAAAAAGTCCACCTGTCGTTTTGTAATCTCGGAATTCTTACTCAAGAGCATCCCGCCATCTGCCTTCGAATGCAAGTTGATGCGTCCATGAAGGAACCTGGGTATAGCACAATCACAGACAACAAAGGAAAAAGATGTTAAATATCCCAGATATTCGAATCTAACGCAAACCGACTGAGTCGAGCTATGTGCGCTATCGGCAACTATAACTAGTGAGGGGCAATGAGATCCGAGCTCTCAAAAACTAGAGGTCAGCATCGGAGAAAGATCTCCCTTCGCTTTTCTTCCTCGCTAAAATACTCCTGAGATCCCTGTACCAAGGGAGGGCACTAAAAATCAACGTACCGGTATTCAAACATCAGTTGCACCCCGACAAAAAGACAGCAACACGCAGTGACTAAAAATCGGAAACCTTACAAAAATTAAGTCGACAGGGAGCAAAAGGCATACAGGTAACATTACCTTCAAGGCTGCCCGTGATCTGTCTTGACAAGTAGAGCACCCCCTCTGTTCCGACCACGAACCCGACAAGGTTAGCGGTCATCATCATAACAATATTGAAAACGGCGCCGATGGCACAGACATGTCGATACCACGAATAATGTCCATACTGTTGCCAGCGCTTGGTGAGGAACATTGCTACCATTGTGTAAAAACGCACCTTCGATTGTGGAAGAAGGTGGGCAGCTAACATCTCTGGCACGATGAACAAGCTGACAAGCCAGCCCCATGCAAGTAAACGGAACGACAGATCATGCCAAAGGGCAACAAATGTGAATATAAGTAATGTGGCCACTGCAACGTGTTTCGTTCCGCCCAGGGGAATATATATGTATCTGGCCACCGATTAACTTTCGGCTCCGGATGAAGATGGAGGTCTTACCGCACCACCCAAAGATTGTAGGAACGATGCCAGCTTCTCCAAAAACCCGTCGTGGAATAGTTGTTGGCCATACAGCGAACCATGTTCTCTGGAGGATCGATGCCACTGGCCAGCGACCACAACCGGAAGAAACGCCAGGGAAGGAGAAGCTAAGGGTCAGGAAAAATAAAATGTGAACCCACGAATGAAGTCCATAAAAAGAGATAGCAAAACCTTTAACCATACGATTATCAAGTTCCAAAATCCGATCATGCTCAGTTCAAGGGGGGTGTCGCCTATCCAAGCCTTTGTATCCTTGATTGCTACCACGTACATCGTATGGAGGATGAACTCCATTGTGATTAGGCAGATAAGAAAGCGTATGAAGTAGCTCATAACGGAGAGGCGTGAAATCTCCTGCGGCCGGCGTAACTGCGATTCGTCAGCTGAGCATTTATTCGTGCCAGAGAATTGACAAGAGAACCTGCCACAGGAAATCGTTATATGTCAAGATGGGACCAGCTATATAAAGCGGAGGAAACAGAATATAGGCCAAGTAATTTGCATATGTGTAAAACTCGAGTGGATGGGGTGTACTGGTCCTTTCTTTCTGAGTTGTCTTTGCGTCGCGCTGTCGAGGTGTATCATTTCTGGCCCATGTAGAATCAATCCTATTGAACCTACATCTTCTGGATTCCGCGACTTGCAAGCCCAATAGTAGTCCATGTTGAACGACACCAGCCTCAACATGGTTATGTTGAAACTGATATGCCAGCGGGGGTAGAGGCCTTCGAAAATGTCCTATCAAGGGTATCCGTCAACAATGGCATTCACTTCTCACTGTCGCCTCACCAATGCTGCCAACGAGGGATGCAAGCTCGAGAAGCGATAGCCCTCATTCCACTCATTTGCAAACAAAACGGAAGCGTTGAAAATCCATGTCATTAATGGACCGATTCGAGAACCTCGTAGGCCCTTTCCTATGTAATAGTTGACTGTGAGGATGATCAAGATTTTGATGGTACTTGTGCCATGGAGGCCAATGAGGTATAAAGCAGCAAAGAAGACGACATAGGGTACAAGATGAATGTTGTCCTTGGGTATTGCCGAAGTTGAGCCAATCGCTGAACGAACGTATATCCACTGCAGGGTAAGATAGACTAAAGCAAGGAGAGAAAGGGCAGGGATGTTATCTCGAAAGGCGCGGTATTGACGGTCGCTGTTATCCTACGAACAATAATGCAAGCGAGAATCAGTAGTGGACGTTGGATGAGGCGCACGATATTGGCTTACAACTTCGCGACCAAACAACCAACCAGGTTTAAGTTGATGACGAAAAAATGGGTAATTCGCATTTGTCGCTATGCATGGTGCGAAGAACGTCAAGGTAGATCCGCCCGCTTGAAATGCGGTCTGACATACGTGAACTTAAACGAATTGGTACCCAAGCCATAAGAGGGACCACGACGACGAATACGATGTAATAGAAGATAAACTCGGGTGTCTTCCAGCGTGGAGGCGACGATGGCCCATCTGGTTGTCTATTCTTTCGCGAGGATGGGATGCCAACTGTGAGGGACGCGATGCCCCGAGTTGTGTCCAGGGGGGCCATGTCTGCTGGTCCAAAGTGGTGGACAGCAACCTTCGGATTGTGAGTGTCAGTAAGAGGCATGTCAATCACAACGTCGTCCGGCATGCCAAAAGACAGCAACTGTCCAATCAGGCGATTCTGACCGAGGTCATAGAATGGTAGATGTGTCAGTGTATGTTGTGTAACGCATCCGTCGGACGTGAGAATGCCATCAAGCTGCCTTCACTCGTGCAGGAAACTCTAACTTCCTACGCACCACAAGTCAGTTCAAAAGCAAGTGTCTCTGAGCACGTTGCTGATACGATGCTCGGTCGTACAGTGGAAGACGTCTCCAGTGGATCCGATTCTGACTACTCTAAGTGAGTGCTGTCAACATTACTGGGCTGGATCAGCAGCTCACGAGGCTCTTCAGCTCAGTGAGCTACTCGGGTAGAAAATCATAAACATATGTCGATGTGACTTTTTCTACAGTGGATCTCCTGGTTTCTATCCTCCAAAGGCAATGAATATTTCTGTGAAGTCGACGAAGATTATATCTTAGATAGGTTCAACTTGACCGGGCTCAACAACGAAGTCAGCAACTATGGCCAAGCCTTAGACTTAATTACTGACAATCTTGGTTCGTATCAGAAGGGCTTTTCAGATGTTTTTCTGAGCTTTTACTTTTCAGACGATGATATACAAGACGAACTGCGTGGCGCTCTGGATGTACAGGCCCGCTTACTATACGGTCTCATCCATGCGCGGTGGATCGTAACCGCACGCGGACTTGCAAAGATGGTGTGGCAATCGCCTAACTTTTCGTACCTTGAACTAACTTTTGATCAGCTTGAAAAGTACAAGAGGGTGGAATTTGGTCGCTGCCCTCGTGTTCTCTGCCAGTCACAACCCCTCTTACCGGTGGGACTGAGCGACATTCCGTATGAGAAATCTGTCAAACTGTACTGCGGCCGCTGTGAAGATGTTTACTCTCCCAAATCATCACGACATGGTTCCATCGATGGCGCGTATTTCGGCACATCCTTCCCGCACCTCTTCTTCATGGTTTATCCTAACCTTATCCCACCAAAAGTTGGCCCGATTGAAATCCCCCCTACTCGTCCTCATGAATCCGAGGTTAATAAGAGGAACAGGCGGACACGGGAAGAGCCAGAAATCCCTGAGAATGTCACTGAGCCAGGGAGTACTGCTGCAGCTGCACTAAAGGCCGATCGGTATCGTCCACGGATCTATGGTTTTCAGGTGCACGAGATTGCTAAGTTGCAGAGATGGCAAGAGGCAGTCAGAGATAGGTAAAGATAATTTCTTCCGCTTGTTCATGTTATGCCTAATTTTTCGATCAGACAAGTGAGCAGGCTGGAAGCGCTGGAGGACCTCTCTTGACTTGTTGTACGACTGTGCGTTCTTTTATGTCGCCAATATTGGTCAGCCAGATAAACCACATATTAGATCGGAGCACTGCTCTGCTGTGAGGGATCGCGATCCATTCATGCGGCTTGGATGAGCAGCTTTCCCTTCTACATACTTCAATGTACATATGCGTACATATATCACTTTCAGTCGTAAGTAGTTGGTAGATACGCGATGGCCGACTCAATTCTTTCGCTTGCTCTTTGTCTTTCTATGTGGTCGCTAACCGAATGCTAAAGCGATTTGTCTTGAGAAAGGTGCACCGCTCGCAGAATGACGCTCATTTTTCGGGGAAGGAAATCTAAATGAAGTCGTCGTAGTCGGGGAGCTGGGTGGCACCATAGGAATTGAAATAACCTTCCGGAGCCACGTGGAGGGAGCGTGGAGTTGTATTGCGATTTGTTTCGGTGCACATTGATTCACCCCAGTGTTGAAATACGCCATGAACAGAATCATCGCAACGTTCACCGAGGACTCCTAGACTAGATTACACACGTCGACATATCGGTGAGATTTTTGTTGCATGTTTCGGTAGCGTACGTCTCAGTCATCAGTGAGAAAGACCCACCGCACTGAACCACGCGACCTTTGTAAGCTTGTATGATGCGGAGAACGGACCGGAGGCCCTGCACACACCGGCTACGGCTACGACTGACAGTCAGTAAAGTAATAGTATAGGTATATCTCTCAGGACTTCCTCTTCTTGGAGCGTTAGAGTGAACGATTGGCTCGTGGACAGATCTGTCTGACCCCGACGGTGTTCGTAACTCGAGGCTTCGGAAATGGAGCCCAATCCCGCAGCCCCAGGGTCTTGTTAGATTGACATGCCTTCGTAAGGCGCTTCATGGAGGGCTTCACAGCATTGCACATGGACTCTTGACTCGAGGGCTTCCCAACATACGCCTCCAGTGCGTCATGTTGTGTCGTACACGTGAGAAACACAAGGTGTCATCCGGGATGTGAAACAGACTCGCCGAGAGGCATGCTCCCAAACCGCGTGTGGTCGATAAAGAAAATGGGATGTAAATAGTATGGTGCAGTTAGAGAGAGAGTACATGATAGGCTTGCTGCAACCAAATGCATGCAAAGGACGACATACAATGGCAGAAGTAAAAACGAGCATGAAGTCACAGCCAAAATTACAGCATAGCTAGAAAGGGTAAATGGATATCGTCGGGAGCTGCAACTCCAATACAGCTGGCTGACGAGAAAGCTTCAAACCATTCTGTTGGGACAATTCCTGTTGCGATGGTCAAACATAGTGTTCTTGCGGGTGAAGTCCTGGTCGCAGGTAGGACATGGCCAACGCCACAGGAGGTGTTGTTCCCTTAGGTGGCGGATTAAGCAATCCCTGTTGAAATCCCGCTCCCGACAGCCTTCCCAGCGGCATCTATGCTGCGATGAGTGTGCCCCGGTCACCCCGTGACTGTCCCTGAGATGATGAGAGAAATTTTTGCCTTGCACCCATGCATTGCAAGATATGCCATTGTCAAGAATCCAGCGGCAAGTGCTGAATTTTTGAAAATGTCCGTTCTCAATCAATGACACATCATCCTACGAAGATTTCTATATAAGATCAGTTTGCACAGACGCGAAGTCTTCCAGCTCACCTCTACACTCCAGCTGCTGTTAAGATGTGCAGAAGGCATGGTAAGACTTGTGTGACGTTGGCAGTCGTTCAGAAACTTTGGAGGGCCTCACTGTCCGGTCTGAAGTGTTCCAGCCTGTAATATATACGTGTTCAAAGCCGCTGAAACCTTGCGGACATATGACCTTGCCAACGAAATGCATTGGCAAGGTGCGCAGGGGTCATGTCATCTGCTCGACCACTGAACAAACACCGGCAGATACTTGGTACCGTTAAGAGAAGCAGTCACCAACAGTACACGGCTCAGTGGACTTGCCCTGCGAGTCCATCGGACATAAGTCTGCCATGGCGGAAGAAGGGACCAAAATCCAACAATCTCCACGCTCATAGGAAGCATGGCATGTCCCTTCTCGGAAATCGAGGCCAGCAGGACGTGGCACATTTGACTGCGCTAGGGCGCTTGTTGGAGAGTTGTTTATCCTTCGGACAAGAGAAAATTGGCCGTTGCCGATCATTAATGGGCGTTTCGTGCTCTCTTGTGGTGACCAGCAATAAAGGAATGAAGGCATCAGTGTCCAAGCTCTTCCACATGCACGGTAGTTTCTGACTGCCGAAACCATGCGTTCCTTCCGATGCACCGCAGCATCAAGGAATCTCCAACGAACGCTCCTCTAACATGCTGGAGGAATAGAACGTGCAAACCAAACATGAGACAGGGGAACAGATGGAAAGGCGTAGGAATACAATAGAACGAGTAACTTGGGTGCCGCAGGGCCAGAATGCAGCCTTGCACGATTCGGGGATCGGATTTGATGGGACCGGAATCAACGGAAAACAAAGGCCCCAAACCTAGCCAGGATATCTCTGACCACGTATAATTATGTTCCTCATGAGTGTGACCCAGAATGCGTGTACCCCCCACACGAGAGAGAGGAGTGTACGATGTCACAAGTTATTGAATGAGGTTCTGTGAAAATTTTAACGGAGCGGTCAAACTAGACGTCAGCCCGCCTAGTATGATATCCCAGCGCGGGGCTAACCCAGGGTGTAATGGACAGCCCTATCGAATAGAAGACAGAAATCGGATAAGTGCATGATGACAATCGTGACCAGAAAGGCCATAGCAGACTGCCAGTATCACGCCAGGATAGCCTTGCCACGGGCCACTCCCCGCCAGAGCGGATAGACCTATGTTTACCGGGCAGAGTTGCGCAATCGTTCCCAAGTGGCTATTGCTGACCGAGAGACAGGCGGCGCTTGTTGGCAGTTGTGCTGTGCTGTTTTATAGCAAAGTTAATGACATGATCATGAGCTATCATATATCACTTACGGACCTCGTTGTAACAACGCCATATGCATTCGAGATCCTTGCACATAAAACGCAGCTTCTGATGTGTATCCTCAGAAGGAATGCATCCTTGCCAACTCCCCAACCTCTCTTGGCATCTTCCAATGTCATCGAATGAAAAAGTCCGCCGTGTGCGTACCTGCACATTGTTGTGACCGTCTTGATCACAAATCGGTTCTGTTTCGATTATGATTCGCGAGACATTGGGGAAAGAGCTCTGGAGTGCACTTGATCTGGTGGACCTAGACGTCCAGATTTGGATGTCGAAGTGTAGATTGACGCTTGATGGCTTGCAAATCTCGTGGTGTGTGACCCTCCGCTATCAACCGACCGCGATGTTTAAGTTTCATGGACGTCTTGTGTCCCTTACATCAAAGACATGTGGTAAATAGGCAAGCAATAACGATAAAGTATGTAGGAAACCGCAACATACCTCAGCTACCAAGTGCGTCCCATCATCCGTCTCCGTGATGGCTGTATCGTGGTCGCAAGTCCTGAATAGTCATTAACATATGATCTTGCGCTGTCATTAAAGAGAAAGGGAATGATGCAACTAAATGCGAATTATAAAGATAGTAGAAGTGCTCTGTCTTCGTCATTAAGCACAGAGGTACATAATTCATCTTGGAGCGTCCTTGGTTGAAATCATTTGACGTGGCGTGCCAATTCTAAACATCAACGAACCCTGGAGCAAGGTTATGAGGTCCTGCTTTGGTCCAATAGCTAAGAAAACATTGGGTGAAACCGTGACTGTGGGAACGTCTACATGATTACCGTACGACGCTCATTTTTAGGTTCGGACGGCAGTCACTCGCAGGTCGCATAGTTTCCGACTGATGGCGGACCAGATATCTCCAGGACAAAATCTTTCACTCGGTGCATTGAAAACCCCTGCCACGCCAAAAGTTCACCAATCACCAGGACACATAAGACACCCCCACGGCCAGAGCACCAAGGCACCTCGCTCCAATCACTGGTATCCAGCAGTGAACATAGGATCGAGCTTCTGACTCTGCAAAAATAAACCTGCGTTTGGTCAAAACTTGGAGGCCATCGATCTGCAAGTTCTCCTCGGCGTACAGACACCTTGCCCCTACGGTCATTTTATTCAGGCTCTACTAAGATTGACTTCGGTCCTCGTGGCACCTGGGTTAACCACGAACACCAGATTGCTTGTGTAAGCGTAAAATTGCGTGCGTTTCCAACGTGTGGCTGGACAAGCACGCTATCACAGGCTCCCACGTTGGTTGGAGCGAAAACTGAGAGTCACGGTTTGGAGGATCAGCACGCAAGACACCCTGGAGATAGGCGTCAGAATAGCGGGCTACTGAGAGATTGAATGTAGTACATACCAGATTATCGCCTGTAACTGCGATGAATGCTCTCATTAGAAGTCCAAAAAATCCCAACCGCATCCAATAACGAGCTGGTCCTTGCACGCTGTTGACTTCAACACCTTCACCAAATCGCAAGGAGTATTCGATCATCAACAAGCGAGTTTGGGATGGCTTCACAACCAACACAAGAATCACCTCTGGCACTGGAAGCTTCGCACTTGCTGGCATCACTTCTGCTTCAAATTCTGCCGTACAGCAACCTTGACGACAATATCGACGGAGGACACATCGTCGTCCGTACTGGCTATTCTGCAATACGCCGAGCAACACTGCGCCAATCAAATAGAGCAATAGCAGTGAAGACATCCAAGACAGACGCGACTGCAGTCAAGGTCGATGCCTTTAAAAACGCTCGTATAGCCATACTCACTGGCACACAGCGAACTTTCCATGAAATACACATCTGGTCCCAGCTTCAGCACGAAAACATTATTCCGTTGCTTGGAATAACAACCAAGTTCGACCGTACGGTATCAATGGTGACAGAGTGGATGGAACGAGGCAATGCACATCAATACGTGCAAGACATCGCCGTGGATCCCCATCCATTGGTATGCCAACGTTAATATCAACCATGCTTGATGATAGCACGTACTGCAGCTCTTGGATATCGCCTGCGGAATGAATTATCTGCATAGTCATGGGATAGCCCATGGCGATTTGAAAGGGGTCGGTACTAGTCGTGCTAGCGTATGTATTGAGTGACGAGTGTGATGCTCTGCAGGAGAACGTGTTGATTTCTGGAGGTGGGCGAGCTCTCATAACCGACTTTGGGTTCTCGTGCCTGCTCAACCTGCCACCTATCCTTGACGTCGACCCACCCCGAGGTGGCACCCTGTGGTGGATGGCTCCAGAGAAACTAGATACTTGCGCCATCACCCAAGAGGCAGACATCTGGGCGTTCGGAATGACAACGCTGGTAAGCACCCTTCCACTCTACGTGGAGCTTTTCACACTCACATTTACCATACATTATTTGGTGCAGGAATTATTTTCGCGAAGGAATCCCTTTCATGAAGTATGCACGGAATTGCGTATTGCATGTTGTATTTCGCGAGGGCCACCAATTCGTCTGAGCAACGAATCAACCTGCTATCGTTTGTGCTTGGAATGGTGGGACATGTGCTTGGAATGTTGGAAACAGGACCTGTCGGCATGCCAAACGATGAACGATATCGTTGCCAAGGTCGAGCAGTTGAATGAGGAAACGTTTGGAGGGAGGAGAGCAATGGGAGGAGACAGTGGTAGGGCAGAGAAGACGGGAGGCGAGAGGGAGGGAGGAGGGCTGTGGGTGAGGCTGTGACGGCTTATGTATTTACGGATTTGAAGGAGGGGTTGACAACCTTTGGAGGTCTTTGCAAATTGAGTAAAAAGAATTATTGTTTTATCATCTGTCTTGTACTCATGTCTGAACACAATATATCATATAGTATACTCCCTTTCCTTCGGCTGCAGCAGGAAAGCTCACTGCTGTGGAGGTCGGGGACGACTCTGACTAATGGGTACTGCTGAATTTCCTTGTGTATTTCTGTGTGCTTCTTTAGTGCATTGGGAGGGCCGGACCCTGAGGCCTGAGGTCCCGGGACTTGGAGGGCTCTTACTCGACCCACCCTGGGGCTGTGTTGGAGGGCTCCCACCCCAATTGGGAAACCGGACCCAGGCTGTGGGGAGGGCTCAAACCCAAATTGAGTAAAAAGAATTATTGTAGAAAGAAAATCTATTATCTTCTGTCTTGTACTCATGTCCGAACACAGTATATTATGTCAGTTTATCTCGGAAAATTGGCAGGTGGCGGTGCGTGGGACCTGCAAATTTTGGATCGGCCTCCCAGCCACAGCGGCTCGCCCTCGGCGGCGGGGACGGCCGTTCGGAGTGTCTGACGCCTCGTGACGGCACCGGCATCGTCGATCGTGGCGTGGGAGGTGCGCTAGGGTGCGCTAGGGAGCGCTCGGGACACGGAAGCAACACGTGGTGGGGGACTTACGTGTCAGGCACGTTATCATCAGGGTCCGCGCACGGAGAGTGGGACGTCCCCGCGCGACGCTGATCGCTTAAGAGACTGGACAGCTGGACCTCCCGTCCATCGTGTATGATAACTGTGTGATTCGGATTCGGAGGGGGTGCAGATGCGGGACCTCCATCGTTAAATTTATATCAATAATCGATCACTTCTGCGATCAGCAGCTAGTATTTGGCCTTCGGGCATTCTCATGAGTTCGGTGCGGGGGAAGTTTTGTGTGCTACTGTGCCGTGCTGACAGCTGTCATTACTCATTGATGGACTTGGCGACGTGTCTCGATAGTTTTCGGCTAAACTTGTTCTTGGCTAGTATACTGAGCTCAGAGCTGTCTAATACATTGTATAGTACAGTGTATTCGTGTTCGTCAAGTTGGTTCAAATCGGACTGCTGGCTCCACCGTGTTTGTCGTACAATACATATGTCACCTTCGGGTGCTGAAGCTGAAGAGACTTGAAGCGCTGAGTGCTGCATACTGAGTGTCCGTGTATTAGTCGTGCGTGCAACACCCCTTGCCCTGCTACCATAATACCGTAATGGCTACGTGTCGCAGCGCCTGGCACACAGGACCTCGATGGCGACCTCAAGCGTCTTTCCCAATCGGTGCGTTTGCATTTTCTACCGGCTCATCTGCCAATCTGGCCAGCCCAGTTGCGAATGTGCGTGCCAATTTCCCCTTGTAAAGTGACTTTACACCACTTTATAATTACTTCCAGTACTTTACTGCTCAAACCGGCTTGTCGCCTCGAGGCATCAACACCACACTGACATAAGCGGTAAGGGCAGGTTTGGGTTACCGCATCTCCCCGCTCTGTGTAGGCTGGCAGGAGCCTTCCCTTCCCTCCAAAGCCCGTTCGAGTCATCCCCCGACATCTCCCACTCTTTGTTGCCACATCAGTGGCCATTTGTGGTGAGTACCTGCCAGCAAGCGTTTCAGCGTTTTACATCCAACAGTTCACAGCGCTATCGAGCTCGATTCCCTGGCCAAGCACGCTCACTCGCTGGAGCGCACCCCCAAGATCTGACTTGATCCATCCCTTGGTGAGCTCTTTCATCAGCCACCAGCGCCTCCACTGATGGTTTCAAAACATAGATTGCCCGTATCGAGTACATCCATTCTCGCACCATGGTCCTGGCACTCTGGCCGGTGGCCAATCTCGTATTTGTCAGCTGGGCGTCGGCCTACGCCTGCATCAACTGGCTTTGTCTCATTCTCCCCCTGTCGACAATCCTCCTAACTAGTCCTCGGAGTCCGCCACACATGAGGGTCTCTGAATTATGGCCTGTGAGTATTTCCTCTCTTCTGCCGTTTTGTTAGCGTGTTATACTGACCATACATAGCTCCTTGCACCTGCAGCATGGCCTTACACGCTCGGCCAGCTGGCTGCTGAAACATTTGACCCATCCGGCGATGACGGAGGTGTTTGATTGCTTACTGTGGGATTCAATGCTAGGTCAGCACTATCGTCCATGGTCTATTTCGTCCGTCGCAGATGACACATCACCCAGTGCATGGATGCATTCACTAATCAACGTGTTTTCATGGCGTCAAGCTGGTACAGGACAATCGCACGAAATGGATATTATCTTTTGTCGTCTTTCCGCTATCTCTCGCATGTTGCTTCACCCTTACTTCGTCTTTGATGGGCCAGACTGTCCCCAACTCAAGAGGGGAAAAGACGTCGTAGGTTCGACCTTCCCGCGCCTCCTTGTGCAGCGCTTTCAAGAATTACTGACAGCATTCGGCTTCAACTGGCACATGGTAAGTTGCTTGCTATGTATGCTATGTCATATCTCAACAGGTGCTAACACAACTCATCAGGCCCCAGGAGAGGCAGACGCGGAGCTCGCAAATCTTCAATCCTACGGACTAATCGAGGCTGTGGTGACACCGTACAACGATGCGCTACTATTTGGCGTGACCTGCATTATACGCAGGTGAGTTGTTCATTCAAATATTGGTGCAACCAACCAACTCTAGAGACAGCGGCACCCCTTACTCTACCAGGTACAAAGACGTTCTAGTTTACTCCTCCAAAGACATAGAAAATGTCGTCAGTCTCGAATTGGGGGACCTCTATCTGATTTTGTTGATGAGCAGTGTGGACGCTGAGGTACGTGCCATCCCTAGCACCAAGGTGCCATCCAGTCTCATTTGATTCGTAGACAGGTAATCGGTGGTGCAGCGTGGACGTTGCCCGTCGGCTGGCAAAAATACGGCTTTGGAAGGAGTCTCTTGCGAGCCGCCGCTGCACTCCAGTTTGCCGAGTTCATGAGCTTCGTTTCCAAGTGGCGTGACAGCGTCTGTGAGGTGCTAAGAACGGATCCTCGACAGTTCCTTGGACGTAGACACTACGAACTTGCCCGCATCATCGTGGAGGAGCGCATTGAGTTCCCTGACCCCGCTGTCCTGGCAATGTATCTTTTACCTCTTACCTCGTGGTCGGACAACGGCCGCCCTCCTATTACCGTTGTGACGTCTCGCCAGCCTGATCTCACGTCCCTGGTGGAATTTTGTTCGCAGTACCTTGACTGGCCACCGGACATCATTCAGTCCAGATTGGTGGACGCTCGTGCTGGTGCCGCTGTATGTGCACTTCTACAGGTAAGTTCTGCGATTATAAACACGTCCACCCCGCATCATCATCCACCATACCCAGCTGCCAGGCAATGTCAACGGCGAGAGACTGCGACGTGATCTTCGAGTCACAGGCTACTTCGACGAGTCGCTGTCCTCACCCACATACAAGCTCTCTGTTCCAATCCAACCCCTTGCAACATCGGGCGAGAAGAGCGATGGTGATCCTTTCTATGACATGGAGATTGCGGCGGTCGTGTTGGAATACTCGAGGCCTGACTTAGCGCTGGGCTCTGTCTGTCCATCTTCCCCATCGCCTTGTGTGGAGTTTGCAGATGAGAATGCAGACGTTAAGGATACATCGTGTCTCGAAGCTGGAATTGATGATCCCATGAACGAGGGCTAGTCAGGCTTACTACACACTTTTTGTAGCATCGTATCAGCTCGTGAGTGGCATGCTACGTGCACTTTTCAATCCATCCCTTACAACGCACGGGTAGAGATGGCTTCAACTTTGCTCGTGACTATAGTCTGGTTGTTATGGTTAACATGTGATATACACAAGAGAGCTCGGAGGAAGACAACATCCTATGGATAGCTGTTCAATTTTTCAGGCAGCAGAGTGTAAAAGGCAAGCGTACACTGTGAGACCATTCGGCTTCCTCCATCGATATTAAGCCTCATGATATCTGTCCTGACTTAGCCAGTATCCTGTATTGTCGAAGACGAAGATGTTCGCGTTCGCGCCACCTGCCATTTGATTAACAGCTTTCGGCTCTCCGTGTTGGCCAAAACCGTGTCCGCATCGTCTTAGCTCCCAATGGAGCATGTATGCACCCTATCATCGAAGATGTCCGCGTTCACATTTGCTTCGCATTCACGTTTGCAACACAGTAAACAACTTTCGACTTTCCGCATCAGCCAAAACTATATCCACGTCATCTTAGCTGGGGTACTCCCTGATGGAACACGGTCCACCCTATCGTCGAAGACGACGTCACCCGCGTTTAGTAAGTAAATTCCAGCTCTCCTTGCTAGCCCAAAACCGTGTCCGCATCGTCTTAGCCAGGGTACTCCTTGATGGAGCACCTACATACCTTATCGTCAATGACGAAGTTTCGTTCGCGTTTGCGTCACCCGCCATTTGATCAGCAATTTTCAGCTCTCTATGCCAACCAAAAATCGTGTTCACATCATCTTAGCCAGGGTATCCCTTGATGGAGCATGTACATACCCTATCGTCAAAGACGATGATGTTTGTGTTTGCGTCACCCGCCATTTGGTGAATAATTTTCAGCTTTCCACATCAGCCAAAACCATGTTTACATCGTCTTAGCTGGGGCACCTCTTAATGGAGCACGTACATTTTGCCAATATTAGAATTGTTTCCGTCCGCCCCAATGACACCCACGGTATTCACCTATGTCACTTTCCCTCTCACCGATGTCACTATGGTACAGTCCACAGTCGCCCTCCTTCGGTCCCACATCTCTGCGGTATTTACCAACTAGTCCACCCTTTTAGCCCCTTGTCTGCTAACTACGACGCAGCAAAGCGGCCGCATCACCGACAAATGTCACCCGCCCTCGATCGAATTCACCAACCAGCCTGTGGTATTTATTCATCCATGTCGCCGCCTTCCTTCTCATTGACATCTCGAACGGTACGTCCGCAATCGCCTTCCTCCGTCCCACACCTCCGCGGTATTCACCAACTAGTCTATCCATTGAGCCCCACGTCCCCTAACTACAACAGCAGCAGAGCGACTACATCACTGACATACTCCCCAATGTCACCCACAACCAGTCCGCGGTATTCACCTATGTCACCTTCCCTCTCACCGATGTCACTGCAGTACAGTCCGCAACCGCTTTCCTTCAGTCTGATATCTACGTGATACTCACTAACTAGTCCGTCCTTTAGTCCTGCCTCTCCTAGATGTAAGTCACGTTTGTCCGTCAGCGAACCAGTCACTAACTTCGCAAGATCCACCCAGCACAACTTTTCATTCGCTTTGCCAACCATCCCTTTCTCGTGCTATCCTCACTGCAGCTTGTAAGTAATTTATCTCGCTTGCATAGTTACATTACTCACGGCTCTGCAACCCCTGCACAAATGTCACTCCTGTCTTCAAAATACTCGCCCACGTCACCAGTGTCACCCCCTCCGCTCAACCAAATATTCTCCACAGCTCCTGCCTATTGCAAGTGTAGCCTCTGTCCCCCCCGCGTACAACTCAACATCTCCACGATGGCCACCTTCTAGCCCTACCCATGTGATACAATGTATCATCGAAAACGAAGATATTCGCGGTTTGCGTCACCCGCCGTTTGGTAAACAAATGTTGGCTCTGGAATGGGTCGTCAACACTGTCGATGGATGAGGTGCCATGGTTGACTTTAAGGGCGAAACCTAATTAAACTTGCATGTATTTTCACTAGTATCACAAATCCTCGTTCATTACACTCGGCGGTATGCATGTACCTCGATCAGATTTATTTATTGTACCCTTCTAGCGAGATTTGTGGCGAGTGGGTCATGGGGTGGCAAAACTGATTTCATGGACGACTACACCAATACTCAAGATAAGTCTGATAAAAAAAGGGCGTTGATGTGCTACATTTTCTATCAGCAATCTAGCTAGCCATGACCTCCCTAGATCGCTTTGCTTTTCACGAGTTCTGTTATTGTCCATCGTCAGAGGTAATCTGTGAGGAACTCGCAATGCGATCGACTTACACTCAAGCTCCGCCACGGCGTTGGCCAATATCTCCTCCTGCATCTTCTCGTCCCTGAGATCGGATGTAATCCTTGCAATGATAGTTTTTGCAAGCTCAACCTGCTCGCTCTCCTTCAGCCATTGCTCATAGCGCACCCAGCTGTCTGGGACGGTCTTGAGCTCGGATGCCAGTGCAACCTTTTGATGCTGGATAAACGCTTCTGCCTCCAACCAGGCAGTTTCCTATATACATCATATCACGTTAGATCTAAAATACTAAAAGACCACGCCCCGACCTTCGAAATGGGAAAGAGCCCCTGCAGTCAGCGACATGACATCCTTTATCTGTTTGACAGAGCAGATGCAGTCTTTTACAGCCTTGAGTATGCTCGGCACGCGAGTTTTCCAAAGCGGTCTTGACACGTTCGATAGCGACACAACGTCCCTCATCTGTTTAACAGAGTTGATGTGGTCTTTTACAGCCTGAGTATGTTTGGCACGCGAGTTTTCCAAGGCAGTCTTGACACGCTCGATAGCGACACGACGTCCCCTGTTTAACAGAGTTGATGCGGTCTTTTACAGCCTGAGTATGTTCGGCATGCGAGTTTTCCAAGGCGGTCTTGACACGTTCGATGTGGCCATTGACCTAGTCACAGTCGGGCCCACTGATAAGCTAGGCACATGATTATGAGTGTATGTAACAGCGTATTAACAGAACCACATACCTTAGCAATGTAAGCAGGGAGGACAAATGTCCCTGCTGCGACCACAGTTTCCTCATTCACAACATAGACTTCTTGAGAGATGGCCATAGCAGGAACACCAGTACCGAGGATTGCAGTGCCAGCCTCGATGATGAGGTTTGGCGAGGACGGGAGGGGATTTACGATTTATGAAGCATGCTCAGAAGGAGGGATATGATGGGTGGACGAACGATGCTTGCGATTAATGATGTTTGTGTTGTGCGTTGCGTACATATGACAAGTCGTAGGCTACATATGTACGCAACGCACAACACAAACATCGTTAATCGCAAGCATCGTTTGTCCACCCATCATATCCTACAAGTCGTATGTACGCAATGCACAACACAAACATCGTTAATCGCAAGCATCGTTCGTCCACCCATCATATCCTGAGCGTGCGCGTGCGCACGCAATGGTTACCATTATGTGTTTGTTCTACCTAACTCACACGTCCGTTCGAGAGTGGTCCTATCCTACACCGCCGTACATAACTGCTTTCGACCCCGCGGAAGCTTCGGGAGTCCTCGATCGCGAGATGTGATCACTGTGACACTGACATAAGCTGAACCTAAACGAGGGGAACGAGGGGCAGGGCGCCCAAACAACGGCACGCGACGGCATGCCGAGCCTACCGGCAGTGGCGCCGAGGTGGCTGAGGCCCGTGACGTCACGGATTCCCGGCCTCTGCGGTCACGTGCGTGCGCCCGCCGCAGTTTGGCAGGTGCCCTTCACCGCCACTGCCAATTTCTCGAACTAAGTTCCCTATCAGGTACTGCTAAGTATGGTAGGCTTTCCAGTAGCGTGAAACCGGGCCACCGGTGGTGTTGGGAGGGCTGCCATCAAGCCCTCCAGGACATCTCTGAAATTAACTGACATGTGCCCACTTACGGTTTGGTGCTTGGAGGGCTTGATGGCACAGTATCCTATATAAGGAAAGGGCATGTAGCGTGAAACCCAATTGGGGCCAAATTTGAAACTGTAAGTCGGCAGTAAGTGGGCACGTGTCAGTTAATTTCAGAGATGTCCTGGAGGGCTTGATGGCAGCCCTCCCAACACCACCGGTGGCCCGGTTTCACGCTACTGGAAAGCCTACCATACTTAGCAGTACCTGATAGGGAACATAATATACTGTGTTCGGACATGAGTACAAGACAGAAGATAATAGATTTTCTTTCTACAATAATTCTTTTTACTCAATTTGGGTTTGAGCCCTCCCCACAGCCTGGGTCCGGTTTCCCAATTGGGGTGGGAGCCCTCCAACACAGCCCCAGGGTGGGTCGAGTAAGAGCCCTCCAAGTCCCGGGACCTCAGGCCTCAGGGTCCGGCCCTCCCAATGCACTAAAGAAGCACACAGAAATACACAAGGAAATTCAGCAGTACCCATTAGTCAGAGTCGTCCCCGACCTCCACAGCAGTGAGCTTTCCTGCTGCAGCCGAAGGAAAGGGAGTATACTATATGATATATTGTGTTCAGACATGAGTACAAGACAGATGATAAAACAATAATTCTTTTTACTCAATTTGCAAAGACCTCCAAAGGTTGTCAACCCCTCCTTCAAATCCGTAAATACATAAGCCGTCACAGCCTCACCCACAGCCCTCCTCCCTCCCTCTCGCCTCCCGTCTTCTCTGCCCTACCACTGTCTCCTCCCATTGCTCTCCTCCCTCCAAACGTTTCCTCATTCAACTGCTCGACCTTGGCAACGATATCGTTCATCGTTTGGCATGCCGACAGGTCCTGTTTCCAACATTCCAAGCACATGTCCCACCATTCCAAGCACAAACGATAGCAGGTTGATTCGTTGCTCAGACGAATTGGTGGCCCTCGCGAAATACAACATGCAATACGCAATTCCGTGCATACTTCATGAAAGGGATTCCTTCGCGAAAATAATTCCTGCACCAAATAATGTATGGTAAATGTGAGTGTGAAAAGCTCCACGTAGAGTGGAAGGGTGCTTACCAGCGTTGTCATTCCGAACGCCCAGATGTCTGCCTCTTGGGTGATGGCGCAAGTATCTAGTTTCTCTGGAGCCATCCACCACAGGGTGCCACCTCGGGGTGGGTCGACGTCAAGGATAGGTGGCAGGTTGAGCAGGCACGAGAACCCAAAGTCGGTTATGAGAGCTCGCCCACCTCCAGAAATCAACACGTTCTCCTGCAGAGCATCACACTCGTCACTCAATACATACGCTAGCACGACTAGTACCGACCCCTTTCAAATCGCCATGGGCTATCCCATGACTATGCAGATAATTCATTCCGCAGGCGATATCCAAGAGCTGCAGTACGTGCTATCATCAAGCATGGTTGATATTAACGTTGGCATACCAATGGATGGGGATCCACGGCGATGTCTTGCACGTATTGATGTGCATTGCCTCGTTCCATCCACTCTGTCACCATTGATACCGTACGGTCGAACTTGGTTGTTATTCCAAGCAACGGAATAATGTTTTCGTGCTGAAGCTGGGACCAGATGTGTATTTCATGGAAAGTTCGCTGTGTGCCAGTGAGTATGGCTATACGAGCGTTTTTAAAGGCATCGACCTTGACTGCAGTCGCGTCTGTCTTGGATGTCTTCACTGCTATTGCTCTATTTGATTGGCGCAGTGTTGCTCGGCGTATTGCAGAATAGCCAGTACGGACGACGATGTGTCCTCCGTCGATATTGTCGTCAAGGTTGCTGTACGGCAGAATTTGAAGCAGAAGTGATGCCAGCAAGTGCGAAGCTTCCAGTGCCAGAGGTGATTCTTGTGTTGGTTGTGAAGCCATCCCAAACTCGCTTGTTGATGATCGAATACTCCTTGCGATTTGGTGAAGGTGTTGAAGTCAACAGCGTGCAAGGACCAGCTCGTTATTGGATGCGGTTGGGATTTTTTGGACTTCTAATGAGAGCATTCATCGCAGTTACAGGCGATAATCTGGTATGTACTACATTCAATCTCTCAGTAGCCCGCTATTCTGACGCCTATCTCCAGGGTGTCTTGCGTGCTGATCCTCCAAACCGTGACTCTCAGTTTTCGCTCCAACCAACGTGGGAGCCTGTGATAGCGTGCTTGTCCAGCCACACGTTGGAAACGCACGCAATTTTACGCTTACACAAGCAATCTGGTGTTCGTGGTTAACCCAGGTGCCACGAGGACCGAAGTCAATCTTAGTAGAGCCTGAATAAAATGACCGTAGGGGCAAGGTGTCTGTACGCCGAGGAGAACTTGCAGATCGATGGCCTCCAAGTTTTGACCAAACGCAGGTTTATTTTTGCAGAGTCAGAAGCTCGATCCTATGTTCACTGCTGGATACCAGTGATTGGAGCGAGGTGCCTTGGTGCTCTGGCCGTGGGGGTGTCTTATGTGTCCTGGTGATTGGTGAACTTTTGGCGTGGCAGGGGTTTTCAATGCACCGAGTGAAAGATTTTGTCCTGGAGATATCTGGTCCGCCATCAGTTGGAGACTATGCAAGGGACCCGGTGGAATTCTCGCCGATACTTGAATGCGACGTACGAGTGACTGCCGTCCGCACCTGTGCAAAAATGAGTGTTGTATGGTAATTATGTAGACGTTTCCACCGTCATGATTTCACTTTGTCAATTGCTACCGCGATTGGCCTTGAGGCCTTGAGGTTCTCCGTTTCACTGTCATGGCTGCTCGTGTTGGCGCAGCACCAACCTGAAGCTTGAAGAGAACATCGAAAATATGGTAGTTTTGTTTGTGCCCATCAAATCCGAGTGTAGGCTTACCCATTCAGCCCACAACATTGGCCTGCGACACCCGGTTGTTAGGCGGCGAGTCTCAGCACTTCGACAAGGCAGCGCAGCATACTGAATAAATTATAGAAGCATTTACACTGAGTCTTTTGTTTGCCATCGGCCTCCCAGGAGAACCACTCAAGCGACCATCAAGTCCTCACTTTACCATCTATCAGCCATAATCAACGTGACTTTCCTCCATAGCTAACCGTGCCACTGGTAGTGCCCTTAGCACATGTGAGTTGGTAGTTTGAGCAGATCAGAGTGTTATTCATGTGGTAATCAGTGCTCTACGGTTTCCCTTCGACCTGCCTCTTTGTACCTGGCACGTTTGATAGCACGCATATCATCAAGCTCATTGCAAGGCTACCTGAGTATGTGAAGTGCATTGGTAAATTCACCTTGAATGCACCTTCCGCCTTCAACTCTTTAGATGGTCTCCGACATCTTTGCATGGGACACGGGAAAGGGTATGCCTTTTTAACATCATTTTGTTCTTTTTTTCGATGGGCTAACATTCACCGAGTCTTGACTTTGAAGTCGGCATATGGGGCGGATTGTGAAGCACTTGGTGCCACAGCTTTTTTAACGATTGCTCTGTTTTGATGTAAAACATTGGTTTTGCTCTATGGCCACCCCAAATGCCACACAAAGTCGGCTAAACACTGCTCAAGCGCCCTGCAAATCGGCAAGTGTTATATATGTTTGTTCCTCTTAATCCAACCCTTCTAATCGTGTTTCTCATGTCAAACGCGAGAATTGAGAAGGAATTGGTCTACCCCTCATCGCCAGAAGCCATAAAGCATCACGCCTCGCTCTTTTTGCAGGATATCGTAGCAAAGGAGGGCCTGAGAAAGCATCAATTTAGTCAATGCACCGTTCGTAGTGATGGCGCTCTCTAGGTTTGGTTGCATGCAGGGGAGCCCCGAAACTTTCAGGAAGGAACGTATGAATGTCAGAATACGCACCATGAGTCGAGCATTCTACGATCTTACTGCTGTCAGGCCAATGAACGACAGCGTGCGACGTGCCTTAAATACTTCGTTAAATGCCTTTCGACAAATGCCGCGACATCCTGCATTAGTCCTCTGATGCTTTCCGACCCCACTTGTCCGTCGCAAGATGAAATCCAACATCTCGGGTTTCCAGAGCGTCAACCAGGTTAGTCAGTTCAGCCGAAAATTTTACGCCGTAACACCTCAATCACTGCGCAGATTGACTCAGTAATTTCCCCCTCGATCTCTGACCTGTGACGCGCCCTTCCTTCGTCGATAAGCCTATGCCGCTCTCCGTGGCAGGCCAAATTGGTTAAATACGCACCGTCTTGCCCCCGTCGATTATTCTCAGGGGTTAAATCCTCCAAGTTGGTCTGACCGAGCGTTCAGCGATGCTAGTAGCATCTAATCATGCGTCATACATACCTGCTTCGGTTGATGCCAACCTGCACTGGCAAGATGACTGCCTGTGAGCATATTTCATTGCTAGATGCAGCGGCATATTCCCTAGGGACATGAATGGGGTGCAATCACACGACGGATTATTATCCTCATTTTAGAACTAACTACTTACTGACACGATCGCCAGTGTTTAATCTTGGCTTAGATATCGCCAGCCTTGAAGCGGATCAAGCAGGAGGGAGCTAAATTCTGTGGACCCGGTCATGGTTCCACTGTGACATCTCATTCTCCATCAATGTTTGGTACACAGAATCTGTGGCATTTTCACCGGCAGAGGTAGTTGATTTGCTTTAACCTAATCCACATAGAGTGGCAGTGTTGGATGGGTGCTTATCGGCACTGTCATTCCAAATGCCCAGACGTCTGCCTCTCGAGTCATGGCATGTGTATTTGGTTTCTCTGGAGTCATCATGGCAGGGTGCCACCACGGGGTGGGTCGATGTCAAGTATAGGCAGCGGGTTGAGCATGCATGAGAATCAAAAGTCGGCTATGATGGCACCCGCAAGGTATGCGGAAGCCTGTGGTACGTTCATCAGCTAGGGACTGATTCAAGGATCAAAATGGTATTTCATACAGACCTGTCCTATTATGCAGACATTGCGCTCTGGTCTCGTGAAATATATTTATCGGAATGGGGTCCCCTGATGGGGCCGTGGGACGCTTTCTGTCTTGGCGATCGGTGGACTTTCGGCGTGCCATGGAAGGATATCCTGTGTCCCTGTGCATCATTGTGCCCACGAAAAGATTTTGTCTCCGAGAGGTCTGGCATGAGTCCCATACTATCGCATGGTAAGGACTAGAGGAATATTTGACATTACGTATTGGGAAGTCTTGTAGTATGACCTGCATGCGTTACGTATCGCGAGGTACACCTTGCTCCAATGCCCACAACGTGTAAGTCTTTCGGGATGATATCTACCATCAGACAGAGATGACATCCACAAAGATTTCACGCCAAGGGATGTACTTGAATAAAACAGATGAAATCAAGTATGGGTATACTGTCACCATTTAAGCTTCAAGTCTGGCATTCTGATAGGCATGTCATATCTTTATCTATGAGGTGGTAGTAAGGTAGAGTTCCGACGGGGTCAAACGCCGGGAGGCATACAGGAGCGATCTAGAGGATAAAAGCATATACCACAGCACATGTTATCACAGAAAAAAAAAAGTTTAAAAGGAAACAGAAAGGAATGCGAAGGGGTACGACCACATAAATAAATGACCCAAAAAGTTTTGTCAGGCTAAAACATCCAACCTGACGTTGAAACAGGAATGAAGTGACACGACTACCACGCTAGCTCCGTGCTGACCCGTAGACAACAGAAAGACGGGATGATCGAGGAGTTCTTTCCCCCCCGTTATTCCGGTCCATCGTCATTGGACTACGTGTCCGCTGCAGGTCCAGCAAATAAAAATAGTAGTAATCCATTCGTCTGGGCTCGTACAGTAGTAAAGTAGTTGGGGGGAGGGGCGAGGCGAGAAAATCACGACGATATGTCACATTATGTACAAAAACAAACATCCACGTGGCTGTTCCGTGATGCACGAGCCTTCAATATATTCCGAAGCAGTCCGGTCCGGTGGCGGCCATCGAAGGTCGTCCTGCATGAGCTTCTTCCAATAAATAATAAACTCCAGCGCACGAAGGCCGTCCCTCTGGCGATCGCATTAGGCCTCGCTCTTTGCGGCAGTAGGTTTTTCCTGTGCAGCTTCCTGCGAGTGATGCAAAACGGCGATAGCCTCCTCGGAATCTCTCTGGGATTTGCGCCTATCATGACCAACTATGATTACGCCCCGAAGGAAGAGAGCGGCCAGGGCTCATCTGCACAGTTTTTCGTTTCTGCAGTGAGTGCTCTGTCTTCGTCGTCGAGCACAGAGGTACATTAATTGGGCAGGGTTCGTCGAGCAGCTATACTCGACCGATGCTGAGTACACTTTGACACCAAACCAAATTGTATGTAATACCCAGTACACAGTGTATTCAGTGCAAATCACAGTACAACTTAGCCGTTCGCCTACACCACAACTTATGGAATGAATGGCAATCTTTCGGAATGTTGCAACGAGGTGGGCAGCATCGATTTTGTCGTGCCTGGGCTGACCTCTCTTCCTGGTTGGCATTCCGATCGTCGGATTCAACATCGTCCCGACACGTCCTGCACACCTGGTAGTAACATTATGGGTGTAGCGACAGGATTGGCTAAAGTGCGTGACGTACAGGCTTAGGCATGTTACCGTTGCCCAAATACATTAGAGGTGAGCAACGAAACATTCCAAACGAAGTCCAGACCAGGGCCTCAACAGAAAGTAAGCAACATTCGCTTTATTTACAATCGTGACGTGTTGCTCACGCCACGTGTCCATGTAGTTTTGTATTGATAAGTATATCAACTGCCTGCCAAAGTAATGCCTCTATCTTGGTCAAGATGAAAATGCTGTTTGCGAGAGGTCACCTATGCCACGGTTGCAGACCATTTTATCGTTCACGGAATAACGAAGAAGTCCCGTGATGTGGTAATTCCCTGCCAGTGGGAAGGATGCTCCGCAGAACTTGCGCGATACAATTTTGTTCGCCATATTCGCGAAAAAACACCTAGGGAATCTGCGGTTCACCCCTCCGAGAAAGAACGCAGACAACGCACTTTCAGCGCCTAATTAATTGGGGTGGAGATGTCCCGTTGATCGAGGTATCAATCTGGGCGTGAATACATCTTCAGCAGGCGACACTTCGAGTCTGTAGTTCTCGCAGAATTTCATCTTGGAGCGCCCTTGGAAAACATTCGAAATCAAGAGGTCACCGAGCCCTGGGGTAAGGTTAGGTCTTGCTTTGATCCAATAGCTGGACCAGTTTATTTCCCGGTGCGAAGTCACTTTACATGCTTTGCAATTGATTTTGCACTTCACATCACACTCGCGGTACAAATTTCCCGCTTTTTGCTAGCTAAGAGTGTAGATAAACATAGGTAGGACGTGAACAGAGTTCCTCAACACCCTCCCAAGTCATCCTGCCTGAATCATGACCTTGTGATGCCTGGCTGGGCCTGATTTCTCGTGCTCAGTTCATGAGTGATGAATGCTGTACAGTGTTTGCAGCAAACATTGCATATTCTGTATAAGCAAAGGTCTATGTTGTCGGGAAGGAGTCGGGGACCTGGCTCCCTGAGTTCCCAGCTACAAAACTATATCCCACCCCTCCATGTCATCCACTACACTGACGGCATGGTTTGTACGGTCCCATGCCTTTGGATGCTGTAGTACTTTGTGTTTTGCACTGCCACGCATGGCGAGCTTCCTCCGAATTCACAAGGATTAGTATGGCATGTAATTATACTACAGGAGAGGGTGGTCGGAGACAGCAGGCACATGGCTCTCAGAATCAAACGGGTACAGTTGACTCCCTCCTAATCCATTCCTTAGACAACCCATACATTTTTCCATTTTCCAAGTTCCCATACTCCCCCCAAATAGCTCTCAGATATCCCGTACTCTCCTCATACCCCATACCCTATGACCTATCCTGAATGGGTATGGGTTATAAGGGAGTTGACTGTAAATACCTCGCACGTAGCCCGGGGCCGAAGGGGGACACGCAGGAAGCCCGTAGTGAGAGACTATGCGAGGAGAGGGGCGACAGTGACGATACCATACCAAATACTAAATGCTACTACTGCATGATTACATTATTCAGACCCCAGAGAAATAGGCAGGCGTGACGGGGGAAGGCGCCGTGCACGTGTGTAACCGCCCGCCTCTCGCACTTGCATCCTACACGTGTTCACGACTTCGCAAATGGCGCGAACACCGTCTACCTTCAGAGCTACACGGAATGCTGTTGGGGGGCATGCTACCTTTTTGCGGCGCCTCTGACACAACTTGTATATTTTACGGGATAACCGTACTTATGTGCACAGATGTAGATCAGTGGGTCCGTGATCAGATGTGGATCAGTAGGTCCATGATCAGGCGAAACAGAATGTCGGCAAAATGAAATTTCGGGCTTGTAACAGGTTCGTAATGGCCCAAATTTCGTTTTTGTTGCGTTGACTGTGAAGCCCAATCCTACTATGCTCACTGCCAGAGACGAACAATTTGCAGGGTTACCAGGGCACCCGGAAGTTCTCGCCGTGTAATACATCGGAACGGGGTATCCTGGTGGGGCCGTGGGATGCTTTCTCTGTCTTGGTGATCGGTGGAGTTTCGGCGTGACATGGAAGAATATCCTGTGTCCCTGCGCAGCGTGCACTGTCTTCAGCATTGCGCCTGCTAAAAGATTTTGTCTCGGAGATCTATGGCATGAGTCGGATACTATCACATGGTAGGGACTAGGGGGACATTTGACATTATGTATTGGGAAGTCCCGTAGTACTACGACCTGCATGCATTACGTATCGCAAGGTACACCTCGCTCCAGTGCCCACAACGTGTAAGGCTTTCGGGATGACATCTATCGTTGGACAGAGAATATGACATTCTCAAAGATTTCACGCTATTGAGGGATGCACTTGAGCAAAAGAAATAAAATCAAGTGTGGGTGTACTGTCACTATTAAAACTTCAAGTCTGGCATTCTAACGTGTACTCAGAAAACAGGCATATCATATCTGTATCTATGAGGTGGTAGTAAGGTAAAGTCTCCACAGGGTCCAACGCTGGAAGGCATACAGGAACGATCTAAAGGATAAAAGCATATACCACAGCATATGTAATCACAGAAAAAAAGGTTAAGAGGAAACAAAGGAATGCGAAGGGATACAACTATATAAATGATCGGAAGAGTCTTGTCGGGTTAAAAGATCCAACCTGACGTTGAAACAGGAGTGACGCGACTACCACGCTGGCTCCGTGCTGACCCGTAGACAACAGAAAGACGGGATGATCGAGGAGTTCTTTTCCCCCCATTGTTCCTGTCCATCGTCATTAGACTACGTGTCCGCTGCAGGTCCAACAAATAAAAATAGTAGTAGTCCGTTCGTCTGGGCTCGTGTAGTAGTAAAGTAGTGGGGGGAAGGGGCGAGGCGAGAAAATCACGACGGCATGTCACATCATGTGCAAAACAAACATCCACGTGGCTGCTCCATGATGCAAGACCCTTCAATATATTCGCAGTCCGGTCCGGCGGCGGCCATCGAAGGTCCTGCATGAGTTTCTTCCAATAAATAATAAAGTCCAGGGTGCACGACTCCAGCGCACGAAGGTCGTCCCTCCAGCGATTGCATTAAGCCTCGCTCTTTGCAGCAGTAGGTTTTTCCCGTGCACCCTCCCGTGCGGTTTCCTGCGAGTGATGCAAAACGGCGATGGTCTCTTCGGAATCTCTCTGGGATTTGCGCCTGTCGTGACCAACTATGCCTACGCCCCGAAGGAAGAGAGCGGCCAGAATTGAGGCTACATAAACCCGCATGAGCACATGAGAACATCAATTGTGAAGCGGTGGACTCACCAAAGAGAGCGAATGCCGCGGACGTCCACTGGGCAGACCTGTACCCCTTTAAGTCTGCAGCAAGTGGTGCATTCGACCCCTCGAAATTCAATGTTACACCCATTTTTGCGCTTTCAGAATTGACGACACGGTCGAACACGATTGTCGTAATTGTTAGACCAAACGCTGTGCCAATCTGTTGTAATACCAGGGTCATTGAGGATGAAGCAATTGTTTAGGGTTATTCCAGCATCATGTTTGACCACATGTTTGAAAGGGAAAAGAGGGTTTTGGTGAGATTTGAAACAGGTATATTAAGAAATGCTGTAACCCACGCACCTGCGTCATGGTCTGGAATAAGGCTCCCACGACACTGTGCTCTCCATGGTTTGCGATTTTGGCAAGGAAGATGGTTCCAGCGGAGTACACAAAGTCAGCACCAAACACGATGAGTACAGTCGATGGGAACCCAAAGGCCCAGTACGTCGCTGATGGGTTAATGAGCGCAAAAAGCATTGCCGCGCCTCCTGTAATCAGCGTGCCGGAGACTGTGGGCCCGGTGCGCATTAAGCATGCGGATGAGTGCGGAAATACAACCACACTTACCAACGAAGATCACGAGGGGCAGTCTGGAAACTACGAGCGCAACGAAGAAGTTGCACAGGATTCCGGTAATAAACATGGGAATGAATCGAACCATTGTGTGGATCGCCGTGAGCTGGAGGTAGTTTTGGTAATACAACTACAAAAGCGAGCGTTAACGAGTGCGTATGGCCTCACGGCTGAAGATGAATAAGCGAGAACGTACCTGAGCCCAAAGTGACCAACTCAAAAAACCGGCCCAGTTGAGGAATGCTATGGCAAGGACTACTGCCACGCGCCCATTGGCGCGTGCCCAAAGAGACAGTTTCATGAGGGGCGGGGGTGTCCATATGGATTTGGGACGATTAGGATCGTCAAGTGCCTTTTCCAGGTGATGTTCCCAAGCAAGGAAGGCTGCAACGAGCAACACTCCAATGATAAGGCTGGCGATGATATCTGACAGAGTAGAAAGTTAGTCCACTGGCAAAGAAAGGGATGTCCAAACATACATGGAGTCCTCCAGCGCTGTGGTGCAATTTCACCTTGCCCAAGGACGAAGACGATCAAAACCAGACCCGCGGTGACTAATGCAGCACCAATCCAGTCGACGCGTCTGTCCGCCTCAAGGTCCACCTTATCTGGAGGCATGGTTAAGGCACCGCCACAGAGGGTGAGTGCAGAGAGTCCGGCGGCCAGGAAGAAAGTCCCCCTCCAATGTTCACTAAAAACACGATGTTAACGTGATTCACATTGCAGGAGGGAAGGCACGCACTCGGCAAGCTGTGTCACGACGCCACCGATAATGATACCGAACGCACCTCCGACGGGAGCGCCGGCAGCGAAGGTGGAGAATGCCAACGTACGCGCCCGAGACGGAGGGAATGAGTGTGCCAAGCAACCAAGCTGTGATGACATCAGACACTGAAACAAGTCGCCGGAAGTAGTTGAGCGGGCTCACTGCGGAGGGTATTGCAGCGGCCGCACCCAGCCCCTGAAACCCACGAAGGACGTCCAGAGTGATCCCACCTAATTGGCAAATGGTTTTAGAACGGACGGAAGGAGTGAGGGGAGCCGCCTACTTTTTGCGAAACCGCAACCCAGCGCGAAGACCAGCTGTGTCAACATGCCAATGATAAAAGCCTTCTTCCTGCCGTGCAAGTCTGCAAGACGCCCGAAGAACAGCAAAAGACAACCCTAGAAGCGCCATAGTTACATTTTCGGGAACACACATAATAACCGGATCGGTTCCACATACAGATGATAAGGCGTACGCCGACAAGAGCCATTGTAACTGATCTTCTGGGATACTTATGTCTCGACCGATCATTGGGAGAGAAATAGATATTGCGGTCGAGTTGGACACCTGGGGATGGTCAGGAGCCGAATGGGACACTAGGAAAGAAACGACGGACATTAACGACCATGGCAGTGGTACATGTTGCAACGAGAGCAATCGCGCGCGCGCGACTGAGCGGCGGAGGAGCGGGCGCGCGAGGACGAACAGGAGGGAGTGCACTTTCGGATGCCTTTGCGTGTAAACTATGAGAGGGAGTGATGGCTGGGGTCGCATGCCTGGTGGACGCCATGGTCGGGGGGGACGAGTTGAGAACCCGTGCCGTTAAGGGAGAGGCAAGGAAAGAGGAGAGGCGGATGGTTAGGAGGCCCTGACATGGCCGGTTTAAATACGTTCGCTATTCGGAGGCGATGATGACAGGCGAGCCGTTGAACTGGATTACCATATGCCTTATTTCATTCCGGACCACTGGCCCACCAGAATCCCATTCGGACAGTTTGGGGGCCAAATTCATATTCCCAACGCTGCTCCTCGTCATCGGAGGGCTCGAGGGGTTACAAATGAAAAAGCAGCCTTGGCGTGGAGAGGTGACTACTACTAATCAGTCTGACGGTTCCAGCCGCGTTAAACTCGCTTTGCGGTGTTCGCCCACTAAGGCGGCGACCCAGATCAAGCATGGCCTCGGTTGCATTGCGGCTTTGCTGTAATAGCCTCTAATCATCAACCGCAGGTCTTGGTCACCATAAACAGACGGTCGAGGACTCTTCCGCCACGATGCATCAGGGAAAAACACTTCATGCAAGGCACACTTTCATAATTGCACACACCTTGCGGGCATCGTGATTTGCTGCATGTATCGAGAATCCACACTTCTTTTCACTTACTTACGGGTCCCTGAGATTCAGTCGTGCCAGGCCAGGTACACGTATTATTGAGTGGGGATGCATGGTGATGGATTGCAAGGAATAAAAAAAGTGTGCAAGTATCAATGTATTAGATTAGTAACGTCAACCGTGCTCTCCCCTCAAACTACTCAAAGAACCCCGTGCTGCATTCACTCCTGTATTTTGGCAAGAATCTCCGCGTCCTTAAACAAGTAGAATTCCTGGACACGCGTTAGTTCCACCGCATCTCACTTATGAACCAACGACATCAAACCATACCTCTTCTCCCACTTTGATAGAGTTTCCTCCCCAGCCAGGAAGCAGCACGCGATCACCAGGCTTGACCGTAGTGGGGACAATCTGACCATCCTTGTTAGGCGCCCCTGGGCCTACCGCGATAACAGTTGCTTCCGGCAAAGGCGTGTTCGTTGCAGACGTCGGAAGGAAGATGCCAGATGCCGTTTTCTGGAATATTAAAACCGTGAATGAGATTATTTCCCAGCATATGCCGTGAAAACCAACGCACAGTCTCGGGCTTGAAACGTTGCACCAAGACGCGGTCCAGCAGAGGAACTAGAGACCTGATGGATTTGAACGTAGCCTGGGCAGCCTGTCATTTATGCGCCCATACGCAACCCCGGTCAGCATTCGCGCAACGCGTCTTACGAAAGCTTACCATGAGTACGTGCAAGCGGTTGAGAACAGCAGGTGGTCTTCGTGAGCAAAGAACAAAGAAGAGAGCAGTTCGCTGGCAACTTCGGCGAGAAACTTTTTTCTGCTGGACCCGCCTTATATTGTTTGGTTTATGCAAACAACTCCCATGTACATGCTCACGTGATGAATGTCAGGCGCGAACCGCGTCCTCCGCACCACGTAGCCTCTAGAATATTCGTACTATCCACAGAGTACTGGGAATTGCCAATGGAATTGTGCCACACCGATCCCCAAAGCATTATGCGCGATGATCGATGGGGTGTATACGGGACCATCCTGGTACTTATCCAGTGAAACAGGCCAACCGAAGTCATTTCCAAAAATAACGGGTTGCACGAAGGGGAAAACATTTGAGCTGTTATATTATAAATCAATTACCGTCGGAAAGAAAGAAGAAAAAAGACATTGTGGCTATGAGACATGTACTAGGTACTGTGGACGTTGCGAAGCAGCAGGCACTAGGTAGACCAGGAGGGGGTGCTGTGTACTCAAGAGATTGTAGTAGTCGTGAATGATAACCCCGCTCACATCGGAGGGGGCTCGTTGTTAAATGGTTAGTCCATGAGAAAACAGACAAAGGGTAATTGCACTATGCAGGTATGGTAAGCAATGATCGTTGGGTTGCGGGGTGCGTGATGGAAGAGGAGGTGTGGTGTCCACGAATAGAGCCAAGTAGCTTGTGTTTCAAGTCGTCAATGGGGGTAAAATCAGAGTGCGTCATGTATCAGGGACGTAATGAAGGCGATAGTGGTTAGTAAGAAATTTCGATCACCCGAGGACCATGTCGCTGTCGCCCTGAGCTGACGCCTCCCATATCATATTGTCCATCCGAGCATGACGCTGAGGAGTGCCGGTATTATTTTCGCGCTCATCCATGTCTCGGCTGCGTCTGTCCGCAAGCCAAGTGACTTCATGCCGGTACACAGGGCGACCGTTCTGTGTCATACCAATAACCGTCGTCGCTCCAGAAACAGTCTCCGCCCTTCTGCGGCGCTGCATCTGCACATACGTATTCGGCGAGGGTGGGCCTGCCGTCGGAGGAAGCGCCGAGACGCGCTGCCGCGTACCCTGAGCAGCGGCGGTTGCCACGACCGGTGGATGCAGAGGTACAGTTGGCGCCAGCGGGTACAAAGCGACGTTTCTCGAGTCTCGAGCAGCCCGTTCGGGTCTGACTCTCTCCCTCTCAGATCGTACGGATGGAATCCCATCGCCCGAAGAACCATCACCTCCTAGTCCTCTGCTGTGGCTGTGTTCCGAAGGAACGGCTTCCTCATTATCTTCGCCCTCTTTCGCACTGCACCAGAACCGATGACCTTCACTCCAGGCTGTGCTTTGGCACTCCTTCCCGCAATACTTTGCTTTGCGACAACGTCTGCATTTGGCAAATTCGCGGGGATAGGTTTCCCATTTTCCACAGAGCACTATACGAGGATCAATCATTGAGGGAGAAGTGAAGAACACCTTGAGGAGCTCACTATTTGCGCATTGACGGATACCACCTCTACTGTCATCTTTTCGGCAAGCATTGCGCATGATAACACCTGCCCAATACTGGACTTCAGGGGGAAGTTTCGGGGGTGGGTTGGGCAAATCGCCCTCCGACGAGCTAGGCCGAAACGTGAAGCGTTCGACGAGAGAAAAAACGTTGGTCATCCGCGACCCAGTAGTGCTGGCCAAATTATTTGCAGCCGCAGAGGCTTTCTCCTTCTCCTTGCCCCTGGCTGTGGCAGATGCAAGTGCGCGAAAAAGCCCATTACCTTCTTTACTTGGCTGGCTATCCGCATTGCGCACGCTACTTGGGCCAGCTATAGACTGTTGGGCCACACGAGCGACGCCGATAGTAACAGTTGCTGGGTGAAACGAAACTCGTTGCTTGTAGAATGCTTGCCGAACATGGGGATATTTACTAAGGTATGCCAAAAGTTGCAGACTGAGCAATACATCTTCGTCCTTGTATGGTCCGGAATCTGTGTCGCGGTGGCTGTGCGTATGGTTGGGACTTCGCCCCACACCGGTGGGAAGAGGCGCAGCAAGGTTGGGTTCTCCGCGGCCGTGTGCGAGGACGCCAGGACGCACACTTCCATTAGGCACTGCATCTGTGCCCACGGTAGACTGTGGTAGAGGCATCACCGCCGCCCGAGGTGTGGCGTCAGCGTTTCGGGGACGTCGCTCGAGTGCAGGTGGATCCACTTCCGGCAAGTTTCGGGTCTCGTCCATGGCCCCAGGAGCACCGGGTGGTGCACCCATAGCGAAGTCATCATTAGGCTCCAGAGAGACGATCCCATCCTCCACGCTAACAACTCCTACGCTGTCACCATCGACGACTGTGCCCTGACCATCGTTGATGATGATATGTGCGTCGACATTGACTTCTGAAGGGGCAGCTGCTGGCTCCTCGGAAATGCTACCTACCGTACGTCGCGGACGCTGAGTTACAGTCCGAGCAGGGGGGCGATGAGTACGAGAGACGGGTATGTGAGTGGTGGGAGTAGCATCATCGGTGTCGTGTGACTGATCCATGTCGACATCTGGATCGCCATCGTCTTCAGTTTCTGTTTCCGGACGAGAGTTGTCGGTGGATTCATCTGGGGATGCGGTTATGGATGTACGGTTCCGGCTCTGCCGGGACCGGAGTGTGGCATTTGCTGCTGTCACTGGGGGTTCTTCCCACACAGCACGGGCAATGATTGTGCCACTACGGCCGCGAACGCGCGCGATGGTGGAATCCGTTTGAGAGCCAGCCACAAGAGTCGTAGAAGTATCGGAGGTATCTGCAGGTGTTCTCCTTGACGACGAACGGCGCGCATACAACGGGCGATCGGCGGGTGGCACAGAGGCCAACAAAGACTCAGATGACACATTGGCTTGAACCTCAACATCTGATGTATGATCCACGCTTATTCCGGTTATCGATGCATCCTACAGCACAATCAGGCGCCCGCAACGAGAAAGGGGGTGAAAGAACAGGTACCTCGTCGATCAACGTATCTACACCACGACCTTGCCTTATAAGATCTTCTGTGACTATTTGTCTTTGCAACGCCCGCGTCAATTCTGCGGCTGCCGGCACTGCTTCCCTGTATCGCTGCTCTGCCAGGGCTTGTCGTCTTGCCATCCGCTGCTCCCTAGTTTCTCTGGGTATACCGGAGGCGCTGGAGCTTGGACCTACTGCAAACCCCCTGTTCGCTAGCCACGCTTCGAGAATACATCCGACGACGTCGAGCGTCCCGGCCTGCACTACGCGGCTCCGAATAGGCTCACTCCCTCTCACGCCGATATTCACCACACACTGGAAGGCAAGAGAGAAACGATATGCGGCATGCTTGTCGAAGTTTGGAGGGTTCAACGTTGGGAGAAGTTTCTGAGGTCGGGCGTTGGGAGGAGAGAGGCCATATATGAAATTGGGGTTCTCGGGAGGAGGCGGACACATGCAGAAGTCATGCAAGATCCGGACGAGGCGCTCCAAACCACCATCCATCGTCATAATTTCGCGTATCCTCGGGGACGTGGATGTCAGGTATGTGAGATGGTGGAGCGAGTTGAACAAAGGGAGGGGCGAGGTTGTGTCAAGAGCTTGAAAGAACGGATATCCGAGTGAACGATGGGACAAAAAAATCGGGGCAAGTTATAAACGAAATACCTCTTCTATCATACAACTGAGATGAAATGCATACGCACGCCCTGTTTTGGGCAGGAAATGCAAAGTTTGACTCTCGCATGGGGGTGGGTACTGGTAGTGATCACGGGTGGCAAGATGGCGGGCGAGTCGTCGATACAACCTTTTGCTCAAGAGCACGGGTCCTCTCTTGCTCGATACAAATGGACTCGAATACGACTTTCAGGATGACAAGATAGTAGAAAGAGGTAAGAAAAAACAGATGGCTTGGCTACTGGCAGAGGGCTTGGGTTGGTTGATAGGACAGGATGACTGAGATGGTATTTGTATATGTTTGGTCACTGTGGCACTCTTGACCATAAGCTGTACCTTGGCTAGCCCAGGCCATACAATGGAGAGAACTGCAACTCCTGACACTACTCTATTTTACCGTCCCCTCAGCGATCGAGCGGGGGAAAAAAAGGTCAGTCGATGGAACCGCCTGGACCAGAGTGAGTGATGCGCGGTGTGCAAATACAAATATTTCTCCCATCTTCGCTTTGACGTGGCAACGGGAGACGTGGAGTCAATGGAGCACCTATCATGATGACACCCATCACTCTGGGTATTACATTCCAATTACCAACGGCGCTGCGAAACTTGTGCTACTTGATGCGGAGGGTTTCGGACACGTAAATGATGTGGCAAGTGCCACCTTGCTTCGAGGGAACTTTACGCCTTGACGATCTTCGAATCCCCAAAATCTTAGTCCGAGCCTAGTTAAGTCACGGTACGACAGCAGAAAACTGAAATCCTTTCCTGCCGATCCAGGAAAGATTTTTTTACCACGGCGTCTTTGAATGTCCGCCATTATCATGTTCACGAAGCATAATGCGGTGATCCTAAACAATGCCCTTGGCATTCTGCGGTGCCACTGACCTTGTTGCCCGTACAGCCCATCGGCATTTCGCCATTACACTGTTACCCTCGGTCTTGGTGTCGCGTTCGTAGGCCCGGAAAAGAATCACATGAAAGTTGTTTAGGGTATCGAAGCCACCAAGCCTACATAATAATACACTTGTCTTTCGCCTTCTTCGTTTTCCGACTCTCACCATCGCCAATCGGATTCGCCTGACTTCTCTGCCGCTCCGCACGTTGTCGTTCTCTTTGTAGGTAAAGCTGCCGTGCGCGTGCATCTTCCTCTGCCTGAAGCCGTCTTGCTAATTCATGACTATAATACCAAGGGCAGCAACGTCAATGTGAACCGGAAATCATCGACATGGTAAGTGTAAGAACGTACTCTGCTGGGTCTCCGACTCCGGCTGCAACTTCGTAGGCTCTGGCTGCAGCTTCCGCAGTCTGGCCAGCAAAGTCACCTCCCGCTGGTGACGACTTGACAAAATCGCAGTCGACGAACGTCGACCATCCACCATCGACGTCTTCCAGACGCTCCCACACTACCGACGATTCGTGGAGAAAGACGTTATCCGTGACGAGCGTGTATAGAGCAGAATCCTCGCCTTCGGGCTTGTGCAGCACCGAGAGGTGTGAGTTTCGAAATAGCGCAACGAGCGAACCTGGCTCGACAGCTGTGGCGAGTTGGAACAGTCCATAGTAAGTCAGCTGAGACTGGGTCGAGTCCAAAAATCCCTGTGCAACAAGAGCTAGACAAACGACGCAAGAAAAATCAGCACGAATATATGTACCGACAGGAACTGACTAACCAGATTCGATCTTCTGTCGGTCTTGTTCGGAATACGCTTCGCTCGGACTGCGCGGTTCGAACTGGAATTGATTGCTTGGCTCTGTGCTTGACTGACTATTTGCGCCTGCTGCTAACGAGCTGGGTCCGGCCGTGTTGCTGGGCAGGGTATCACTGCGACTCGGTCCAGGCTCGTTTGAGTCGTCAAACACGTCCGAATGCAAGAGTTTTCCCTTGGTAATGTGATCGGCATCTGCTATGAGCGTGACTGCGCTGTCATAGTCGCTGACGCGAGAAAGGACCGATGCTGCGGGACTCTCGGGATCCACGACCCAGCCATGAAGGAGTCTGATACCAGCTTTGGAGAATAGCTGGAGCTCGCCACCGCCTTCGCCTGGTCTAAATGAATCGACGGCAGTAAATTGTGGGTTTAGATCAAGACCCTCTGTCGAGAGGTATAGGCATACGAGGGGTTTGTGAGAGAAGGGACGAAGGAAAGCGGAGAGACGTTACTTGTAGTAGTGGGCATGACAGAGAGAGCTGCGGATATGTCGATGTCGGGATCTGTACAACTCAAGAGAAGATATTCTCCAACGAGCTGCGATAGAAATTCGTAGGATACACTGGTGCGTTCATACGGCTGGATCTGTATGTCGCCTCGGAGGATGAGTATATTGCCTATACACGCGTCAGTTGACTCTGGACACGTCGGGTAGTCTCAGATCATACATACATATTGCGATGAACGAGCATGGGCTGAAAACAACAACGGCGTGAGCTCCAGAAATTCGCGTCTTGCTGTCGCGTTGTTACTTACCCGTTGAAGTTTTGCGTTATGATCTTGACTTTGCGCCTCCGTTCACCCGTACCGAAGGTGATTTCCTTGAGGTCCCACACGTCTGCACGCGATGACCGTAGGCTCGATGCCTCGACTCGTTCTGACATGGGGTCGTAATACTTGACAGCGGAACAGGACGACGCCGGGGTATTATATGTACCAGAGTCCACGTGGGGGTGGCGGTACGGCTGATTCTACGAGCGCCCCCGCAGTTTGTACCTGCCCGCCACCCGCAGCGCTGCCAGACCACAATTCCTGCAAACCTTGGCATCATGTGCTTGCGTTAATTGTACCACTGGGACGCGGGTATATTTCACCAAGTAAGTACTGCTAATTTGCGGGATCGTGATTTTAGCACTATCAAAACCACCACCCTTGCTGATTGGAGTATCGAACTCAGTACTCATGGTTCTGAACTTGGCAAGAATTCCAACAAACGGGTTCCCTGATTTGCCAACGATGTGCTAAACGTGTGCCGTTGCGCAGCGCCCTGCGACTCTACAACTGCGTACAAGATAGCATATCCACCCAAGAGTTCTTTTAGATCGGATGTTCGAACCGGGTTTATCGAGTTCGTCCACCGTAATACTCGATTTAACGCCTATTTTGAGGCAGCAGCGGGGCTCGTGTGTAACAAGGCGTCTTCGCGACGTGCCTATCATTGGACACACTTCTGCGTTTGGACTCGATATTTAAATTAAGAGATGAGGGTGATCACACGACGGTCTTCGGTGTTGAGATGGCTCAAGGTTATCACCATATCGAGGTCCGTGGCATGCGGAAACCTCGAACTCTACTTCACCGGAAGTGACGGTGGAAGGTATCAACTGCCTCGATACCGATATTTGGCGCCTTTGTAAAGGGCCTTGTTGTGAAAGAGTCGGAGTTCTGAACTTGCGCCATGATGAGGCTGCCAGCTGAGAAGCAGAAAGGAGGAGGAAGCATGCCTGTGGTACGATTGTGCCCATACAGACATGTTCACATCAAAATGGAATTGAGAAGAACCCTCCGTTGGCGGTGCACGGGAGTGTGATCTTGGAGCCTCTTCTCTTTTTCCAAGAGAACTTAACGGGTTACTAACGCATCCGGTCTGTGATTGGGTGGGAAGTGAGTGTGCTAGTTGGGGGGGGGGGGGGGTCTTGCTGTAGTATGCCCTCCTGGTCGGATTCTGTCAGTGCTATTATGATCCGAAGCGTGCAACGCTGTTGTTCGGTGGTGGAGTGGAGCAGAGTTGTCTTATCACGACCAGGGGATTTCCTTCCGTGCCTTGATCGAGTACAATTCGGCAGTGAAAGTTGCCAATCCAGGGCTCGGATTCCATCGGTGAATCTGTCAGCGCGGAGGGTTTTCCTCACATAGACTTCATTTATGGATCGAGCGTCGAGCTTCCTTTCATTTGATCTGCGGCATTGGAACGCTCGCGTAAGTTCACATATGTATGTATGTATCCGGACCTCCTCCAGGGCTGCCAATTTATAAAAGTCCACCAACCCAACCTCGAACACCTGCTTGCCCCTTCCCCCCCTCCTCAGTCCGACTCAGGCATTACTCCTGAGAGCGCGTATCGATCCCTCAGTGCCGCCTCCGCCTCCTCGCGGCTATCCAGTGATGCTCCGTCGTCCCCTCCTCGAAGCGATCGACCACCAGGACGTTCCTGGAATGCTGCTCTTGCGTCCCGATCCACCCCTTGCTGCGCGTCCTGCATCTCCCCACTCAGGTCTGTACCCGTCGTACTCTGCTGGATTGCAGTTGTAGCAGGATGAGTGCTCGCAGAGTTGTCTGAATCAGCGAACACATCAACGCCGCGCTGTATTCTGGGCGAGAACGTGTTCGATGCACCATAACCTCCCGACGATGTGGCTAAGTGAGTCTTTGTGAATGAAAAGACACCGAAACAACACAGGTTACTCACTGTCCCCTTGCGGAGGGTAGTTTCCTGTGCGTGACGTATTCGCCGAGGCTGCGGTTGAAGATTAGCTATTTCACCCGAGGACCGAAACGCGTCTTGGCGTACGTCGCATTTTGTCGTCGGTGTACTTGTCACTCATGCTTGCTACATGTTGTCGCGTTGGACGCGGAATATATATCTGGTGTGTGCGTTGAATGACGTCGAAGGAGCGCGTGATGTCATGGGGTGGACGCGGATCACGTGCCTGGTCCGTGCGTGGTGACGCCATTGTTTACTGGTGGCTGTGCAGGGCAGAGTGTGGGAATCAGGCTGTCTCCCGCGTCGAGTCCGACGGTGACACGCAACTGGGAAGACCCGTCGACGCCGGTATTCAATTCGCTTGTCGATCAGCCACTGACAGTCCCGCTCCAAAGATCTAAGCGTAAGTAGGACACTTCTACTTTGTGGTGTGTGTGTGCTGCTACTGCTGCTGCTGTGGGTGTGGCATTCGCACTAACACCACCCTGGTGACTGCTGTATGTGGACGTGCGTGTGCTAATCATTTTTCTTTCCCGTTCCTCCTTCCCTATTCCAGTCTCACCGTGACCTCATCCCACCCACCGCCTGCAAGTTTCCGATCAGTTGCACCCAACTGCCTGGCGATCGAGCAATCCTCGCACAGACTTGTCTGAGACAGAGAGTCTGGGACGCCGCCCACACTCCCACGTCTCCATGGCTGCTGCTGCAGTCTCCCTTTCCTGTCCCCCCCGTCGCTCTCTTCCAGGCTCGCACATGCTCACGCGGCTCACAATCATCCGTCGCCCCCTCCGCTTCGCCAAGCGAGTCACCACCTCAAATCCCATCGTCAGCACAGACCTCGTATCCCCGCTCCTGTCGCCGACTCGGAACCCGACCCAGACTCCTCGTCCTCTGACCCAGAGAACGAACTTACCCCTCGCGCTCTCCGTGCCCTCAAGCGACAGCGCCTCGCTCTCGACCTCGACAGCCTCTCCATTTCCCCTCGTGGTCGACCTAGAAAGAGGCGCAAGGAGAACTTTGCTCATGCCAACTCCGTTGCAGCCGCTTCATCTAGGAAGGAAACTCCTCAGGTAGGTTGCCTCTTGGCTCCCTCTCGGACGCCACGCCCCCTTACACGTTGACAGTCCTTTAAGCGCCCATCGTCACCGCCGCCCTCGCCACTGACACCTAAACGTATCTTTGGCACAGACAGGCAAGTCTCATGCCTTCTTGTTTGCAACCTTCGGTAACGGTTATGCTAGAATCCCGTCCTGTGAAAATGCCGCTCACATACCATCCATACCTGAGTGTCCAGTGAACTTTGTCAATGGGACTGCCTCTTCCGTCCCGATATCGTCGAATGATGGAGAACCCTCATCCACCTCTTACTTGGGCCCTGCCCCTTGTGACAGCTTCGCTGATCAGTCGTCGATCTTGATGCTCACGGATGATTCAAATTCCTCGCCCTCTGTAGACAACAAAGCCACCGATGTGTCTGCACCCTCGGTTCCGCCAATATCTACCGATGCTACGATTGCACCCCTCCCCCTGTCGCCGCCGCTCGTGCCCTGTGCTCCATCGTCGCCAGAGTCAGAACCTTTGACACCGTTGACACCTCTTACTCCGTCCCCTTCGCCCTCGCCCTCAGGTCATGACCGACATACGTCATCAGGTCCTCCCTCACCGCTAACTGAACCATTACCTCTTCTTGTATCCATCGAGCCCGTCTCTCTGCCTTCAGATTCCCTTTCTCCCTCGACACCACATCCCCCACCATTGTCTGCGGAAGGCTGTACATCCGCACAACCAGCGGTGTTGTCGCCACATCCCTCTCATCTCTCGCTTGACCCGCCGCTGGACAATCTCATTTCCTTTGACGGCCTTCCACCCAATTTCGATTCTGGAATGTCACTTCATCTCGATGCGCACCACTGCAATCCGCACGAAGATTCTCACCCTCATCCGCATGTGCCGCAGCTCCCGGTCCCTTCTCTAATCCACCACCAACTGAGCCCCACCCACCGCAACTGCAGTACGTCCGCCCACCTTTCACGCAGATACCTGGCCGAGATCGTGAGGTCAATATATGGAAGTTAGCGTGTCAGGAACGGGTGGAATACCTGTACGTGTTGTTCGTTCTTTTGATATAATGGGATATCGCTAATCATGCGATCTGGTGTATATAGGGCTCGGCGTTTTGGTTTCGAAACGATCAAGGCTGTCGTCGCGTCCGAGGCAAGTTCTGTTGTGAATGCGATTTCCCATGTATCGCCCAGCACTACGACAACTTCCTCTCCCGAATTCCCCACGCAAGAAGACTCGGCTCATGCCACACAACCACCCCAAACACGCTTCAGGTTATACACTCCTGCGAGTTACACGTGGAGCTCCCGGTCTGTTTTGGGCGTTGGCTCCGTTCCAGGGAAGCGATCGTCGAACGATAGTCCCCAGGAAGCGGAAGCAGAGATTGAGAGGGAAGCTCTGTGGGCCGAATCAGATGTGGATGTGGACGTCGATATGGATATAGATGCGGATATGGACGACGACGACGACGATTACGAGGATGAAGATGAACTTGGGGAGCTCGAAGGGGATGCGGATGGGGAAAACCGTGTGGACTTGGATATGGAGGGAACAAATGGGAAAAGTGGTGCAGCGATGCAGCAACTGCTAGGGGAGAACCTGAAGGTAATGGATGCAAAGGGCGAGGACACGATGATGGATGTCGATTGCATGGGACAGTCGCAGAGAGGGCCTGTTGACCTGGCGGATAAGGAAAATCATGCATCAGCAAGCGCGGCGCATTCGTCTTCTCTTTTTACAACATCGGACGAGTCGCAAATGACGGTGTCAGCGGGACTCGCGACAATGCCTAGTCCTTCGACCAGTCTGGCGCTCCCTCTTCGCCATCAGTTTCCTCCGCTCTCATCATTACACGTGCCCCTCCTCTCGGAACCGCCTCGTGCGTTTATGGGTCGTGGGACGCCTCCGGATCGACGAAGGCTCATGGAGTGGAGCATATCAGACCGCTACCCGGGGTGTCAGACTCAAGCCATCGGCGTTGGGCTTTTCGTTTCTCCTACACGCAATCCGGGCATTAATACCGTGCCTATGTCCATGGTTTCGATGCATCATCCCGCAGCAGATGACGTTCATCAAGGAGGGGGTGATGATCGATCACAGCCACATCACCATGCCGGCGAATGGACGTCGTTTTTATATGCGATGCTGGAAGGTGATGGTATAAATAATTGTCAAGTGGACACGAATGTTCCCTCCACCGTATGCCGGACCAGTAATAATACCCCAGGGAACATGAGTGTTGGCGCTGTGGCTACCACCACTGGTTCCACGACGGACGTGACAGGATGGTATGAGCTGGGACTGGCCTCCATGCATATGGGTGGTAGTGTTACTCCTGGCGTTCCGGCAGACATGTCGCTTTCGCACCATCCCCATGTTGTACACGTCTCACCGATAGAACACCCAGGCGATGAGGCGAGCTCGAGCACGTTGCGCTTTGCTCTTGGTTAAACCCCGCAGAGTGTCCTGCCCTTTTGGTTTATTTATGGAGATAATTATGGTTGGTGGGGCTCCCTCTTCCTCGTTCCTCTTGCCGATACATATCCCCCCTGCCCTAGTCCATGCTGTGGGAGCACCACCTGGCGCGCCTGCCAACACGATGGCACTATCCAACCTTGCGAAAGCAAAATCTGTACAAGTTTTACAGCGTAGGAAGACCATTTAAACTTCCTTCGTACGCCCTCATCGCCTCTATTCCTCACGCGAACAAACCACCGTCCATTCCATGCCTATGTAGCGTTACGTGTTTCAACATCGCCTGTTGCACGCCTTCCTCCTCCCCACCCCGTCTCAAGGCGGTTTTTGCCTTGATAATACGCAATTTGCCGTTCTGGGTCTGGCTATCTGGAACGCTTGCATACACAGCTTGGCAGTGTGTGGAGGTATCAGTGGCCTCCGTGCATTATGACCATATATGACGCACGCACCTCCACCGACTCCCGTCATTGCATCTGTCAACTAACCCACTCGATCTAAAGGTGATACATATGCGATTTTTTTTGGCTTTACATACATAAATCCCAAGAGGTGTCACTCCAATCTAAATTGTTTTGAAACGGAACAGGAAACTCGGAAAATGAAAATACCCCTTGCAACTTGTCCGCATCTGCATGTCGTCGCTGTCTGCATATAACATTCCATCGTTGTCATTTGACGCTCTCCATACCACTGGACCCTGTTAAAGGCCAACCAAACTGCTGGCGAATTTTTCTCGAACCACCTCTTCCACTCGATATCATACCACGTTGGCCTTGGTTTATGTTGGGTGGTTTGACTACATACATACTTACAGCAATTTTTCATGTCTTTCTCGATCCTCGCCCTCTGCAATGCTTATATCGTTGATTCTTGTCCGATTCACTTTGGTTGTGTTTGGCACGCGGACTGGGTTACCAAATAAAAACAGGCCGGGTTTGTTGAAGACTTTCATTTTTTCTCTTCCATCTTCTTCAATGTCCAAAGATCCGTGCAATTCCAACGTGTCCGCCACGACGTTCGCATTTGCTGCTCTACAAGCTGAATCCATGCCGAGGTTCGACGAGTACAAAGTACTGCTCGCACCGTTATGTGTACAGACGCCGCCTTGATTTCTGGTGGCGGCTTCTGAAGTTTGGGGTGCAACATGAAACATTTTCACCTTATTGTCAAGGGTGGCAAGCTTTTATTCTGGGGCTTGTCCGCTCTTCCATAATAGCTCGAGGTGAACAGCTTTTTGCTAACTAGAATGTGGCCCGTTACATGTAACAACTAAAAGTACGGGGTATACCTGTGTATCCATGTAGACAAATTCAATGCAACTTGGTATCTCTGAGATTTCGAAACAGGACGAATGGCCTAGAGTACAATAGTGGTTCCAACGTCGAAGCATATTGTCAAACTCCGATGTGTATGAAGACGATCCGCTGGTCTAATGGCACGACATTCTTGTCGACTGTTTTTGAAGCTTTGTTCAAAGCTTTGGCCGCTTGCGTGGAGTCTGGTGCTTTGTCTCCGCTAAACATGTGCTTATAAAACTCCCTCACCATGTGTTGGGCCGTAGAATCATCCACAGCCCACATAGTCCCGATCACGCTCCTGAATCCAGCAAATTGCATCCCCGCAGCGAGGTGGATAACCTCGTCGGGTGTGTGCTCATCACCGACGGCAGTGTCACATGCCGAGAGAAATGCAAAGGCCGGGTTTTCCGGTTCTGCGCGGATGATATCGAGCAAGCTGATCGGACGATCCTTTAAGGAAAAAGCTGACGCAAACGGATCTCCTAGATCTTGCTTTCCGTGACACGCGAGATGTACCCACGCGTGTGTTCGCAAACCCTCGATCGCGGTGTCTGCTGTCCCCTCGTCGCCAGAGATCCGCTTGAATGAGAGGGATGATGACGGAATCAACGATTCGACGAGAGCAAGCTCCGCGCTGACAGACTGCAGTTCACTTTCTTGGCTCCCATTAATTGCTGAGTTTGATTGCCCGATGGCGAGGAAAGACGACGGTGGCGCGGACACAAGGTGGGATTTCTGGGACCTTGACCTGTTGAGGGCGGAAAGGCTGGGTGTGTACGAACAAATGTAGATATCAGGCAGATTTGGAAGACCCCTACGATAAGGACCAGCTGCATGGAGGGGTAGAGTAGTGAACTTGGAAGTCGGACAAAACCAGACCCGCGATCCTCGCGGTAGGAATTTCAATAGTTCGTTTACGATAGGCTCAACAACGACATCCCAGAGTTTTCGGAGAACAGGCACGAGTCGCCTTTCCCGCACCTTCCCTTCCCCTACGTAGCCTGTTTCTTTCAACACCCTGTAAATTGTCTCGCCCATCGTGACGAGCTCAGTGACTGACGTGCTTTGGAGGGGAATCAAGAGCGGTGGTCGATCCTTCGTGACGACGATGGCGTCACAGTGCTTCTCGTGTGCGTTCAGGAGGATTGCCGGTCCTCCGACAGCAGCTTCTTGCAATTCGTTGTACGCAAAAGCACGTAGGAAAGACTCAAAACCTTTTTTTTCCCGAACACGGTTTATAATCTCCACCCATTCACGGTGGCGTTGCTTATATAGACGAGTATCTTCTTCCGCAGTCAGACGAGACGCTTGCGCTGTCATCTCAGAAATAGAGCGCGAACTCCATCTCTCGAGCTGCGCAGAAACCCGTTCGAAATCAGAGGCGAGGGCCATGCCGTCCTCGCCGGCTTGGCGCAACGCGTCTAGCGGAGTACGTGTGTGGGCTAGCTGGTGCCAAATGAGTCCTCGACCCTGTTCCGAAAGTTCAACTGCCACTTCTAAAGACCTGCGTTCTATTGCACACGCCATTGCTTTAGATGGCAGCAGGTTGATATACTTGGCGTTTTTGCTCTGCGAAAGGTATTTGTGACGCGAGGAGACGGCCAGGGTGGAATGCGTGAACGTATCCAATGACGAGAGTGACACTCGGTATGCCTGAAGTTCCGAGGAGTGGTGTAGCCTCTCCGCTTGTTTTGCCCATTTTAATGAAACGGGAAGATCGCGACCTAATAATGGGCGCGCTGCAGCACTGGCGAAACAGCTGAAAGCTTCGTCCAGGAGAAGCGGATCTTCGTTGAGGGAGAACATATGCAGTAACAGGGATGCCGAGGAGAGATACACCGTTTTGAGGGCAGGATGCTCCTTAGGAATCAAATGCGAGAGGGCCCTGAGAGCATCTAGACTAGCTTGGAGCTGGTCATTGTCATGCTGGCGCATAGCAAGGCGCCTCTGCACGTCAACAAGGTGCGCAACAGTAAACGGAAAATAAGGATCACTTCGCCCTATCGAGATTGCGTCTCGAAGGTATTGGATGGCCAGTTCTAAGTGACGTACGTCATCCTCAGCCTTTGCCAACCTACATAGCGCCTGAGCAAAACAAACCAATAAGGTGGCTCGTTCAGGATGCGCTGGAGGAATTGTGGCAAAAGCAGATTCGAAATACTGGATGCATTGTTTCAAATCAGCGAGAACGTGGGTTTCCTTGTGTCGAGTACAGAGCATCGTACCCAGGTTAATGAGGACGGGGACTTTATCTTGGTAGGTGGGGACCTCAAGTGCCCTTGTCGTGTACTCGATGGCTGTGTCCAAGTCAGTGTGGTCGCCTCGCGAGGCGAATCGCTTATAGAAAGCCGACCCAAGGTTGACTAGACATGCGAAATAGTGGGTATTTCCAGGTCGCTTGGAAAGCAATTCATCTGCGTCCGCCATGCATACAATAGATTCATCCAAGTTGCCACCATTGCCGTGAAAGGTATATAGCAGAAGCAGGTTGATCCCCAGTTGCATAACCACGGCTGGGTAACTCGAATTTTTTCGAGCGCAACTCCGATGCGCGATGCGGCAGTGTTGAATGGCCGTATAAAGGTCCGCCTCGTCCCCTTTCGAGTTGAAGCGCACTTCAAGTGCGATGGCGAGGTGCAAGTGGACAGAAACGAACAACCCCTCTCCTTCAGGCAAACGACTCTCTATATCACGGAGAGAATCTATTGCAAGATTGAGATCTGCAGGGTTACTCTTACCCTCATGCTGGAACCTTTCAAGGAACGCGAAAGCGCGGTTTCCTTTGAATCGAGCAAATAGGGAATGGGTCGGTGGCAGAGCATTCAGGACATCGTCACACTGGTTGATCACAGCGTGCAAGTCGCTGATGTCTCTATATCGCCCAAAGCGAGCCAGTAATGCATCATTGAGGTGTAGAAGCGCAGGATACGAAGAGCGGGTGGGGAAGCCCAGCAAAGCCGCCTTGGATTGTGCAATAGCAAGATCGAGATCTCCAATATCGCCACCCTCTTTGAAACGTGCAAGGACCGCGTCACCATGTGCAGCAAGGATGAAGGGACGAAATTGGTGTGTCCTGCCGCAGAGTTGTAAGGCCACTTCGAGGCGGTCAACTGAGGTGTTAAGGTCTGCGAGATCACCGGTGATATTGAATCGCATTAGTAGGCTATTACCAAGATGGAGGAGGGTAACGGGCCGTTCAGTCGAGGATGTCGGCTGTAGTTCAAGTGATGTTGATAAGAGTTGTACCGAAAAGTTAAGATCCTCGATATCGCCCGTGTTCTGGTGGCGTAACTGGAGAGCATTGCCGAAGCAATCGAGCAGCCGTATGTGTTCTGATCCCACGCCAGAAGACGCAGAAAGAGCACTACGGTAGCAAGCTAAAGCCTTCTCTACTTGCTCCGCATCTCCCTGCACTTCAAAAGAAGAACACAGAGCAACACCAAGGCTGGTCAACAACGTGACATATCCACTCTGTCCTGCGGCACACGACTGCAGTGCGTCGTTGTAGCATGTGATTGCTTCCTCCAAATCAGACAAGTTTTGGTCCAAGGTAAATCTGAGCCGTAGTGCGTCGCCGATATTTGTGAGAAGGGAGGACCTCCTCATATGGCCAGGAGGACGTAGATTCAAGCAAATCCTGTAGTTCTCCAGAGCTGCCTCTAGGTCCGCTTGATCGCCGAACAGTTCGAACTTACTGCAAAGGGCGTTGGCATAGTTATTGAGGAGACTATCACGGGTAGGATTATCATCGGAGCACTTTGACAGAGCAGAAGAGTAAATTTCAATGGCTCTAGTCAGGTCTGCTGCATCCGACGTTTGGCGGTAACGAAGAGCCAGAGTGCTAGCGAGGTTTGTGGCAGAGAGTATGAAGTACGCGGAATCAGGACCGCAGCGATCCATCAGCATAGAAAGATATCCGATAGCCTTTTCTAAGTCCTCCAAGATCCCTCCCAATGTAAAACGATCCCGGAATGCCAGGCCGAGGTTACCCAGGGCTACCAGATGAATGGGATGATCCTGAGTGTATAGTGACAACAACATTTCGTCGCGTTCGATAAATTCATCGAGGTCGGAGAGGATCCCTGTACTTTTAAACCGATCGTACAAAGCATCTGTAAATTCATGCAGAGCCGAGGGATACCCTGGGTCTTCAGTGCTCAATGACTGTACCTTCTGCCTCACAAGCTCGACTGGATCACAGTTGTCCCCTTCGGAGGGTTTACTGTACCCGTAAAAGCAGCAACAGTTAGCGGGGTCAATAACACGATTGACCAGATGTAATACCTGTCTGTGGCCATCAAGCTAAGGGTAGCTTGAATTTCACCACTGGTTGTTGGAGTGCTTGCAAGGCTACCATATTTGGAAACGACCTCCATCTGAACCTAACATGACAAAACAAACCGCTGATTGGACAAGGAAAAATGATTATGTAAGCCGCAGTAGCGAACCTTGCAGCTTCAACGTTTCAACGGGGCACCATACATAAAAGTTGGAACGATACAGATGTGTGCTCGAGTATGAACTTCATGGATTGAGCTATGCTGGTTGTATCCGAATTCAACAGATGGCGCGCTTCCGCTGGATTTCTAAGCTCTATTCGCCGCCGCTTCTCGTTGCTGTCCATCGACCTTAAACTTCAAGCTTCACTGCCCAACCGAACGACTTCATTGCTTGAATAGGCTTGCACTTCTATCCACTATGGCTACACAGTCCCGCCCGCAGCCCATGAATGCTTCTGAACACCATTCCAAGGTCAAAGTCACGTTAACCCTCTCCGACCCCATATTCGTTGCTGGTCGTTGCATATCTGGGAAGATGGAAGTGGAGAGTCGTGCTGACTTGGATTCTTTACTGGGCATAGGAGCCATGACAGTGGAGTTATACGGTATTGAAGGTAGTTCTTTCAAGTCCTGTACCTATCCATCTGCTGATTACTTCGATTTGAAGAAATCATCTCCCAGGATCACAGTGCAACTTCTACCTTTATCCATTCTCGCAGAATATTTCAGGGCCCTGGACTCCCTCCATCAAATTCAGTATACCCTGACCATGTCCCAGCTGAGGGAGAGCCGCTGCTACCCGCACATCACTATGCCGCACGTCGTGGACTTACTACCTTCTTTTTCCGGTTTCCGCTCCCGCTTTCGTCTCCTGCATCCATACGATTCGGACCTGCCAGCATCAGATACGAGGTCCGCGCCAACGTCAGTGTAGCATGGCGGGGTGACAGGCGTCTTGTTACCGACACCCGTGAAGTTAGAGTTGTGGAAAGTTTGGATGCCATCGCTCAAGCAGAAATACCTCAGGCGGTATCAATTGCAGAGGGTGGTAAGATATGGGCATGCGCCAGCATAACTAGTGGGACTGTCGTTGGTGGGGAGGCTATCTGTATTGATTTACAGCTGAAAAACTACACATCTAGATGGGTAAGCTCCTGTTTGTTACTGTAAGTCCAACTCTTCGCATTCACACGATTCTTCGACCGAGCAGACTTGCGGTGTAACAGTTTTTCTAACGCGGTCCCTGCACCTATCCAATTCTCTAGTTGGAGCGAAGCCCCCTCCACATTTGGCTGACGTTGTCACCCAAGTTGATTTTCGTGGCCCCGAGTATTCACTTCCGCCTGGAATTGAGGGGTTAGCACGTCTTGTCATTGACGTACCACGTCATTTCCGTGGTGCTAAAGGAAGTTCGCGCCTGGACGACAGTGGGCGAACGACTGACAGCTTATTTGAGGTAAGTTGCGCTTTCGACGTACGTGTAGAGATGCCTCCCGGAAGGTGTGTCAAGTACGTTGTGGAGCCACGTTGATGTCTCATAAGCCACCTCAGCGAAGATGTATCGTTGATCTTGCCCATAACTGTCCACCACTCGCTTGCTCTACCTCAACCTCTGGCATCACCCTTCGCTATCCCCTCACCACCCCACTCACATGTATCCCCATCGAGTGCCGGATCCCCGCCTCTTCCCCTTCTGGAATTACAGCCTCATCGCAGTGGCGATTACAACCCCGTTTGGTCGTCCGGAGTGGCGCAGCCCGTTCATGAAATCCCGTCTTCTGCGACGAGTGTTGTTCATTCTTGGCAGCATTCCTTGGACCCTTACATCACACCACTGCAGCGTTCGACATCCGCAGGTCCGCAAGTGCCTGTACCATTTCATGACCCACCGACTAGCGAGTTCCTCTCTGCGGAACCACTTCGTTCTCCTATATTCGTACCCTATCCGAGTTATCTTCCTCTCTCCTCCCACAACGGTGCGAGTGCTACGAACTACACCGACTCCCCAGGGAGGGGGCCGCACGCATCTCGCATCTCGCACAACCTTCATCAATCTTCTCGGCATCGCTCAGCATCACCCTACTCCCGTCAATGCGCACAACTCGAAACTTCTATGATACCACGTGCACTTCCTTCTCCTCACGCCCAGTTTCGTTCCATTCCAGTACCTCTCCAGTGCAATTCCTACGGATTACAGGGTGGTATCTCCTGCCCTCGACCAATACCATCCCCTAAACATTCGTTATCAGGGTCAATTTCCAAAAGCGAGAACGTGTGTATGCTGGAGCGTATGGCAGATGAGGTTGGGATCCAGAACGGTGATCTTAGTGCTGACCTCCCGAGAGGCAATGCGGACGCAAACCTCTGCGTTCAGGGTCCGGCTCTTGTACCTGACGTTTTCGAGTCGCTTCCTAGCGCTTCTTTTCTTCTCGACAACAACAGAAACATCCATCAGCAAGTTCACGTCAGCGAGTCCCTTACCGAAGAAACCCCGACCAACCGCCCGTCTTCACAAGCATCTTCGGATATTCTTTGTGCACCCCCTATACCACCCATCGCTGCTATTACACCCATTAAATTTCCTCGTCTCCCGGCGGCAGAAAGTGGCGACTTAATTACGAATCCTGGAAACTTTACTGAAGAGAGTGGATTGGACGCGCTAGAGCGACGCCTCATAGCTGAGGTAGGGACTCGCTGCGCAGACACAGAGCAGCGTCCTGACGTGCGCAGCCTTGTGCGGCCAATAACTATTCCTACTCGGGATCTGGACCCCCCTGACGGTGTTAACGACAGTGCTATCTCGAGCTTAACGCTAGCTGATCGAGATGCAATAGTAAAGGGTTCGGCTCAAGACAAAGAGCAAGACCGCGATTCAGATGAGCGGACTCAGCACATAGAAAGCGGAGAGATTCCGTCTGAAGATGATGGAGATGCTCGCACTCAGAAAGGAAAGAGTGTCCGCGGGATTTGGCAAAATGGAAACGGTGGCGAGGGTCACGAAAGAATGGGGAGGCGACGGGAGAGAAAGAAAGGCAGAAATGAAGAATCACGGAAGTTCAGAAAAGAGGCACAGGGACGTGTTGCGGCATGGCTTGGAGGGATAGACACGACAGCACCGCCAGCCACGGACGACACCATCTCTCTCGCCTCGCCTTCGGAACCGCTAGCTAACAAGTTGCGGACGCGACTCCCCCAAGGAGACACAGTGGACGAAAGAGGGAGTGAGCGGTATTTTGCTTCAAAGGACACATCATCATCTCCAAATCCGCGCTCCTCTGGGTTTGCAACTATCTCATCACTGGACAAGAACCAGAGATCTGAGAACCCGACGTTCAGAAATTCCCCTCGCAGGCTGTTGGTAAACAATCCTCTTCAGCCACCGTCTCCTCAGATGGACAGTTTCCATCCTCCTGTGGCTTCTAAGCCCCTCGTTGCTGAGGGGGAAACACTGCCTGCATCTTCGTCGTCACGGCTACCTCCACGCGTGGCGGATATCGAAGGAAAGTACGGTGTACGTTCGGCCCGAGGGGGCAGAGGTGGAAAGGTGATGCGCGTAGCTTCCCTATGGGCTGCTAAGGCAACTGAAGTTAACATGAAGGGAGCTCCCTCGCCTCCTCCCCGAAAGGTGACCCCCAGTATTCCAAAATTCTCAGCCGCGAAGGCTTCTCCTTTTACCTCGCCCGTCGCAGGATCATCAGACGCAGAGTTCAGACACAACATTAACCGCCAGGCTAACCCAGCGAAAGCTACGACGGTTCCAGCAGTGATATCATCTTCACATGCTGTACCTATGCTCTCATCTACTGCATCTCTCGCTCTCCCGCAAGCCACTAATAAGCCCAGGACTACTAGCCTGGCCCCTACGATTTCCGAGGCGGTATCGGACATCAAAAGTGCAAGTAAGAACGCAGCCCCAAGATCAAGAGGGGAACTTGCTTTTGGAAAAGCAAGGCTGAAAGCCCTTATCCAGAAATACCAAGGGTGACGTGTAGTTCTTCATTATTTTTTTGGCGTGTATTTCCCTGTCGCCTTGTAGTTGTTAGAACTACTGTAACCTGTGCTTCGTGCTTGTTAGCTACCTTGTTTTCACCAGCTCTTTTTTGTGTGTAAGAGGCACCTAATACTAGCGGAGTTCTTTGGTTACTATTACTTGTGACATCACTGACATTCCCTCGACGCCGACTGTCTCGACATTCAGCCTCGAGTTGCTTCTCGTGATGCCTTTACAATACATACTCTGCCAGTCATGTCTTGTTTTCTATCAGAAACCTGCATGTAGTCGGATGCTCGACTCTGCCCGCCTACATAGACCACCGGGCTCCATCGTCAGACCAAGAACGGGATCTCCACACGCAAAAAAGCTACGGCGATTCATTCAAGAGGGGGTGGCACTAAGTCAGTTTATAGCGCCTCTAGAACGTGGCGGAGTAGATTAAGTCAACGGAGCCAACACAAAATAACCTAAGACTCTGTGACAAAGGCCCAAACCAATTTGAATGGCCGGTATGGTTCTGGAACAAGACCCGAAGCAACTGCGCCCCTCGTCAGCCAAGCATCCGCAGCCCGATTTCCCCAGAGCCCCAACCAACTCAAGATCCATAACCGCCCCCCAAGGCCCGAAGGAAGTCGGCCACTCATAGACCTCCATGTAGATTCCATGACAACCCCAACTCCCATCATAAAGAAAAACCCAAATATTGCAACAAAGTCAGATCCTCTTCCCACAGCTCTTAAACCAAGGTCGTGCATGAGGCCAGAGATGGTGAATGCACCCAGAACTCCTGCTGCTCGCCCGAAAATGCGAGACACCGGCTTGGCTCCTAGTGCAACCATATAGCTGCGGTTCAGGTGGTGCCATCTGTCGCCCCAGAGTTCCGTCAACGAGGTGGCCTTCCAGGGGTCAAAAAACAACGGAGGCCATTGCGAGGGTGATTGTCGAAGAATCAATATGGCAAGTACGCTGAAAGCATCGTAGACTGTGCGAGTAGTCACGTAGATCAGCGTGCCGAAAAGAAAGGTCATTGTAGTCGATCTGAGGTATCTCCACGAAGCGGGAAAAGAAGGGTCAAATACGGACCCTCCCCCTGGAGTGCTAAGCTCGGGCGAGAACGATTGCAACGCAAATAGTAGCGCATCACCCAGAATGAGATGTAAGATCACGGAAAGAATTCTACCCCTTAAAAAAGGGAGCCTTTGCTGAGACGGAGGGACCTGGAGAAGAGTTCTTGGTTTGGATGGGCCCTGCCAACTCAATTCGCGGAAACCCAATGCCAGATCGCACGCATTCTGCAGGGCAGCCCTCAACGACGCCCGCTTCACGTTCGCATCCGCAGTGGTACCTGGTATGGGCCGAACTTGGTCGCTATAGACTGCCCATACAATGCAGCGCATCACGATCATGAAGGTGAAAAGCTGAGATACTACATTAATGCTCCTTGCACCTTGTAATTGGCACAGTCACTCACAGCATGCGATTGGTTCGCCTGTGCCTTGATGGGGTCTCCGCCAGAGACGTCCAAGCAAGCACCCACGCGGAGCCCAAACCAAAGCGTGAAAGGTAGAAGAGATCGTCGCCAGACAACCGTTCCAGGAAAGATCACCAGGAACGCAGTAACGAAATACACTGCGAGCAGCGGAAAAACCATGCCCACGAGGCTTGAAACATTCAGGGGGATTTTAACAGACGGATCGACCATCTTCGACCGTGAACCTACGGAGTGAACAGTTGGACTTTGTCAACATAGGGCAGTGCAGAAGATATCAACTGGGCGCCTACAGTGCCGTGTTGGGAAGAACTCGCCATTTTCCAAGCCTCCAGGTCACCTTACTCGTTTGTTTTTCGTGCACTTGTACAAGCGGGGGTTGGAACGTTGGTATACGAATGGTCCTAGGTAATCTGTCTACGATTGCTACACTCAAGCTACACTGTTGAGTTCCCTCAATACACCCGCCGAGCTCAAAGCCCAAGACAAGGGCCTCGCGGGGAAGAACGCTGACCTCGCGATCAAACCTCCCTGCGCCCATGAATCTACCAAGAGATGCCCCCAGAGGCACTGCCAAATCCATACCCATAAGCAGCCGAGACATCCGCCTACTTGCCTCCCAGTCAACTGCCTCCATAGCCTTTCCAGTCCCACCCCAGCACCTTGCGTGACAAAGTAGCTCACTATACGCAAGGTATCCTCATGACCCATTCCACGCATCCCAATGTCGTGAAAAGCACCTGAGACGAGGAACGCACCGATGACAGCGTATTGCCCCAAGATGCCTTCCAAGGGTTTGTATCCGATTGCCACGAAGCTCTCCCGGAAGAGCTGATGCCAGCCTCGATTCCAGAACTTAGCAAGTGAGGTAGCAAACCATGGCTTATCGAAAAGAGGTGGCCACTGCGACGGGTGCTGTTGGAAGAGTACGACGCAAATAACGGCGCTGAGACAATAATACATCTCTATCACCGAAATTCCACCAAAGCCAACCAGTAGAGTGATTGTCGTTGATTGCAAGTATCGTCGTATGGGCGGCAATGTCGGGTCAAAAATCGACCATCCTGTCGAACCCTGCGGTGCCAACACTCTGACACACAGATCCGTGGCATCACAGATGGACATGTAGAAAAAGGAACGGCCGAGCATCAATGCTGCAAAGACGAGTCTTGAGTCGGTTTTGAACGTTGGAGAACGAACGTATATTCCTTTGGACCAGTTCCACCCCAGACCCCGTAGATTGTTACATAAATCAGAAGCATTCAACATTACAGAACGAATGTTGTTCGGGCTGGTCGTGAATGACCCAGAGTTGGCCTTGTTGGCGATTCCATTTGAGAATCTAGCTTTGTCGTGACCTATGATCTTGACGTATGGCTCGTTGACCAGCGTCCAAGTTGTGGCGCGCATTGCCAAGTTGAACATAACAAGCTAAGTTCAGCCACAACTGGGAGGTAAGCTACAAACATACTGAACGGATTGAAAACTCACCGCTAACGCTTTGTTGAGATATGCATATTCCGGTTGCTTTCCAGAGAAATCCAACGACATTCCTGCTCTGAGGGCCAACCAGAGTACTAACGGAAGTAATGCCACTCTATACAGTTTTGTCCTCGGGAGCTGGACGAGGACCGCCATGACGTGGTAGCTGAGGATTACTGGAGCAAGGAATGCCGCCAAGTTGGGCCCTGTGGGGGTGACCCTTTGTTTGCTGAGGAGTAGCAAATCCTGAATGGTGGGCCTGCCAAAATGTCGTCAGATATCGAGAAAAATGAAGCACGAGTCTGACCACGATCCCATAGTTGACCGCTGCTAGAATACTGACGTGGATCAACACTGGCGAGGTATTTTTGCATCTCGTCATTTAATTACGGACTAAGCGATAGGCGCCCAGACATGTGTCGTGATCATGGCAGTTGCTGAAAGATCCTTACATAAGCTATCACTGAGAGTCAAGCCGGAGTTGCAAAATCCAAACACAGTGCTCTCAGGACTACACTAAGAATCACATGAACAGATCGAGTGTTATGCCAATCATGAATAGAGAAACTTCTGATAGAGAGGAAATTAATACGCAAGGTATATTACCAGCCGCCAGAGAGATTGGTACTTCATCGATCAGATACCTTACATTGAAGCTGGGAACTGATGTAGTATCTGAAGGGTCCCCTCGGAATAAACTGACTTTGCATGTTATCTAGTGCGATTTGATTTCAGCATTTTGCAACGCCAGCCCAATGATAGTAACCCACTACAACATCTATGCATGAACCCCCTTCTTCATGGTATCCCGAATGTACCCTCTCCCGGGAACATCGGCATGACCCCAACCTCCCGGATACCCCAATGCGTAGCCCATACCCTTCCCACGCAAACTTGCTGGAGGCTTCCAGTAGGCTGGAGTTGTTCTCTCGTGGGCTACCTTCCACCGGCGTCGGCGTCTCGAGCTGCGAGCCATGGCTGTGCCACTAGTAGGAATGGTTTGAGCAGGCAAGATTGAAACGCAAGTCGTTTTGAGCTCATGTGGAGATGACGCTGGTACATAGGAGGAGACGGCTTTTCGGTGGCCATTTCTTGGCCGAGAACACGTGGACATACGACTCTTTTCTATCACTCCAACAGATGGCAGTGAAGCTGGAAATTGGTCACCAGACAGACGGAGCCTTTCAACGGTACAGAGCTGACCGCGACGAAGAATAAGCACGTCTATAACAATGGATCGTGTGTTCATTTTTGCAATCACCTTATCTTGAGTAGGTCCCCACACGCACCACTGATCATCGTATTTTACTGCGATGGACTCGGCACGTTGCCTCCTCTCCTCCGCTTTGCTTGCGGTGTCCTCCCATTCCGGTTCCTGAGTCCTAGTGATACGTCAGTAAGGCGGTAGTTGCAAAGATATGTAGATGTACTGTATGGGCGGTGGTGGCTTCGGTTTCAAGGAAATGAGTTGGGGACCATTTGTACTAGACAGCAGGCGGAACACTGTGGTGTGAAACTCGTCACTGCGTGTCGGAATTGTGCAACTGGGATGCCTGCATAGTTCTCCCTGCCCGTCCAACCTGTCCATCTCCGTCTTTCTACGTTTTTCGGTCTTGCGTGGGTGAGTATCACCAGCGACATCATCCCATGTCGCGTGAAGCAACTGGTCCAGTTTGCGTTTCAGGGAGTCGGTTTCTTCATCTTGCACGGGTTCAGCGAGAACACTGGAATGCTTGATATGCTCGGCGCGCGAAGTAAGCTCGTAGTGCCGAGCGAACAGATGTGGATTGTAAGACTTGGGAATGATGGCGTGGTTCATGTCGAGTTGGGTCTGTTTGTCAGTCGCGCTGTACTGTGTTCCATACCAGCTGGACACTTTTACAAGACGGGTGCATCATGACGTCCGCGACGCTATTAAAGCAAAAGAAAGCAGACATGGACGCTAAAGAAGTCGACGAAAACTATCTGTTCGGCTTTTCTACGGACGAGGATTCTTCTGACGACGAGGATGTCTCACTGGAGGAGGGTGTAGACATATCCAGGCTTCCGACGATCGCGAAAGACGACGCAACCGTCCAGAGGAAACTCGAAAAAGCCAAGCGGCAACCTGTAAGTGCTTTTGGCCATTCTTACGACCCCCTTCGTTGTAACACCGGGAAAATAACAGACTGAGCATCGGGGCGTGTTATGCATCAGCCGACTGCCTCACGGATTCTACGAGGATCAGCTCAGAGGTTATTTCTCTCAGTTCGGGGAAATAACCAGGCTGCGCCTTTCACGGAATAAAAAGGTTCGTTTTAGCATCTCTGCTCCTCTACTATTGAGCTGAAGGCTACCCTATCCCTTTCTATACACCTAGACTGGAAAGTCAAAACACTACGCTTTCCTCGAGTTTGAGTCTGCTTCCGTGTCCCAGATTGTTGCAGAGACGATGGACAGCTATCTTTTAATGGGTCACATCCTTCAGTGCAAAATTATACCTAAAGACGAAGTCCATCCTGAATTGTGGGTGGGCGCTAACCGCAAGTGGAGAAAGGTACCCCAGGACAGGATCGTTAGAGTACAACATCACAAGGTAAGCGGTTCTCATCGTTTGGTTGCAGTGATAAACATGGAGCGTGCACGCGTAGCCCCGGAGTGAAGATAGCATACATAAAGCGGAGAAGCGGTTGATGAGGCGTCAAAGAGAACGTAAACGGAAGTTGGAAGAAGCTGGTATCAAGTATGACTTGGATGCGGTTTCTTATGTGGGTTTCGTTTATTTTCTTACCTCTCCCTCATCAGGTGCCAACTCTATTTAATAGAAAAAAAAATCGACGTCATGAACATTGTACGAGCAGATTCGACAGCATGCGGGATGGTGTTTGCTTCCTACAAAGAATGTTCTATTGAAGGAAATGTTGACAGTTCTTCCCTGACCAAATCACTTACATTAGTGCGTCCCAAGTGCCTTGCGGTCTCACGCTCAGGCTTGTGCGGCCTTTCTGATTTCACAATGAGGCATTTGACAATTACGTGGTGGCCTAGCTTGCACGTCAGCCACAGCAGTCATTTGCCTTACTCATCTTCCGGCGATAACTGTGCGGCAAGCTCGCCGTTGCATGATGCCGCGCAGGTGAGTGTGAGCCCGGAATTCTCTAGGTCTCGGCTTTTGCAGGGTGAAATGATTCCTGCGTTGGGCTGAAAGCTACGGCCGATGGCGCTTGGGTCAGGCGATAGAATGTGCAAAGCACTTCCACTTCCAAAAACACGATGCGCGTATGCACAGACGTCTTAATCGGCTGGAGCGCCTGAAACATCTTTTGGAATCGGCCGAAGCAGTGGCTCTATCAAAACCACGAGGGTGGTAATACGGCGGAGCTTTTTGCTCACCGGTCAGCCGACTCAGCCTCGGTGACTTCATTCTTGTTTTTCAAGCTGCCATGATGGTAAACCAATCACGTCACCCCCTCAGAAACGGTATCGGCCAACCCGATTGAGGCAGGTTGAGGGTGTTCACACGACCTGTGCTAAGGCGATGGACCCGGGGTGTGCACTGATATTATGCAAGTCCAGCCTTTAAACACCAACCCAATCGACTGGTCCAGATGCGGACCTTATTTGAAAAGCTCTCCTAACTATAGAAATAGTCGGTGGACTTCTCTGGACCTGCCACTCCACAAATCGAGGCGAACCGTGTAGCCACGAAGATTTTTCAAATATAGTGTATTGCTGTAGACTCCTACGACGGGTGGTCCACACGCGACACAGCAAATAGAATCGGGGATCTTTCGACGTCAGAACGTTTCCACACTAAGTCCTTAGTGGGTTTGAACTTCTAGAACCAATGTTACTTATGCACTTTTTTGCTGACATCATGAAAGGGACAGCCCTTCAGCTCGACACTCCATCCAAATATCGGACTTCGAGGACAATAACCATAAGGGCATCGGTAATAAGCACACAGCCACTTTCGGCACCACTTTCCTGTGCATCGATAAGCCGAGAAGACACACAGCATCTCCGCTGAGATATCTACGTGCCGAGCTGACTATTTAATGGACCCTTTGGATCTCCCATGAGTTCGCTAGAGCACAAGGATTTCCTCAGCGACCTTGGCAGATGACGAGCCAACGCTTCGTCTTTCTTCTTTTTTCATGACCTGCCCACGCACTCCCTCCCATACGATCCAATTCCGCACAGATTGTGGTATTCGGGTCTGACGATGCAGAGTTAGGATCGTAGGTTGACTGTTTCTGTGTATGGGAATGTCACCTTGCGAACCTGTCTCTGCATCCCAGACTCGAATCGCGTCCTTCCCGTGTAACTATCACGAATATTCCTAATATCTCTTTCTAGTACTTGTCTCTCCCAATTCGTCTGCGATGGTCCATGGACCCCAGGTAAGCCCGTATTGCCGGTTATGACCTGCATCGAGTTTCGGGCTCACCCGTAACCAGAACTTCGGCGGAGGCTCAAGCGTTGCGTTGCGACTGTCCTCTATTTTCCTACATTCGTGCACCTTGATCGGCGGCCTTACCTACCTACTAGATCCAACATTACGATCCATGTGCTGCGCGTGTAAATCAGGTTCCGGCTGCCAGTAGCGGCAGCCATAAACCGCACAACGTGTGGAGAGCCACGAAGGTACATTACAGAAAGCTTGTATTCCGCCTTGCCGCAGAAAATGTTCATGGAGTCGTGACCAGCAACGGCTATCATGAGTTGCGTGGCATGAGGTCCACGAGGGTGCACCACAGTAGAACAATTCAGACGCGGATTACCGACCTATTAATTCGTGTGTTTCCGGAGTTACTCTACTAGTGTTTCCCGCCCGCATCTTGTATCAAGGTTGCAAACAGGTATCATTAAGGGGATCGCAGTCCTGCAACGTTTCAACAGCCATTCGTCTGATTAGCGGCTGTAGTTTGACTGATCTTTCCCCTCAGCAACAGACGTTCCGGACTCTAACAAGGTCCAAATTGCAGAGCGTAATTAGTTTTGCATGATGATTTTTCCGCAGATTGTGCAGAGTTCTTCACTCATCAACATGCATGTGTGTATCTTCGCTAGCTTATCTCCCCCGACCGCTTCCGTTTACACGCTGTGATTGATATGCATAAGCAACAGAAGGTGGCACGTTTGTTAATGTGAACGAGCAGGAGGAATATACCAAGAAGTAGAAAGGGTGTACAGCTATTAACATAAATTGGATTTCCTATGAAGATTGAAGACCGTCCGAAGAGAGAGAGATCTATTTTACCATCCCTTACAGACGGTGAAACAGCTCCTAACAAAAAAAAGAGGGTGTTCAGGACGTCCCCGCAGTGCCTGCGTATGAAGAGGCAAACTCAGTGCACTCGCAACCATGGTTAACGAGTCAAGGACGTACCCGTAATGTACCCTCTCTGTTCTTCGTTCGACAGGTCTTCGAGCGTCTTCTGCTTGGTCTCGGGGATAAGCAAAGTCGAGAAGATGCCCGTCAACATGAAGAAAGCAAATATCTCCATGATGTGTTTCACGAATTTGTTTGTGCCGCCGATATTGACGAGCTGCCCGAATCCAAGTTGGGCGATGACAGCACCTAGTTTACCGGATGCGGCAGAGATACCGTGTGCGGTTGAACGGTAACGTGTCGGGAAAGCCTCTCCGGGGACAATGAAGGTGGTGGTGTTGGGGCCGAAGTTTTGGAAGAAATTAGTGAGGCAATAAAGGAAGACGAATGCCTTGGTGACTTGAGGGTTCTCCGTGAGCTTGTCATAAGCGAAGCCTGTAAAAGGAGTTACTTTTGGGTCATGCGAAGACCACGAGGAAGAACTTACCCATTATGACGAAGAGGATGGTAAGGACGGTGAAGCCCATCAATTGAATGGGCTTGCGACCCCACGTATCAATAAAAAGGAAAGTTACCCAGTATCCGGGAATGAGACCAGCGACGGAAAGGATGAGGTTTCCAACACAAATGTTTTTAAGGTTCTCCCAAACGTAAAGAGAAGTGTTCTTTGTCGTTGTGGGGTTTCCGAAGTTGATGGCCGTCAGGATGACGGAGTTATTGAGACCGAGGCCGTAGAAAGCGATCTGTGGGGCGTCAGTCTCGGAGGTGGACCAAGGGGAGGGGAGAGAGGACGGACATCAAGAGCGAACCACGAATAAGCAGTGCCGATGATGACTTTGAGGTTTCGCCAATGGGAGAAGTAAGCACGGAAGTCGGGCCAAGTAGCTCTGGGAGCCTTGACGCGTTGAATGGGAGCGTCCTCGTCGACGACGTATGTTCCGGTTGTGATAACGTTCTCGATGTCCTTGGAAGCCTGTATGACATTGCGCTCGATATCCATGGTGAAACGGGGTGTTTCGGGGATGGTAAGACGGAAATAGAGAGCAACGAGACCAGGAACGCAACCGAGACCGATAAGAATACGCCAACAGTAGTCGACTGGCTTGGCGGCGGGGTAGGCTGACTCGAGGATTTCGCTTTTGTAGGCTGAGACGACGACGAGACCGACGATAGCAGATGCTAGCGGAACGTATGAGCTTGGAGCTAAGAGAGGCATGAACGAGCACGTACCGAGTTGGCCCCAGCCTTGGAAGGCGAAGACGGCGGTCATAAGACGACCACGACTGTGAATGGCGGCAAACTCGGAAGAGATGATGGCACTGAGTGGGTAGTCACCACCAATACCGACACCCATCTAGGAAAGTGTTTCAGTAGCGACGAGGGGACGAGGACGGGTTACGCGTACGATGAACCGCCATACGATGAGGGCACCAATGATGCCTACAGCTGGGGCTTGACCCGAGAGAGCCTGACCAAAGGTCGCGATGATCATAATCATGAGCTCGACACCATCTGCAAGAAAGCGTGGGCCTCCAGGGAGGTGCAGAAAGACAAATGAAGCTGAACGTACACATGCGCTTACGACCGAGGCGATCTGCAAGCCAACCGAACACGACCTGACCGACGAGGTTTCCTACGGGAGTTGCAGCCTTGACACCGGTACTTTGCCATGTAGACAAGGCCCCTACGGGGGTGTGAGTGTAAGAGGGTGAGTGAAAATAGGGGAGTACGAACCGTTTTTGCCATAGACATAACCGAGCATTGTTGCAGCGATGTTAATAGCGAAGATATCATATCTGCGCCCGAGATAATTAAGCGAGGTCACAAACTGATATGTGAAGAGAACGCACGCATCCGTAAAAAAGCCGACGCCGGCCACGAGGCATACTTTGATGTGGAACCACCTGGCGAATGAGATTAGGTGTTGCCAGCACACTGATTAGATACCAAGAATATAATACTCGCGAGAAGGGGGCATTATCGATCTCGGCGAGGGCCGCGCGACGACGCTCGTCAAGGACGGCGGCATTCGACTGGGACTTCTCCTGGTATGCCGACCCGTGCTCTGAGGCGATTTTGTCGACGGAGGCCATCGCGACGCGTGTTGTGGATGAGGAGGCCCTCATAGTCTGAGTGGTTTATAAGGACTCCTTCAGGCTAGCACGTTTGATGGTGTCGTCCAATCAGAATCGCTGTCTCTGTTGAGGCACACCGCCCTGTCATCGTGGGAACATAGCCCGATCCATAATAGGAAGTCCGCATCTCCAGATCTGCTCAACCTTAAACCACTCTCGGCCGATTACGGAACTAAACTAATACATAGTGCCATTGCTATTGTCGCCGCTACTTCCACTTGGGTACATCCGTCTCAGATGTCTGTACTTGCGCAGCGAATACAGCGCCAGCGTTTCTGCACCTCACGCTCAGCCAAGCCCACATGTGGCAGGCACGCGAACAGCTCACCGTTCTTGATATACTCCCCAAACTGGATAGCCTTTTCTATCTCACCCTCGTCTGTCAGATGTCGATTCTCTGTCACGCCATCATATCATGGACCATGGTTACACCGGCAACAAAAAGGCTCAGCCAATTCTCCGCGTGGGACGGCCCGAAGAACATCGCTCACTTTCGTAAAGTCGCCTCAACTTGCCATGGAAATCGTATCTGTTCCCACGCATCATCCAACGATCCCATGACCGCACCGTACAAGGTCACTCACGATGGCTCGAATTCTCGTCCAAGGCGATGGAGTTCTTTGTACAATGCAAGCGCGCGCAGTCGCTGCGAGGATGCCATGGACTGTGCTGCCAGCCAATCCCCGGGCACAAAGAAAACACAATCAGGAAACCTCGTTTGGCGCGACGACTGCTATGTGTCGACTACTCAAGAGGGTGTGAGACCACTGCAGTTGCCCAGACGCCCGTCGGCGATGGCAATGTGAACAGAGGCGGCGTGCGAATTCGCTACTATAAAAGGCGGCGTACTATCACACCCGTGGGGCAGGTAAACTTTCACCGGCTCCAGACGTGCCTTTAGCGAAGTCTACGGCCTTCGCGAGAAGCCGAGGTACGCGTACACGTGTGCATTGTAACTTTGGTGCAATGCCCCAAGATTCGCCACAGGTCGACTTATCGAAAAGCCTCCGGACTCGCTCTTTGAACTGGCACATGACTAGATCCCTGTGGCGTCCGATCACCTTATAATAGGAGGTACATCCGATGTGGGAAAGTTGAAAACATTCACCAGGGGGTTTCCAAGCGCAAACGAACACACGTTCGGTGGGAGAGGTGGCGCTCTTTGCATGACGGGCGAATACTTATTCGTTCGTTATAAGTATATACTGACTGCAGCTGTCAAATACGACAGGACTAGTGACAGAGGCGTAATTGCATAACTGTCGCAAGAACGAACGTGGTGAGTGTTTTGCACAACCCATTATGGCGGTGAAGCCCCGGGCTGCCTTCCGGTTTGCCTTTTCCATGGATAGGAACTCAGGTTGATCATCTCCAGAACAAGTTAGACGGTCAGTCACGGGTGACGGATTAAATTTCTGCCCAGTACTGGTTAGCACGGTGAAAATCATTATCCGGCATTTTCAACACGGGCGTGATTTTGCCTTCTGGTCACGGCTGTTTTTTATATCCCTATAAACAAATGTGATCCGACTTGAAACACCAGATAGATGATGTGTGGTAAGATAAAGAAAGCTGTGATAGAGGATCTGGGCTTTCTACAGTGGGAGGTGACCAACTCGACACCAGTCTGGTCGTGACTTCCGCAAAGTACTGTCGGCTAATGGCAATGACGTAGGCTCATCGGTCCGCCGGTGGCTTTCAATTGGCATCTAGGACGACACAGGATGACACCTGGCGACACCCAGTATTACAAGTTAATATAATACTAATGGTACTTGTATATCGGAAAGCATGAACGTGCGATCGCAGCCTTTGAGGCGTTCGAACGTTCATGAGTGCACGCTTCGATCCCTCAACAACCCCGCCTCCTCCCGTTGATATTGCGATTGCTCACGCGCTAATAGGGTGCAGGGACGTCACGCGATCATGCCAGTGGTTCCGGCTATGACCGTCATATGCCCATGTCTGCAGAAAACACTCTTGGCTGAGCTTCTTCTTGGCAAGTACAAGCTCTCCGACCGTTTTGTCTCCCCGTGAACCCGACCCCGGCGTTACTACATCCAAGTTCCCCTTTTAGGGAAAGCCGGCGCCATGCATTATAATATGTCCCGCATCGGTTTCTTCAAGTCGGAAGCGGGAAGGTCACACGATCGAGTCACATCATGGCATTAATACTGTATGAGTTTATTCACTACGTCAGACTATACCCTTGTAGTACTGGGTCCGGATGTAATAATACTGTACCAAGGCACAGTCATTATGTCATGGAGATGCGACCACAGGGGGTAATCGTACATGCCACTTACTGTTACATGTGGTATTTTCGATACAGGAACGCTACAGGAACCACCCAACAATATTGAATCGATGAGCCGCCGTATCACGTGTGCCCAGCTATGGGGAGTCTTGGGTCTTGTCACTCCTAAGTAAAAACACTCACGTTGGCATCAGCCTGTCAAGCCAATATGCCAATCATCTGTATCCCTAGCTAGTGGCATTCACACACACCCGAATTCCCTGCCAGACAGTTTGATTACATACTGGGATCCCTCGTTGGCATGGTAGCCCAACAGATCTCGTCCTGCCTCGTCCTGCGGATTTAGTACTTGCCAACTTGGGTGCAACATTGATGCCCTTTCGAGGAGAGGCTGCCCAACATGCCAAGGTCCCAAGCAAGGAGAGTGTCAGCTCATAGCCTTGTAATAGGTCACCCCAGATGTCTGCTTTTGGCTCCCTTTCGGTTTCTGCCGTGGTACCTCAGTAACCTTCAAGAACGAGGGCCTCGCGTAAAGGTCACGTTACTTATGTGCGTACCTCGACATTTAAGTTCGGGTTTGATTTCCATGCCGTTTCGGACCGCCGGTGAATGCTCTTCATAGGTGAGTTGCAAGGCCGAGCAATATTGAGGTGTGACCAAGAGACGCGGTATACAAGACCGGGCGCCGCCGGCGGTCGTCATGGACGAGTATCTGGCCTGTGCAGTAATCATTAATATTGGTCAGGGCAGTGCACTCGTAGCTTGCAACCCAGCCGCCGGGGAAACAAGATTTTTTGCGGCACAGGTTATCGGTGTAAGATCAGAAGATGGAAGCATAAGCGCCTTGCGTACTATGCAGTTCAGGGTTCCTACTTACCCTCACAATGAACCATGTTGAATTAGTCTACCCCCAACCTGATTTTCCATGCTCAGATTATTTTTCGCCTCGGGGTCTACTTTAAGCGTGCTTCGAGTTCGCTCAAGATAGGATTAAAGTTGGGTTATTGTGACATGAAGATCCAGAAAGGAGGGCACAACTTAACGGCGTAATGTGGGGTACCTCGAGGAAATGGGAATCAAACGACGAAACAGGTACTAGTAGTTGTGCGGTTTGCCCGGGGCCGAACTGGGATGAGTGAACAGCTGAAGGTGAACGATGAGAATTGAGAGTTTGGACTTCATCGGGGAAGTGGAAAGGCAGAGACCAGCCCTGGATAGGGCTGGTATACTAAAACTAGTGTATGAGTTGAAACTTTCTGTTAAAAAACTAGCTTATGCAGTGAATAACAGTGGAAATCGGTTCGGAATCCGAAGAATACTCAGACATATTACGCGCTCTTTTACGTCGACTTAAATCCTCGTTTCCGCAGTGAGCGTAGGATTTGATTGCTCGAGTACAGTTTCCGTTTAGTTGGCAAGGCTTCCCGGTGACTAATGTCCCATCAGAAATGCCCTTGGCCTGGGGGGATAGCTCTCGCGACCGAGCACCGCCTGGTAATAATCTGCGCGGGCAAGGGAATGAGTATTTTGCCGCGCCTCTTTCGGACTACAAACGTCTTCGGCTTGGTCTCAGGAGTAAGCAACGGCGAGAAGGCGCCGATCAACACGAAGAAGACAAATATTATATTCCCTAACAAGTTCGGGCTGACCGAAACCAAGTGCGGCTAAGCGATGGGGTGTCGGGAAAGCTTCGACAGGGATGATGAACGTGGCCGTGTTGGGGCCATGGTTCTGAAGAAAATTGTAGAAGACAGGGAAGGACGTATCCATGACGACGAAGAGGATGGTGAGGATGATAAAGACCGCCAATTGAATGGGCTTGCGACCTACCGCACGTTTGCGTGGCCGGTGTCGCACTGCCAGTGAGCCAGGCCCCTAACGAAGGCCTAAACGTAAACTTGGACATGAGACCTTTCCGTGCCGGTTAAAGTTTGAGTTTGCACCATCACACGCATAAACTGCCAGACTTGGCCTCAATCGAGACTAACGCACTACCACAAGGCTATCTGTCTGACCCTCTCGCCTCCTCGCAACTCCACACCTTGGCTGACTGGCACTTGCGTTACCGCACCTCTTTGGTTCCCCATCCCTATTCGGAGGTGTTATCACTATCGTTTCCGTGCAGTATTCTCCGCCACGAGTCCCTTTCGCCGTTCTTTATCTCTGTTGCGAGCTCTTCGTCTTCCTGGGCTTTGTTCTTAACTGTACCTCCTACTGTACTCCGACATGCTGGAGCTACCATCGAGGTAGTAATGCTCGGGCTGTTAATTAGCATGGATGGCCAGACATAGTCAAACTCAAATCCGTGTAATGCACCAGAGAAGGGCCAAGCAACATATTGAGGTATGGTGGGCCCAGATATTCTTATACACTGCCGTCGTCATGGTAGTGTCTCCGGCCAAGAAAGCAGTCTTTGGCATATGGTTTCGTCTGGTTGGTATGGTTTCCAAGTAACTGGTGTCCCAAGATCCCGTCCGTGATCAAGCTGCACACTGTGCGGACTGTGGTTTTGTCGCGCGGGGACAGATTTTGCTCGCGCCGCTGGTCTTGAATTGGTACACCTAAGGCACCATGAATATGAACGCCTCAAGCTGCCTCAAGACAGGTACATAACGCAGAGAAGGATATTGATATTTCACCAGCTTTCATTCATCCATTCATGTTATCGTAATCTAATTTTGGCCAACAATTTTTCATAGCAAATGGCCCGCATTTACCGTCCCCAGAATCTGAGGTGGGTCTTTTTTTGTGGTGACGGGGGGGCCTATGAATGCTACGTTGGTAGGCACACTTGACTCTCTCGATATATTACACTGATAGAATGCCTCGTCATTTTTTCGCATCAATCAATATACTATTGACCTGATGGCTTGGTAAGGACCGTCCCTGTGTGGTGGGGGTCATCGCACCGGATGGCTCCTTCAATCAAACAGATCTCCAGTTGGGGACAACGGAGTTTACGGCCAGTAAACGCCTGATGCTTGTGGCGAGGACTGGGTCAGTCCGCGGTCAACAGGCGGGAATATCCCATGATGCGACAGCCAGCTTTATACAGCCAAAGCATGCGACCACACCTGCGTTGAGCTAACGGCGGCAGCGATGCGCCTCTATACCTAACAGGTCTCCCACATCAGCTGTCCGAGCCGTGAGTACTTGCCATTCCATCAAGCATCAACAACAATTCAAGTGTTCATGCTTGAGCCAAACATGCATTTGCCTGTCTTGGAGGTCCGTACCGCAACGACGAAAACTAAAAATCTTCTGTGCATCCTCACAGCTTATCCACACGGGATCAGCAAGGATCGGTGGAGGTGAGGGTCCAACACAAGAGTATTTCTGATCCATCCGCTGAGGGCAGGACCTCAACGGGTGGATCAGAGACTACTCAGGTGTCTGATCAGCGAAGATTACGTCCTCAGGCACTTGAAAAACGCCGAGGATGGATGTGGGGAGATGGCAAAGAGGAGGATGCTGGAGGGCAAGCGGAAGGTGCTCTGTCGATGCCATATCAGAGAGACAATCGAGGTGGGAAGAGGCGTTGACCGCGTACTTGACTTATTATATACCCCCACGGCTTCAACCGAGGCATACGTACGTGTGTAGAAACACACTTACTTTTTCTTGTTAAGCCCCCACGGCTTCAACCGAAACAGTATACGTACGCGTGCAGATACTTTTTCGTTATCATTAGGGTTGCCGCGAGGTGATCCGAATTGAATAGAATGGAAGAACATGCCAAATTGACCCACCTTCGACATCAACAAGGTGTGCAAGGACCACAGCTCCGAAGCCGCCATCGCGCCTCTACTCGAAAAGCTTTCGATCTGTACGACGTGCGTCTCTTCGACCAGATGTCACCAGTTAAGCATAATCTGCTGCTGCTGTAATATAAGCTAGGCTACGTTTGATTAGACCAACACATGTTCCATCCAGTTTGCTGGCCCTCAGGGGTACATATAGTTTCGCGTATGCCAGACTAAGTTTCGCGGGGTCAAATGCCCATGCTGACACATACTTTCCATTTCAAGCAGCAAATTACCTAATGAAACTTTCACCGCTTCGCCTACGCCGCACTGATCAGCCTGTGCCAAGGCTTGTGACTTGTCCTCCACGCCCGGATCCCCAACTCCAAGCTCCTAGAACGGTCTTCGCTCGTTCAGAACTTTTCAAAGTCTTAGGAAAGGAAGGAAAACTTCAATCGTCGTTGATTAGAAATGCCAAAGGTATTCGCGGATCATGTTTCTAGATCATAAGCACTGACTTCGTCGCTCGACTTCCACAGAATAAGGGAAAGGTGTGTCTGTGCAATAATTGGTCTACGTAGCTTGTAAACCCTTGCTTTTTTGATCAGGGTGGCAAAAACCGGAGGCGTGGAAAGAACGAGAACGACGATGACAAGCGCGAACTGATCTTCCGAGAAGATGGGCAAGAGTATGGCCAGGTCACCAAAATGTTGGGAAATGGTCGTTTGGAGGCTCAATGTTTCGACGGTGAAAAGAGATTAGCGCATATTCGGGGCAAGATGCGCAAGAAGGTGATTTCTTCCCAAGTGCGCTTGCTGTGGTTGTTGTTGACCCGTCTATGCTCAGGTTTGGATAAACCAAGGAGATATCGTTCTATTATCGCTCCGCGATTTCCAAGATAACAAAGCAGACGTCATCGTCAAATACACGGCCGACGAGGCTAGGAATTGTGTGTTATATTGCTCACCTGGATGTTTTATCTAAGCTGAATAAATATGTTGCAGTGAAGGCATATGGGGAATTACCTGAAAACGCTAAAATTAATGAGACTGACACCTTCCCCGAAGAGGATGGTGAATGCACATTCGAGTTCGGTGACGAAGGAGACATCGACATCGACGACATTTAGAGCTGTCCATGTATCTTTTATGATCAATTTGTGCCTGCCATAGTACGAATGTTATGATACGGCGTTGCCTATTGGACTTTTCTTTGACATTATGCCCCTTCTGTTACTCTAACATGAGCAGCGTATGGATGTCAGGTATGCACCCTTTTTCCCTGGTAAAATACTCGACGATATCCTGCGCCTTGCACTTCACCGCCGCCCTAACCATCTCAGGAGTAACAGATACCCTGTCTTCTAGCTTTCGCCTCTTGGCCCCAGCGGATCTCCCCTCCGGCCGGGTATTGGTCTTTTCTGACCTCTCCACCAACATTTTCACCATTGGAAGATCCTTGCGATATATGGCAATGAAAATGGCCAGATTGTTCTTCCAATCCGGAGTAGCACCGTGGCTGAGCAAGAACTGTATTAGCGGGACAAATCTGGTCTGGACAGCTTTTGTTAAGGCATATCCTTGGTGTGAATTTACGGCTGGTGGGGGAATATGGGGGCATGTGTACAGATATCGGAGGAATGGCACTGGGTGATCAAGTTCTGTCCACCGTAGGGCCCCGCCTTCGCTACGTCCGCGCCGCGGGGCAACACGAGAAACAGAAGGCGACCGCGAGGACTTTGAATCGGTGGCTAGCGTCCGGAAGAGGCGTCTGGGGAGTTCGGGCACCCACCGCTTCCACGAGTCGGCCTGGGAAGCGGTCATCCGAAAATACGCCTCCAGGACGTCCTCGTTGCAGATGGGGTACCTTAATATTTTGGTGATAATCGCGTCCTCTCGCGGACGTGATTGTTCGAGGCATGTGACAAGGTATTGTGCTCGATATGATGCAGGGGAAGCTTTGAAAATTGCGTTCAAATAACGGCACGTCTGAGGCAGCGTGGGCGAGGCTGCGTAGAGCCCAACCTCGTAAAGTAGCTGGGTGACGGTCAGATTAAGGCCAGAATTAGCTGGTTTCTCCGAACCTCGACAGGCAAGTCAAGCAAGACCATAATTTTTTAGGGCGATGTCAGTCATATGGGCATCGATCAAAGTCACTTGTTAATGAATTAGGCAATTGACATACACAACTTATCATCGAGAGCGTAGTGACGGCAGTCCTCATGACATCTTTCAATGACCTCGAGAGGAACAATGGTAGCACAACAAAATGACTGACGATCTTACATGGATACTAATTCTACCGCGATACCTCTTGAACTATCCAACGAATTCTGTAGCAAGGGACGAGCATCGATGCACCTGATAACGTCAGTACCAGCGTAGACTTGCTTCTCACGCCGTCTCCACAGGAGGGAAATAGAATGGAATGAGTTCCCTGACAACAACGGACTTGTGGATAAATTGCGGCGAAACCCACTACCATGGAAAACTTACTCGTACATGGAGCGGTCCACGTCTCTGAATACCACAAAAACAACACGCTTTATCTACATAACATACGGAAGTCATCCGAATAGTATTGGTGGATGTCGTAGACTAACCTTGTCTTCAACGTCGGAATCCACGAATTGTCGTACTTCATTCAACGCGATGTGCGTAGCGTCACGTAGAGGGTAACCATAGATGCCTGTGGAAATAGACGGAAATGCCTACAACCACACGACCAGGTTCAGGTCATCACAACATCCCAGGATCAGGGGTGCATATGTTAGAACTTACGACCGTCTCGCAGCCATTTTCCTTAGCAAGTCCTAGGCTAGTCGTATAACAGGATCGCAGTTGTTTCGCGCACATCTCCGTGTTGCACGCATCATATACCGGTCCTACAGCATGGATGACATGCTTCCTGTATTGCGCCGGGTAAGATCAGAAAGACACTTACACGAACTTTCGGAACGTGTATGAATAAGCTACTCACGCGGGCAAATCGTACCCTCCAGTGATTTTAGCGTCACCAGTTTTACACCCTCCCAACGTCCAACCTGCATGTGGTGGATTAGAAGAGTAGGTTTCTAGTGAACTCAACTTTCACTAACATTCTGCTAGAAGCTGGGACCCGGCAGCAGCGTGGATAGCGCCGTCCACTGTAATGTACATGTAGATCGTTCAAGCAGGGTGTAGTCGACTAGGATGTGCCTCACCTCCGCCTCCACCTTGTCAGGACAGAGCCGCACCAAGTTTAAATACAGACGGATGTATGGCGAGTCAGTATGACGAACCTAGAAGAGATGGATTGGCAGCGTTGACGATGGCGTCCGTCTGAAGAGTGGTGATATCTCCCTGGCTGTTGTGATGTGGTGCAAGAGGCCCCCCGCCGCGTGTGCTCTGAGTCAAAAAGGATTCGACGGGATGTGTTATCGTACTCACTACAATGACACCTTATTCAAGGCCCCCGCTTGGGATGGGTAGATGGGTTTCTGAACTGCACGCAACGCGCCTCTCCGAAAAAGTTCGTCGATCGTGCGGATATCGTGCAGTGCGACCACCATAGATTAAGACTTGAAGGAACTGGCAGACGATGTACTTGGACAACACAGGCGTCTCACAGAAATGTGACAAATCAGTTCGGGACCTCAGGGCGTTATTCCCTCAAACGTGTTCTATGAATCCTGTGCAATAGGCGCCATAGCGTGTCATCGGGTCCACGAGATTTTAGAATACATGCTGCAGCTACAAAAACGACGGTGCGTAATAATTGGTTTGTCATGTTGACGCCCAGACAACAAAATAGAAGGTATGCCAAAAGAACGAAGAGTATGCGTGTCCTGTGAAGAACCAAGCATGCAAGAGATACACATTAGGACGTTGCTAGATATTCATCAAGTCAGAAGGAGTGCCACAGACTACTCTGGCTACTTACTGTGCTATACTTGACATTATGGAAACAAGGTACGTTAAGAGATGCTGGCCAAAGGAAGATGCATAGGTTGGTGCCAGGTTGTGTCAGGCCCCGGCGAGCCAGCAAGGGAGCGCTCGGCCATGGTGGCCGTCGGTTGTAAAGTATGCGTCTGGGATTGAATAACAGACATAGGTTCAGAACCCGAGCTCCGAACGACGGTCGTGATAGGTTGATTGTGTGGATAGTAGGATCTGCGTTGCGAAGACGTAAAATCATACACGGTGAATCTAGATGGTGATAAGAACTCTGGAGTGTTTTCAGGCCGAGGAAACTTATTCACTGTTCTTCAAGCTGTCTAAGTTCTGGCTTCAGCTTCTCCAGATCAAGATTTGCCTTGCGTTTCGTGTGAGTAAGAGGTTTTTCTACCATGAGGAATTCATCGAGTTCGTGTGATACATCAAAGTTAGCCTTCCTCGTCTACAAATTCAGGAATTAGCGACGGCGCTAATTTGGGAAGAGGGGCGACAAACGTCGGGGACAAACGGTGGTTGCAACTGTTTCGAGGTCAACTTGGCCCAATCTATGCTTGACATCCAGGGATGGTTCTTTATGTCCTCGAAAGTATTGCCCCCAGGTTTACAACCAAGGCGTTCGCTCACGGTGCGTTCAAGGAGCTGCACCGATCCTCAGCAAACCAGTCAGTGATTCAGCCGCGCCAAAAGGACTTACACCTTGAACAAATCGAACAGCTGCGCTGCTGCATCTTAGGTTAGGGCCGTCTGGGAATTTGGGTGCATCTTTGAGTATAGAATTTGTCATCCTATCAGTCGTGCGTCCCTCAAAGGGGCGGCGGTTGAACAACAGTTCGTAGGTGGTGACACCTAAGCTCCACCAATCCGCGCACCACGTGTATCCCTTCCTTCCGATTACTTCAGGAGCCATGTATGCCATGCTACCCGCCACGCTGGTATGTAGCCGTCGCTCCGAATAGTGAATCGCAACGTTGAAGTCCGTTATATGAGCGTGACCATCGGAGTCAAGCAGGATGTTATCTGGCTTCAAGTCCCTGTATGTTGTTTAGTGGAGTGCATTTGTAAAACGATGCCTTGACTCACCGATGAACGATTCGACGCTTGTGAAGATACACCAAGGCAGAAGCCAGTTCTGCCACCCAAAAGCGTACGACTTCCTCGGACAAGTGTCCTTTGCGATCTAAGTGGACTATCGCGGAAACTTAGAACGACATAAAAGCGCAAAAAGCAAACTCACATCGAAGGTCACCGCCAAGCATGAGGTCTAGAACAAAAAAACAATTGTCGTCATCTTGGAAGGCATAGCGAAGATTGACGACAAAGGGATGATCGATCTGCATCACAGATGGGTACGTATGTCGGCGCCACGGGTGTGGCGGGACTAACCTCTTCCAGTAGTCGGCGTTCCTGTATGATGTTCGCTACCGCCTTTTGGCGGATACAGCGAGACTTGTCGATGTATTTAAGGGCATAGAGTTTCTTCGTTTTCTTGTGCTCGACAACTCTGACCTACGCGATATGGTCGTCAGAGACGAGTGTGGGATTACCATAAACTCGCTTGGCAGAGTTGATCGCACGCACTTTACCGAATGCACCTTTGCCCACAGCGCGGTGCAGATCAAAATGAAAGAGGTTAACTTCAGAGTTGAAATCAATGGGCTGGGATGAACAGCATCCCATGATTCATGAGAGAGACGAGGAAGAACTTGGGCGGACGGAACACTCGCACGACTTTAAGTCTTCCGAATAAAACAACAACAGATTCCCTTTTTGGCAACTGATCGCTCGGAGCGACACATTGTGCCCCATATGGACATCGGCGTTGATTATATAAGCAACACGCACATGGAACTATATTTGGAGCCGAGTTGGGCTGAACGGCGACCACGATGGACTTCGAGGAGCAGCCTGTGGGAGTAGCTCCTACCCAGGACTTCTTGGCTTCCATTAAGGTGTTTCCATTGATCCCGTATCTGAAGAAGGATGTCATAGTGAGTCGTCCGTTGGGTTTTGTTCCGCTTCAACCCCTGACCCGGGAGACCTGCCCAGAGTTCTATAGGTTTGTGAATTTGTCGTGCGGGTATTTAATTAGCACTGATTACCCATCAATCCAGATACACCTCTTAGTTGGGAGTAGGCTGTTCCCCACAACTCATCTCCTCGGGTTCTAAATATTTCACCCCAGCCAGCTCACAGCATCCGACATCAACTTCGCGGTGGTGCGGCCGCTAGTACTCAAGTATGCGAGGCTGTGCAACATGGCTGTCGTATACGCGTGTATGGTCGTGCGCTCGTACTTCCTCACACAGGCAGTATCGGATCTTGCGCATGCCAGTGTCTCGCATTCCCGTGCAACCCTTTGCGAGATCATGGCCTTGAAGCTCCTGAACCACTTTGCTGCTAGCAAAGTTCAGCTGGTGGCTGTGTTAACCACACCGTGGAACCCTCTCGCCGGAGCTCCCATGGACATTGTCCAAGAAGTGAAAGAAGTCATCGGAGAGGAAGAATGCAGGGGAAATTCTCAAAGCGCTATTGAGGTCGGCACTTTGCTTCCCCCCCTCTTCTTCCTATCACTCGGTATTAAGCTCCCTTCGCAGATGGCGATCGCCACCCAAGCGAAAGCATTTTTGTCCTCTCCTATCGTGCAAACTGTCGTAAATGATGTGTATACTGGACGTGTTATCTTCTCAATTGCGGCCATCAAGTCGGTAGTAGCGGATAATTACAAGCAACGCGCGATAGAAATCTACGATGTTCGCAAAGCGCCATTCCTTGACCATTACAGGCCAGTATGCATTTTCTCCCGTCAGTTGTCAATGCTCATTTCGACACAGGTTGAGAGTTCCTCGATATTCTGCCATACTGCATTTCATGAACATCGCAGTGCTCCTGCTCGTTTTTGTAATATTTCTTCAGTGTGCGCATTCTTCCGTTTGAGTTGGATATTTACTGACATAACAGCGCAGCCGAGGATACTGCATATATCTCCTTGTGGGAAGGGGTTTTTTTAGTATTCGCAGTCGCATTTACCCTGCAGGAATATACTGCCTCGAGAGAATATGGATGGCTCAGTAAGCCCACAATCTGAATCGCTCAGCATATTCTCATATTCACCGTGTCTGCAGTATACATGTCCAATGTAACACCCTTTCCTGGAGATGTGAAGGAAATCTCACTCCCAGTTCCCTATGCAGGTCTGGAATGCTTTTGACACTTCGTTTGTGGTCATCTTTCTTGTCTATCTCGGTTTGCGCATCAAGGGCCTCGTTACCAACGATGGTAAGTATTAGTGTCTATGCTCTACCGTGCTTCACCGACGCCCTTAGCCGATGCCTCCCAGCTTGCATTCGACATCTTAGCTTGCGCTGGCTGCATCCTCGTCCCGCGGTGTGTAATCCTTGGCTTTGTGCTGCCACAAGTTTTAATTATTTGTCCCCCTTCAGTCTCGCGTTCTACGCCATCACTAACAACGTAGTCATCTTGTAAGTCGGATGTTGCATGGCTCCTACACATCTGACCAGAACGTTGCAGAGCCCTGCGGGCAATGATTTCTGAGTTTGTGTTCTTCATCTGCATTGCAGCCACATGTTTCTCCGGCCTCCTATTGACTTTATATACGATCGGTGAGTTCGCCATGCTATGTCGCGAAGTACAGGATCATTGATAACCGATGCAAGCAAATGGGAAATGGACGATGAGCGGGATCGCGTGGCTCATAGTGCAGATTTGGTTTGGGAACACTTCTCTGAGCTTCAACCAAGCCAAGAGCTTCCACTCGGTACTCGGGCCTATATTGATGACTTGCTTTGCGGCCTTATCGAACACCCTCCTTTTGACGAGTGAGTAAAATATAATCTACCTGGAAGCATATGTTGATCCTCGTAGTTCTCATATCAATTCTTTCGAACACGGCTGCTCGAATTGACGCAGTGAGTGTATCTTTACGTGGTATCTCCCTCACCGAACTTATCCATGATAGAATGCCACCCAAGAGGTAGGAGACACCAAATCATTCTGATATAAGTCTGACAGTTTTAAGTATTTGTTCCAATATACGATCTCCACCATCGAAGGGTAGGCGAAACCGTTTGTTCCACATTTGCATGATTTGAAAATGGGTGTAGAGTAAAATCCGACGCCCTGTTTAGTTACCAGCCCCCTTTCAATCTTCTCGCGCTCTTGATCTTGAAGCCAGCGACCTACTTGCTGTCTCCACGACAACTCCATTCAGCAAATGTTTTTCTCATCAAACTCACCGTGCGTGTTATTGGTGATTTCGTGTCCTTCGCTGATCCGTTCGGCATTAGTCCTTCCCGATCTTGGTGGTCATTGCACTCTATGAGCGGTGGTTAGTTGCTCCGGAAATTGCAAAATATTCTCTCTATCGAGGTCATATCCGAAATATTCCCGTCGTCGACTATCTCTTTGGATCACGAGCTGCGGACCTCTATAGCGTTATTTTCCAGGCGGAGGACTCCCGAGACTTTGGTATCTTTGATGAGGCAGGAAATGAAGAGAGTTTACTTTCTCCGATGGCCCCGTCCACGTCCTGTCAGTTAGGGACATCTGACCACCCTGAAAACACACCTCGCAGACAGAGAGTGGTGAGCACGCTCACTCCACTGGAAGATACTTCGAGCAGTGCGAAGGTTTTATCACTGGACACAACGACACCTCTATCAAAGTTCTTCCGCCGGCTGAAGCCATCCCTCTCTCTTAAAGTCGACAACCTAGACGGGGGGCGTTTCGATAGTGAGAATGGGTTACAACGACTACAATCCTTGCTGGAAGAGTGCCGAGAGCTCCCCGTTACTCAACTTAAAGACGAGATTAGGGACCTACAGGTAAGTTTTTCGTTAGCACATTGATGAGCCCCCCAGGTAAACCCATATTTTTAGGACCGACAGGTGCGCATCGAGGGTCTGTTGTTGTCGTTGACGAGAGGAATCCGGAATGATACCGCCACTACTAGTGCCACGATGTCTTGAACGCGATTTATGATTCGTATGATTCAGTTTTGTGTCGGTTTGTCCTCTTTTACCGTGCCAAATATATGTTCGGAGTTGTTCCCATGTGCATGAATGCCGCCCAACTGTTTATAGGTGCAGTCTGCAGCTTGTTCGCTGGAGTTCGGAGATGTGGTGCTCCCCAACGCCTCACTTCGGTCCCATGCTAACAGGATGCCTATGTTCTCACTTCTTCCAGGTTCGGACAGGCATATGGCATAACATGTACAAGGTATAGCAGTATAGCAATGAACAACAGACCGGACTAATAACAAGGCTGATACCTCGGAATAATGTCCCCATTACCAAGCAGCAACATGATTTCAGCGTGACCGTTGTCGTACCATGAAAGAAGTGTGTGCTCAGTGCACAGAAAAGTTACCGGCCGTGTCCATTACGGTGGGGCCCAAACTGAACTGCCTAACTTACCTAACAATTCAAGGACTCCGTTCGTGTCGGTGTCGTAGACAACAGGGATGATATCGTGACAAGGAATCACGCAGTAAACGAGATGAAATACGACAAATTGAGGAGTTTTGAGGTGGCGAACGAACGGAGAATAGCTAGTGTTGAATCGACATTGCTCTACGGTACAGGCACGAACGGAAGTGACGGTGAAATGTAGAATACATCGATGGGGAAGTATTAGGTCCGCAAAGCGTGATATGCACGTGGATTGATTATAAGGCGTGTGTGTGGTGACGATATTGGTGATTTTGGGCGCTCTAACGAAATGGTGGGAATACGACGATTGACATTGGCAACGATCATTGGAAGGGGGGTAAAGGTGGGCACCAGGCCTGGAGGGGCATCATGACATCAAGTGCCTGAGTTCCGCAACATGGGTGTCCCGGCGCTTTACCAGGTCAGCATGCACTATGGACGACCGCAGTTCAAACTCGAGCTATCCGGTGATGGGGTTCAGTATGACGACACAATGGCACACACGAACAGGGGAGTTTACCTGAAGTAACTTGTCTGGCAACCACATTCGCATAGGTAAATTCTCCAGTGCAACGTATACAGCGGAGTTAGAATCGCACTGTAGCAGCTCTAGTTCGTTGCTTCGGAGTATGGCAAGTGCGATGCGAAATAGTACATCCAATCCGTCAACTAGAAAGACGTCCCATACTCTAAAGAGGGTCTACGCGATATTGAGCATGCATGCCACATGATACAAACGAAATCCTACCTCTATTGGGAGGCAATCCGTGAAGAGCGAAAGGAACCAAGAAAAGCAAATAGCAGGAAGGTCGACCCCAAGCGCTGATAGATGCGCAGACAACCTTGGAAGGAACTCCTGCACATAGTCCAAAAGGACTAGAGGGCATGCACGAGATGGTAAGAGCGACGGGGAGAAGAACTCTTCCGGGAGAATATGTTCTACGATCGCACAGAGAACCCAGAATGCTTCTTCCTCGTCAGCATGTACTAGTAATAGAGTGGATGCGACCAAATTCATGCCCTGGCAATAACCAACGAGAGGATTACGCCTATGAGGCACACAGATCAGTAGATGCGCAAGCTCGACCTTGCCGCGGAATTCACCTGCTGTATGCAGTCAAGACTCTGCGCAGTTTGTCGATACCAGCCCCGTCGCCTCCAAAGAATACATTCAGAGGCATGGTCCTTCCAATATCTTTCTCGATTTCCGTAACAGCAGGTTCGTAACCATCAGCCCGCGCTAGCAGGTCAGCAAACAAACCAGGCTCGCGCATCTCCAGACCTCCGCTGCACTCCAACCACAGCTTGGACCGATACGCAAGGGGTATACCACCTCGAACCAATCTATCAAATTCTTTCTTCTCATCTCTACTCGAAGAGAGACCAAGCTGGGCAAAGCCAATCAGACCCTCTGTATGCAACAATTCCTCTGCTTCATCCCGGGTACCAAGCCCTAACAAGGCAGCTGCGCCCCCAGTAGATGGTATAACGGCAGCCGAAGATTTCCCAACCAATACTCTTCTGCGGTGCTTCACGAAGGTATCCCATTCCTTCCTTTTAGTGTCTTGTCGTTGGTCATGAATCTTCGTCAACTCTTTCAGAAGGTAACGGATGGTCTTTGCGCAGGCATGGGGAGGGGTGTTAGAGGTAACCGAAAGTACAGACGCCCAAGAGTGCGTGGGCACCGACACGGGGGCTGGAGTCGTATGGCCCGAGGACACTGTACTCGAGCGCAGGCGGCTGCTAGGAGAAACAACGGATGGCTCCGTGGTTTCTCCAGTGGTCTGCACAAGACCCCCCGCTGGAAGGGAACGGGGAGTGGAATCGGCATTTCCGCCTTCCACTGCCTTGACGAATGGGGGCGAACCGGAACCGTCGCATTCACAATCCCCCTTGACAATATCGACCTGATTTCCGAGTGTCTCTTCTTCCTCATCAGGCCAAGAGCTGCATTCCGTTCGATCAGCAATCTTGACACCAGTCAGACAACCAGGTGCAGTGTTACTGCATTCTTTTGCCCGGATGAGCAAAAGGAGATCATACAGACAGACATCGTATATGAATCCGTAGCGGTCCGTAAGCGGTTGGTTGCTGTCCCTGTCAAGATACACATTGAAACGGGAAGCAGAGTTGGGAAGAGGTGCGGCAAAGTGAAAATCTGGGGTGGCCAGTGGCTTATGCCTTCGCGACAAGTATTGTGTTGGTGGTTTCGCTGTCGCAGGAATAATTGACTCCAGTGGGACCGATCCTGGCTTATTCGTCACAGGCTGCACGGATGCAGGAATTGGCTGTTGACGAGATACTGATGGAGACTGATCATGGATGTTCCTAGTGCTTCCATCTGACTCTGTAATGGCCTTGCGCTGTCCCTGGGATATCAGTGCGCCAAAGAGGGGCGAAGTGAATGAGCTGGTCATAAAGGTTGCTTTCTTAGACTTAGCCTTGCGAACCTCGCCTTGGGTGGCAAGTGCGCGTGTCAGTGATGCGGTGACATCCATACCCTCAACAGGGGCAAGCGTAGCACGTGCGACCACTTGCTGACTAACTTCGGCTCCTTTGCCTTTCCGCTCCCTCCTTTCACGAAATGAGAGACCTTCCTTCCTGGCGTGCTGGACGAGCTCAAATGCAAGCTTACGGATCAGCGGACCTACTTCACGGCCTTGATCAACCAGGATGCTGCCCGGGTCATTGGTCATGACCCGTATAGCGTGGGCAATAGCCTTTAAGGATGACCCCTGATGGAAATACTTCTCGTCCGCCAGAGACTGAGATCGCAAGGTTGATGTTTCAGTCGTGGGTTCGACGGGCTCAGGCGATGTGGCTAGTTGGGGAGCAGCAAGCGACGAGAAAGGCAGGGTAGCACCGATAGGGATTGAATAGGAAGATGGAACCTTGGAAATTCCCTCTGCAATAGGGGGAGAGGAAGAATCGGAGGTCTGCTCCACAACTGTGGACTGCTTGGGAGTAGAGGACGGAAGGGTGGGGTTGCGCACTGAAATTCCAAGTGCCTCAAACACACCTCGACTTGGTTTCCTGCGGGGACGTAGACGTGGGTCGGAAACCGAAGGATTCGTACCCGCTGTGACCGAGCCAGAAACCGCAGGTTCATCCTGCGAGGCATTCACAACCGATCCTTCCGCTCTCTTGACAGAAACGGTAGATACGCTACGCTGAGACTTTGGTCTGTTTCTTTGTAGCCATCCACCAACCCACTCCCCGATCGAGGCTCTCTCATACTTGGGTGGGAGGGCGTGAGTAGAAGTATCGTCCAAAGGAGTCATTAGGGCCGAGGTATTAGGCACAGATATTGGCGTATGTGCCATCAGAACTACACCTTCGCCAGCGCACGAGTTCTGTGACAAGAGTTCGGATGTTAATGGCATGGAAGATGCCACACCGTCGCCAGAGAGGCTCCGAGCCAGCGGAACTTCATCCTCCATTGCTTCTGTCAACGATGTCTTTAAAGACTAATCCAAGAGTGCGTTAAAACTATGTGTAGCACAAGAGGCAAAATACCCATACAGAAAGACTCCGTTGACGTTCCATGTGATGGTCGTGCTCGTAGTCATCCGCAAAGACAGACAGAATGACACGTCCTGCAACATCTCGTTCGGATGGCGGAAGTTCCCCCAGTAATGCTTCAGCGCGCTGCCTGCGGGCGCTTCTTTCCTCCTCCAAAACCCTGCGGCGTTCCTCTAATTCTAAGCAGGTACGAGACATATGGTGAAATGCCGAAGACAGCACACGTAATGCCGCGTGATATGGATGGTCGTCACCGTCAGAAGGTGATTCCATGACACTAAGATGGGAGATAGCGGACTGGATAACCTCGTCGGAATAGTTGTGCCAGGTATTGGAAAGCACCTGTGATGCAAATGACGATGACAACTCTGGTGGTGCTCCTTCAACAAGCAGGGGCTTTCCGCGGAAAGAAACTGGACTCGGGGGAAGGAAGTGGTTGTTGTCGTATGGAGGAGCGACCACAAAACACGGCCCCTTAACAGAACCGGGAGATTTAAATGATGCGACAGATGGACGCCGATGGAGCGCGTCGCGCTCTTCACCTGCTCCGCGTCGCTCTCCCCTTCCATGCCCCCGCACGCTGCCATCCCAATTTGGGCGAGAATAGCTAATGGTAACGACACCGCTGTCGGGTTTAGCATCTGACTCGCCGAGTCTCTCTGATTTTGCTTTCGAACTATGTAAGTTGCTCCGAGGTGTGTGGTTGTCTGTGGATGCATCGGGTGTTCCGCGCGACTTGCGCCCTCGTAGTAGAGTGTTATCTGAAGAGAGTGGGTGTAGATGGACTGGTGTAGATGGTTGCAAAGGTGAGTTCATCGATGGTAGTCTTCTGGCATAACCACCACTATGCAAGGTGCTGGTGAGCCCCCTGCATGAAACCCGAAATCTGGGCCGCCCAGCAGCCTGTGACATCATTGCCTTATTTGGGTATCCAACGCACCACATGCTTCACTTGCATTGATGCATCCATGACATCGTTGGGTTCATGGGCTGGTTCAGTAGTAAACCAGAACAAGCGTCCGCTGCCACCAGGCACGACAGACAGAGATGCTGGGAAAGCAGGGATCTATACTTTGATTGCCTTGACGGCGCCGGTGTTCTGAAAGCGGGCGACGAAGGCGACGTCTGCGCAAAGGAAAAGCGTTCATACGAGGCAAACTGTGCAAAGAGTTGGGTGTGCTCTGCTCCACTCACTTGGCCCGATTTTTCTTCACTAACCCATGCATGGTCGTCAGATCGACTACTTCAACAAACGGCGCATGTTGGCCGTACAGCAGAAAGATATGCTTGCGCAGGCACAGACTCAAGCACGGGGACCCAAGTAGAATTGTTCCCGACCAGTCATTTCGCCGAAACATGCTCCTACTAATTTAAACCTACCCCTCTCATATCGATTTTGCTACGCTACGCTATCTATTATAGGTTTCCGTTTAGCGTTGAAATCAGGTCCAAAACACAGTATCTGTGCATTGTTTTTCGACAGACACTCAGAGGAAGGCAGACTTTTCCGTGTGCCTGTAAACTCAGGGCAGCATATGCGCTGCAACGCGCACATGATGCTCGTTCAATGCTTCCAAATGAGGTGACGAGGCGTTACGCTGGGTGCAAGAATGTTTGTAACTTCATGATGTTATAAGTCCGTGCTGTCCAAAAAATGACAGTACCTACATATTCGTCGTAATGGTGCAAGACTTCACGAAGTTGCTTCCTCGATATTTCTGCGCGGTAAAGTATCTCATCATCTGTACTTTTGCCATCGAAATACTGGTTGATTCTAACAGGGAAGTGACTTAGAGTAGCCGAGATTTTGTTTTACCCAAACACACCTACCGTTCAAACCGTCTGGCAATATGCTCATCTTTACTTTCGGACATTGCAGCGAGCCATCTACGTTCTAAAGGAGATGCTGTTCCCGGATCGCTGATGAGAGACGGCCAGAGCGTGTCTTCTGGTGACCCCCAGGCTATGTTCTCATCGTCAGACTCATCCGTGATAACCTCTTCATCTTCTTCACCGACGTGCCGCAAGGAAGTCTCGCTTACTCTACTCGATTCCGACTCGGCAGATGGCATACGCCTGGAAAAACGATGGGCTCCCCGCGGCGGTAAGGGAAACCACGCGGAGCCTGGCCTTCTAGTGTTAACATCGTAGAAAGTAGGGTCTTGGTCACGAAGACGAAGGCTACTTCCTATCCTATCGTGGTGTCGCTGCCCCCTTGAGCGTTCTAACTTGTATTCGTGAGCTTGACGTACGCGAGCTTTGAGTTCGGTAGTAGCGACGATCCGAATGCGAAGATGAAGTGTGAACAACATGTCGCGCTTAAGCAACCAAATTACAACCTCGTGGTAAAGAGGGATCAGCTCCTTTGAGCGCACCACTACCGCGAAAAAGTGGTTGTCGCTCTGCCTAGAGCTCGCCTCAGAGATACTTGCTAAAAGAGAGGGAAGGGGAGGTATCTCGGGCTGAGGAAAGTCACGTTTGAATTCTGCAGAGAGCGTACATAACCTAACGCCGTGTTAGTTGGTGTTTGTCGGACAAGACCAGACACAAATACATACGGTGCAACAAACTTGGGTGGTATAGTGAATATAGTCTTTAGGTCCGCGTGGATGGTATCAACGACTTTTGCTCGTCGGTGGTGAACAAGCCACCGCACCGTCGGATAGATTTGTGTCTCCAAATTCCATCCCAATAGATCGGCCATATCCGAGAGGCTGGACTTGGCTGAATCATTGGATACTGCAAACAGAAAGGAATATACACACGAGAGTGTAACGGATGCTACTTCCAGAAACTTGACCAATCCTTCTGCATGGTCCCTCTCATCAGGGCTGACGTGTGGACCGCACAGGTTGATGTACGGATCCAGCTCCTGATCTCCCTCCAAAAGAAGTAGACTCTTCCAAGGTGCAAGACTCGGGAGACGCCAACCGAAGCTCAAATCACAACCCCACAGTCGCGCCTCATCTTCGTCTTCTTGTGGATCCACGAAATCAAGTTCGTACTCTTCTTCGCTGTGAAGGAGATGGTCTAAAAAGGGAGGAAGTTGTAGCTCAAGAGGAATATTGTTGAGAGTGATGTATGCCATGGTAGATGATTTGACGGCATCGAAGAGCGCCCTCATAACGGATGCAATGGAGGAGACCTCGAGAGCCTGTGACACGAATGCAGAAAACGGTTCCCCTTTGAAGAATATGTTAGCATCAGGTCCGAATGGTTGTAAAACACTAAACCTTTTGCGATGTACTCTGCTTCCAAAGACCCTAGGACATCACACTCCAGCTCAACGAAATTGGAGAGGACTTGTTCTTGGAACAGCACTGCGGTGATGGTAAACGCAATTTGCTTATACATGGTGTCGAAGTACTTCGACATATTTTCAGAGGCAGACGACGACGGATCAGGTAAGTCCAGAACAAGCACAAAATGAAACATGTGCAGCCACGAACTCTCGTTGTCTCTGGTAGGTGAATATGCACGAGTGGACGCCTCGGACTTGATGTCATCCATCGACTCACGGTTGATAGAGCTTCTTCCCCTGGAACCGGACGAGCTCTTCTCTCGTTTGAACTGCCAGCGACCATCGTCATTGACACAGACTGGGTGGCCTATGAACAGTAGGTCATCAATTACAAGGTCGAACTTCTGATGACAGAGAGAAGTCTTCGGGCACAGCATGCCAGCCAAGAATTGAGTAGAGTAATCAAAAATCCTGTGGTACTTTTCGTCTGTTGGATCTTCTGCGAGTTCGTCATCATCGAAAAGGCGCTCTTCAGATAATGCGTTAACTGCGGAGGTAGGGAGAGATGTGGTGCGGGGGAAAGATCTAGACCTGTCCCGGATGACAGAAGGGGATTTCCACTGATAGTCCTCTGCGGCTGTAGCCACTGCTTCGCCATTGCCTTCGACGGTGTTCGGGGGAGAGTCGTTGTGATTAGCAGCCCTCCATGGATTGTCCAGTTCAAGTCTATCCTCGGATGGGAGTGGACGGGAAAGGCGAGAAGTTGTCTCTGGGTTGGGTGGCCATCTGAAGACGAGATTGGGTCCTTTGGCGGATGAATTGACGAGAAGAAAGGCCAGGAGAGTCTGTGCCATGGAAGAGGAAGGTTGCCTGAGAGTAGTACCGGAGGAGAGCTATTTTCCTTGGCTTCGTCGACCTAAGAGAGGTTATTGTCTCAGATATGTAGCACTAGTATCAGGGATTGAGGTACCGTGATGTCCAGGTGTTAGAATAGGCGGTTCTGTCATGAAAAGACAGTGCGTCAGTGTGTACCCTGCACTGGGTCGATCATCGCCGCAGGGGCCAAGCAGGCGGAGACTACTACATGGTAACTGATGACCACCAAACGAGAACTGCTGCCACTGACTACCGGGGCCACCCTGGAAATCACAGTTGTAAATCCACCACCGGGAAGCCATTCAACCACGGCAGTGTTCTGCCTGCATCCGTGGTCATGGCTGGGTGGTTGCATGGATGATCCGTGAGCGTTCCTGCCTGACACGTCAAGTCACCAGCAACCTCAATTTCTGCAGTGTTATTCAATCTATCGTCAAACTGTTCGCTCGCCATGACTGTTATGTCGTGTATTTTAACTCTCGAGGGGTAGGCAAGTCCTCCGGATACCCTTCGTTCACTGGACGACAGGAGGGTGAAGATCTGCAAGCGCTGGTCCAGCAGTTCTTGCAAAAGGAGCCCCAAATTAACTCGGTCATTATCGTGGTATGTATGCTGCAGTCCTTTCCCCCACCCTTTCACTGTCACCTGGGTTCTTCATACTAGGGGTATTCTCATGGTTCGCTGATAGCAACACTGCATCCTGCACTAGCCTCGGTCAAGATGTCGTACGTCTTGCTCTCGTACCCGCTGAGTCCCAGAGGATTCCTCACTCTTTTCCACTCGAGAGTATACTCGACCGCCTTGGACAACTTACTTGGCCAATCCTGTGCGAACGTTCTCATTATCCACGGAGAACGAGATAACTTTACCAGCCGAAGCAAGTACGATGCGTGGGGAACGTCGCTTCGGAAAAGAAGCGAGGGTAAAGCTAGTAAGCTGGAGGTTGTGTCCGTGGCAGAAGCAGATCATTTCTGGCGGAGTAGTTCCGCTCGGACGACGTTGAAGCAGACGTTAGAGAACTGGCTCAGCACGGCGTAAATAATCCGCTTAGATTGTGGTCTCCTGGAGACAGAGTTGAGTCGGGTAATATTATAAGACATCAACGTGTTTTCAATTCTTACTTACATACTTTCATATTGTCCGCGCGGCGAACTGCCCTGCAATTGCACCATTTTCCCTCAGACTACGTATCTTACAAGGTTTTCAAAAGTTTGTTATCTGTCCGTTTCCTATTTCTCTAGCTTCCAGCAGAGAACGACATGTACGTTGGTCGTGAGCGTTGCAGCACCCAAGTACTTACCCTCGTTGCCTCTCTGCAGGCCTCTGCCAGACGAGAGGCCCCGTCAGAGCGTCGCCAACCTCATCGGTCGCTTTGAGCAGCAGAACAAACGGCAGTCGTTCCCATCGTCACTCAATCCCACTCCCCACCGCCGTCTACCCAGCGATTCCGTCAAGGAGGCCAAGGACAAGAAGGAAGTGTCACCCAGGCCCGTGATGGCCGCTGATGCCCAACCAGTGTTCTCTTCCGCTTCGCCATCGGCAGGCGAGGTCAAGTTGCCCCCTTCTAGTCCGCAGACCAGCCAAGTTGCCCCAGATGATGTAGCTTCCGGCTCTTCTGAGCCACCTAAATCACCGCCACCCAAGGACAAGTTGACCGCAGCTAGAAAGTCTACCCCGACGTCTGTTGGGACACGGGTAGCTTCGTCCCCTAGGAAGAGTCGACCTTCTACTGCGTCACATTCATCCGTCAAATCGTCTGTCAAACCGGCTCCTTCAAAGTCGTCGCTTCCGTCCACGTCCCAACCCCTCAAACCACAGCATACCGGCCAGTCAGTTGCATCGAACGCGTCTCTGTCTCGCACCCCGCGCCCTGCTTCCAAGTCTGTACCACTCACTCCCTCTCGTCCAAAGACCCCTGCTACGCAGCCTCGTGCCAGCACCACTCGGCCTAAGACTCCGGCAGGTGGCCTCTTTGCTCCCACTGCTGCTTCCCTGGCTCGTTCTCGGAACACGCAAATCCCTGTGCCTCTTCCTGTTAAACAGGTGACTTCGGGTGGCAATGCTTCAGAGAGGTTTACCAAGCCAACTGCTGCGTCGTTGTCCAAGGCGCGCACTCCTGTTTCGGTTGCTTCGACCCCCACACGCGTTACGAAGTCGACTTCGACCGGGGCTGTTCCACGATCCCTGATACCCAAGGCTGTACTGTCACCCGCTGGGGCAAAAGATGCTAAAGCTCAAGGAGCGGCGAAAGATAAGATCCTTCCGTCCTCCGAACCTCCCGCAAGTGAACCTACCCAGGGTGGGCGTGCTGGTGAAGACACTGTCCTGTCTAATGCACATGGTTCTGTCGATATCTCACAAGAAGGCGCTCATAACGACCAGGTTACTGAAGGATCTCAGGAGGACCCACCTGCCGCCTCCAAACTTCCGTACCCGCTGTCAGACGATAGTTCACTTCAAAATCCAGACCCTGAGCAGCTTCAACCCGTGGAGGACGAGGGGCGAGATGTGCAGGAAGAGGTGTGCGAAAAGCAATGGGTGGCGATTGTAACTGCCGAGCCACATGAAGATGACCTGCCCGCCGATCCCAACGGTCAACACACAGATATACCCTCTGCACCCTTCATTGGATACGAAATAGAGGATACGATGAACCCTCTGGAGGATTTATCAATTTCCAAGCCACGTCCCCAAAGCATGATCTCTATTCCAGACGAACATCTGGATACCTCAGATGAGTGCTAAGGGTTTCTCGGATTTTGTAGGTAATTTCGGGTTTCGTATATATCCATGTCCTTGGTTGGATGGTTCGTTGATATGCGCCTTGCATATTTGCTTTACTGAAGACCTGTTGCAGGATTGCTGGTGCAATTCCCTATTCCTCATTGCTACGTTCGTTTAGTTGCAAAACAGTTTCTGCCCTCTTTTCGTCTACGTCGTTATCTCTGATGCTATAACTACAACTCTCCTTCACGTGTTCGTCAAATCTCCACATTCCTACATTTTAACTTGGCTACTAAGCTTTACAAGGCAGCTCCGTTTGCCTTGTCCTAAGTGGGCCCAAAGTTGTACCTACGATAGTTTGCATCACAATTCTAGGCATTTTATACCTGACTCTCGCGCGTGAAATTCAGAGTACATACATACAGATTACAAACACATGTGTATTGCGAGAGCGAAACAACGAGAAAGCATATGACAGCAGAATAATTACTTCCTCTTTGCGATTTTCTGGAGCTTCTTGCTTGTGAGTAAGCGTCTAGTCGGTATAGATCCTACTCCCTCTTCATGGATGCGCTGTAGTTTGGTCAGGCGCCGTGCTGCCAAGGAAGGGCGGATAGACTCCTACCCGTAACTTGAAAGTACACATTTGATAACCCTTCTTGCCTCGGTTCATGTAAGCCTGGAAGATGACCATTACCAAACGAATGTATGCACGCGAGACTAATTCACACACACCTCATCCACTACGTAGAGTCCATCGTACCGGTACCTGTTCACACACACACAGAGAGAGAGTTAAGGAAGGAATGTGGAAGGAAAGCGAAGCTTCTATGTACCCTTCGGGAGGAGAGTAAAAGCTAGTCTCATTCTTCCCCCGAACGACTCTCACTGGACGTTTCGTCTCGTAAGAAAGCTGGGAGAAAACCATGAATGTGTCTTCACGAGTCCATAACGAACCTACCTGCAAGGCCCGGTTTGGAAGATGGTCGAAAGACTGGTCTGCAACTTGGATCTAACAGGACTAGCGTTAACCACGTAAGACAAAGCAACAAACCTCCTCACTCCGTCACGGTCTTGTCCACCTTAGTGTCCTGTGTTGGTCGTTGTTCGTCACCAAGAACGAGGGCAGGAACCCACCTGAACCGACATAAATGCTTTATGAAGTAGAAAGTATCAGACAGATGAATGACCAAGACGCGCACGGATCGTACATTGTGTCACCGTTATCTTTATTGTCTTCGTATCCCTCAGAGAGACAGATAGAAAACGCGCCGCCATTCTCGGATGTGTCCCCGTGAATACCAGCTTGCCTTTGGACGTGGACGCCAGCTCGCCATAGCTCTTCCCTGTTGAAATGGGGGGGTACAGAGTTAAAAGGGGGTCTTCGTTTATACTGCAACTCACTTCGTCTTGAAAGTGGAATATACTGGATAGCCGGGTATATGGCCATATACGCGTCCCCTGAGAACAGCTGTGGATTAGCTACGGTTGTTGCAATCGCAGACGACATACGTCGCGGCCTGAGCAGATGACATGTGTAATCCAAAGGATGAATAACGTGCGTGTGAAGGGAGACAATCAACGCCGGTCCATTTATGTACCTCGAGATCACCGAGTCACGGAGCGTACGACTATTACTATGTATTACTTGTCGTATATAGGTACCCCACCGCCACCGAACCGCATTTCTACCTCGCCGAAAACGTGCACAACCCGGACTGCCGAGAATTGAAGCTTCTCGAACAAAGAGATGCTTGGTCGATTATCCTGGGCGACTCTTGCGACCAGACTTTGTGGTGGTATGGGAAGCGGTTTTGGTGGCGGAGGAACTGACCGTGACAGTGGCGGACACATGAAGGCGCTGGGCAATCCGGTCGCATAGGTCAACATGAGTCGTAAAGCCTCAACTGCAAGCCCCTGCCTGCGGTAATCGCTTTCTATAGAGATGGGTCCATGAGCGGTTCTGACGCTAAGCAGCGTTTGAATGATGAGGACGTGCCTGCAATCATTATCTCGACTTCGGCTTCGAAGTCCTCGTCGCTTGGATGACCTTTTAAGAACAAATTCACGTCGCCAACCATTGGGTAATCCGATGGATCTCCTTTCCTTTCCACAGCCAGTATGATGAAAGTCAATTCTAGTGCCAGGGTAAGCCTGAATTGTAGGATGGTTGGAGGGAATACCAACTGTCAGGATCTTCTCTCCATTTCTCTGAAAGTCTATGTGGCCATGGGAGGCGATTGGAGCATGGCTGACTTACTCTGCATCTCGTACTCTTCCCCGAGTGTGAGAGGCTCGCTCGCGGTCAGCTTTAGTAACCTTGGATCAGACATCCATTGGTGGTATTTCTAGTCCGGGTTCGCGCTTCAGCGGTAGTTTCTGGGAAAGGAGAGCGAACCTCGACATGTTCATTTCTGTATGGTACCAGAACGACCTTGTCCCCTTCAATCACAGCGTCTGTGATCATGTTTGAGAGTCGCTTCTTCTGATCAGATCTCCCACGTGGCAACTTAGACTCCGGCACTGGACAAAGTTGCACCCGCCTCTCACCAGACCTGTTGCTGCAGCTATTAGTACTCCCCTTCATCATGGCACTGGGGAGATTGGTCCACTACGCTATAGATGCCGTCCTGGTGTCCACCGTACTTGCCGGCATACGACAGTCGAGCGGATTTGCGTAAGTCATTGACTAGTCGTGCACCATTGGTCACATTCACAATAGAGCCTTCGTGCACTGCTTCAGAGTCCACACGAGCACAATATCAGACCCAACCCTGCGTTCCCTCGCCGAACGCTACCTCGGTGTCGGCGAGACGATTTTCAGCATGACCCAGGCTTCTGCGATTAACAGCGAGTACTTCAGACAGGAGTCAAGAAGATGATGATTCGTGGGTGGGACATGATGTTTGGGTTGCTATCCCCTGTATAATTCATCCACCCAAGTCGCCTTGCTATGGATAGAATCGACGGCCGAGTACCCCGCAGGTCCTCGGTCACTTCTTTCTACATGACCCTATTATGTATGACAACTTCCGAATACTCCGAAGCAGGAACTCTGTATCGAACACCAGTCGTGGCTGTTGCAATTGTCAGCGTGTTCATTTGGCCCAGACATTCTGGCATTTCCCCCACACAATGACAAGTGGCAACCAAGCAGCATAGCTTCCAGTCGATGTCTTTTTGTGTGTCACCCACCAGATCTGCCTACGGAATGAGTCCTCCATTCTCCGCAGGGCCGTGAGCCTGGCATGTATTCCTCGCCAATCAGTGCCATGCCGCATCGTATTCAATTCCTCACGGAATTGATTGCACAGGCTCCAAGAGTAGTGGTCAGCTGCACATATTGAGAACGCCGAGGCCCTATATTTCCTACTGCACACGATCACGCCGCTGCCTGCGATTTCGACCTCGTTAGCATATGCGAATTACAATTTGAACCAAGGTACAGCCTGCAGCATCGCCCTGCGATATCTTCGGTGAAGAATTGTGACTGGTAGAGCTCAGGCTATGGGTGTGGGTGTGGGTGTGGATGCCTGCTGCCCCGGAACAGCTTTAATTTTAGAGTCGACGTCTCGTTACGTAAGCAACAATACAGTATCATGTAGTTGCTCCAACCAAGCTGATTGCAACAAGGCTCACCGCCTCGGGCACGGCCCAGTATTTCAAGAACGGGCAGAGGACCATACTCTGGTCCATAGAGGATGTCAGAACCACATCCGTCGTTACCTCCAACATCTGCAGCCTCTGCACGGTCAGTGCGTCAGGGTAGGAGCTCCCACTCACATACCACAATGAACAACCTCCTGACAGCCTCACTTAGGCCAAATACTATCTCGTCTTCAAGCGTTGTTTCCTGCATCACAGAATACAGCTACCACTGCTAACATTTCCCAGAACCAAGTCTCATTCCCGACCGCACGTCTCCCCTTGCCGAGAAAGCCCTCCAAGTTCATAAAAGTCAGAATACTGACATGGAACATGCATGACTCTTTACCCAAGGTACGTGTTCATTCGCTCTGCTTGTCGCCATTAATATGTGTCTTAGGGTAACTTGGAAGAGTTGCTGGGCACTGTTGCTTCATACGACGGCTGCAAAGAAGTTTCATTCGGTCCTTCGGCATTTCCCCAATTGAGCGCGGACCCTGGTCATCCCTATCACCTTGTTGTAATGTAAAGCGATATGACCCTTCTTTGGTTAAGATTCTCATCGTTGTCAAGTGCAGGGCAGGAATGTCCGAGCTCCTCTGGTGAATACATACTCATTGCCCGGTTCACTGCTCTAATGGAATCGGTGACCAGGCATTCCAATGGGTCTGGGTGCCGGTATCAAAATAGGCACGGCCGACAAGGATCGCGAGAAGGACAAGGAGAAAGACGACAAGGAACACAGGGACCATCAAGACAGACATCCCCATACCCTGAGTCAGAAACGCAAGGACAAGGAAAAGGACGAGAGTAATCGAAGTTGGAAGAGTTCTGATGACCTCTCAGAGCAAGTAGTCAGTTACAATCAGTCCGGTTGGACATCGATACTGGATCACTGGCTGTGCCATCGAACGCAAGCCAATCCCCAATTTAACGGTGACCCAGCATTGAAAGATATTGCTTCTTCGCCAAAGAGGCAGTCTTTACATCGCCGCGTGACTGTAAAGGAATCCGACAAGGGACCATACGTGCACTTGATCAAGGAGAGGATGATGGGTGTGTATCTATCGGTGTACATACATCGCGATTTGCGGCACCTGGTACAAGGTAAGTTTTCTGTTCATTCGATAGCTTCCTTTTTAACGTAGATCATAGGAACCTCAAAGTCTGCTGTAACCGCCGGTTTGATCGGTGGGCGAGTCGGAAACAAGGGCGGAGTTGGCATCAGTCTGAAGATCGATGGGTCCACATTTCTGTTCTTAAATGCCCATCTTGCCGGTATCGTATACAATATTACTTTTGGTAACTGAAAACCGATCAATTTAACAGCTCACGAAGGCAAAGTTCAACATCGCCTAGCAAATTTATCAAAGATCAAGGTTTGTTAACACAGGCAGCTATAACTGTTGCTGATGCGAACGACAGTCCGAGATTGCTGTGGATGACTTCTTGCCATCGGGTGACCCAAGAGCTATGGCGGAGGGTAAGTTGTCCCTCTTGCAACCATTCTCTGTGAAGTGAAATCATTTCGCTGGTAGATGTCACCGACAAATTTGACTTTACCTTTCTGTTCGGAGACCTCAATTTCCGCCTCGACATCACCAGGCTCCATGCAGATTGGCTGATATCGCGCCATGGTGAGTCCAAGTTGTGTGATCATTCAATTTGTCTGGACATGTTGCTTGCAGAGTACACCCAAGCTCTGGCCTTCGATCAGCTCAAGCAGCAGATGAATAGCCCAGCCTTTCGGGGGTTCCATGAGGCGTCAATCAACTTCCCGCCAACTTTCAAGTACGATGTTGTAAACAGATCAAAGACGAAGCGACTGCGCAGTAAGCGAACATTAGCGGATAGGGAGGCCGATAGCCACGAGACTGAAAAGGAGAATATGGATGAAGAAGAGAATATTGAGGATGGAGACTGCGAAGAAGCCCGCTCTCTTGCCTCGTCTGCTTGGACATCTCGCTCAAAAGGTGTTACTTCAACCTCCGATCCGGACGACGAAGACTATGCGGCAGCATTTACATCGGGGCCCACGGTGAATGACAGCAGCCGAACACCTTTCGTTGTGACGGCTGCACATAAAGCAAAGGCGAAGTGGAAAACCTTGCTCTCGCCATCTATCATAACTTCTCCAGTGACGTCTCCAGTGGCACGGTGGTTGCGCACCAAGAACGGTTTGCCTGAGTCGGGACCACCTCCGTCGCCTGTTATTTGCAAGCAACCACCGTCTTTGGATCCTTCGCTGGAAGACGTTCCTATTGGAGGAAGTGATCCGGTCCCGCGGCGGAATGGATTACTTCAGCTACCTCAGAAAGAGCACAGCAGCCGGCTGATATCACGAGGCATATCTGTGAAATCGCTCCCAGACCAACCGGACGAAGGGGACGACAGGGCAGTTTACGATTCTTCCCATAAGCAACGAGTCCCCAGCTGGTCAGTTTTGATTTATGCATACGTTTGGCTGCTCAAGAGTATACAGGTGTGATCGTATTCTGTGGAAGTCCACCGTTAAACCAGACGTTGGGGAAGCAGATGCAGACATGCACGAGGCAACGAAGGGCAGAAATCGTGTTGCTACCTTGATTCAGGCACTGCGCCCCAAAGTTCGGTTTGACTCTGTTGACTCGTCCAATTATGAAGACTCGTATCAAATACACGATCTTCCCACTCGGCCATCTGCCCCGGTGGCGAGGGCACAGGGAGAACATCCTCAGCCACGTCCCTTCAGCCTCAACCTCCCCAAATCCCCTCGCTCAATGCGACATTCCAGATCAGTCGAGGCTATTGACCGCGTGGATCAAGGTCTAAGCCTACCTGCTACGCAAGCCCAGGAGAGTCCGATTCGGCACTCTGTACCGAATGGGGTATTGACTGCCAACTACATGGATTCACCGAATCTCAACGCAGGTTTTCCGCCTGCTCACACTGCTGACGAACACACTGAGCCGTATCTTTACAAGGACCCTACGCCAACACCGCCTGCTTCCACTCGATGGCGATTCTTCCCATTCAGAAGAGACACCTCCCAGACTGTAGCTACACAAGCCACACAGGACAATTGGACTCCTCAGTTTGCTAGAGGGGAAGTTGTCTGCCTTAGTTACGATAGCCTCGATGACAGGGGCATGCGTCGTTTAGAAGCGCGCAGCGACCACCGACCGGTCATTGGATCTTATGCTGTCTACATGTAGCTGCTTTGTTTTCTTTACTGCCTTTCATTAGCTTTCATGTTCGCTGCTAATCTAATTCAGACTTAATATTTAGATGAGCGGCAGGACGGCTGGTTCTGAATATAACAACGAGTATGATCGTATGACTACATCGAAGCATTACCCAGATATCGTAACTTCAACTTCGACACCAGGTTCCAAGCTGATGGAGGTCTGTAAAGACAGTAAGCCATGTCGCAGTGGAGGTAACAAATTATTTTCAACATACGATCTGCTTGACAATTTCGCTGGAAGAGTGCAAATCGATCAGACGTTTGTGGACTTTGAGTTCGTAGCGGTCCCATGTCTTTGAACCTTCACCACAGGGCTGAGGACACGTCTATATGAGCGTCCAGGAGTGTAAACTGTACGAGGCACGCACGGATTTACGGGTCGTGATCTTCAATACTTTAGTAGGAAGGCGAACGGGACCTTTGACACGTAGATTCTTGTCCTTTGCCCGATTGATGAGTTCAGCTGAAACTGTGTCGGAGGGATGAATACCAGGTAACATAAACGTTTGAATAGGGAGGGACGTTTTTGTAAACTCACACTTCTCCAGGTTCTTGACATTGCTACTGGTCAAGGTGATACGGATTTTGTGGATTTTTGGAGCGGGCTCAGCTCCCGCGGCGTCGTATTCCTTCTCGCCCTTAGCGACGTAACTCATTCTGCCGTTGAGTGGAGAGAGGTTCGGGAGGGGAATGAGTCAGCGGTGACCTTCGTGCGTTGAAGAAACCTTTCCTCCTGTGTGGATGATGATGATGTCCGGGAAAATTAAGGTTCAGCTATTGCTCGGCTCTTCCCGCAGAGATTCATCACGTGATCTGACACACAGAGCAGACTACCAAACATACGCACACACACCCCACACTCACCGCTGTCAGCCTCTGTCTCGTCACAATGCAAGGCGAGTCCCGCCAAAGAAATGGACATCAGGAGCTCACGATGATTAGGATTCAATAAGTATTATCCTCCGGACTATGACGGTGAAAAACACAAGTCCTTGAATGCCTACAGGGGTAAAGTCTGGCGTTACCCCCTTGTCCGTTCGTTGTTCACGCACTTGCAGGCAAACACGCGTTGGGGGATAGGGCGCGGAAACTGGACAAAGGGATCTTGATAACGCGCTTCGAACTACCGTTCAACATTTGGTGGTAAGTTTATTACTAGGGCCTACACTATTTGAGACTCATTCCGTTTTGACACCAGCGGAACATGCAACAACCACATTGGTATGGGCGTTCGTTACAACGCTGAGAAGAAGAAAGTGGGAATGTACTATTCCACCCCTATCTACTCTTTCCGTTGCAAATGTCATCTATGCGATGGATGGTTTGAGATACAGACAGACCCAAAGGTAATGCATAAGCCAAGTGAACACAGCGTTCTTTTCCTAATCCTTCCTGAAAGAACACTCGTTACGTTGTGATTTCCGGTGCCAGACAGAAAGACGAGGAATGGAACCCGGAAGAGAACGGCGGATTCGCTATACACGGTATGGCATCTTCCGTGTGGCACACTGAATTGGTCTAAATGCAATATCTTTTGAGACACTGAGAATAACTCTGCAACGACGGACCCGCTCACTGCACTCGAAAAGTCAACTGATGCACAAAAGCACCTTACAAACGTACAGATACCCAGACTGGAGTCGCTTCAGAATTTGTCGGATCACTATAACGACGATCCCTATACACGTTCGGCCGCCGTGCGTAAACGCTTTCGTGCGGAGAAGAAGGTGGAAGCTGCGAAACGCGCAGACGACGACCGAATTAAGGGCCGTTATGGTTTACCTGAAACCCTAAAACTTCTGGAAGATAGCGATGAAGCAAGAAACGAAGCACGAGAAGAATGGGAGAGGGGTAGAAGGCAGCTGGAAGCGCAATCCAATATCAGAAAGGCTAGGTTGTCCAGTTCTGCAGGTCCTAATCCCGGCGCATCGTTACGGGAAAGGGTACTAGGGAGTATGTACAGTTCCAAGTCAGTCGAGAAGAGGGCGCGCAAACTAGGATTGAGGTAGCCACATTTGTAGCATGTTTTACCGTTCCATCAGTCATCGACCATCGACCACCTTCGATTAGATTTAATGCTTATCCATTAGTCTGGAGTGAGATATGCAGTAGCCAACAACACAAGATAGAAATACAGACGGGACAAATCAAGAAGCGGTACTCGTACTGATAACAGGGGGGGTCTGGATGGGGTGAGGATGCATATCTCCAGCATAAAAACCGAACTAGATAATAAATAACCGGAAGGTGTAGTCAGAGCGATCCTATGAAGTGAGCATTGCCCAAGGCTGTTCCGACGTCGGCATTGTGCCTTCCCATTTCCAATGATCGGACTGATAATGAGCTGCCTCTCCTCCGTCAATCTCCCTGAGGACTCCTAGCCGCAACAGGTCTATGTGATCTGACGAATCCTCGATTTTGGTTTTACCTGGCGACCCGGCCGACGCGTCAGCATCCGAACCTGACTCTGGGCTAGGGTTGGTTTCAGATGAAGGTACAAGCTCGGGAGTGGGAGCCTTAGAATCGCTCTCCTCGTCTTCCAGAGTATTGTAAGAGGAGAAGTCGAAGAACTCTCCAAACGCGTCAATGACAGGTCCCTGATGTGGAGAAAGAGCAGTCGGTGGCTGACCGAATTCCCTAGCAGTAGATAAGGCGGCAGCCGTGGCAGCGGCATCTTCAGGCTCCTGGGAAACACCTGCCAGAATCTCACTCAACGAGGCAGCAATATCGTTGTGAACCGAGCTATCGGCCCTCGCCGATATGGCCAGGAGCTCCCTCATTTGGTCGAAGAAGGCGATAGTATCCTCCTCCGTCTTGACATTCTTGATCTGCTGTTGTCTCTTCAGGAGCGCTTCACTTGGTTCACCTTCCCACTCCGTCCTGATTTTCTTCGGCGAGGGCGCCTGGCTGGGTCCAGGTTCAGATGGAGCCGGGTTCAGGATGGCGGCTGTGTCATCCTGAGGAGGTCGTTTCACTCCAACAACAGGAGTAGGTGCTACATCCGGAGTAGCAGCTCCTTTCGTAGACGTTGAAGGCTTGCGGACACGAGGAGGAACCTTTGGGCGTAGGGCGACCTTGGATTTAGGTGACTTCGGGTTTTGGGGAGAACCAGCAGGTTGTGCTTGAGGGGTGGCTGCGCTCGTCGCCGGCGTGGAGACCGAGGGAGGTGGGGTTGGCGACGTGGTATTGGTGATATGAGCGGGAGGATTGGGCGGGCTTGGAGAAGGTTGAGCGGGTTTTTTTGTAACTGGTGGTTGTGGGGGTTGTTGGGGTAGTGGTGACGGGTGAAGGGGTGCTGGAGAATTGGTAGTCATGGGAGCAGAAGTCGGTTGTGGAACAGTCGGAGGCGGCCCAGCAGGAGCTGGACGATTTACAGAAGCAGGGGGAGGGGGGTTTGAAGGCCCCGAGGTATTTGCAACTCTTGCATTTATCAGACGCCGCCTTTGTTCGCACTCCTCGATCAGTCTCTGGGTTTGGTCGACCATGTTGCGAAGTGTCGTGAAATTGATGACGAATTGGGATGAGGTTGAAAGAAGCTCCCTTTGTCGTCTTACGGTTACAATCTGACAAAGGACATTCTCAAAAAAAGATGCTCATGTATGGCAAACAAAGGCCACCTACAATGACAGCAAATCTGCGAATCGTCTCATCGTGGTTGATGATATTCCAGTACTCCGGCAGCTTATTGTCAAGGTCGTCAACCAGCTTACAGGCTCGCTCCAACAACTGATCATACTCAGGCCGCTGATCGTCAGTTACGACCTGGGGTTGCATTGTGTCCAGGCCTGTCGAAACGGTTAATATCTTGGTAAAGTAATCGGCGGGAACTTACCACGTAATATGATTACGTTCTGAAGCTTCGCAAGATATGCCCTGGCAGACTCTGGCGGCATAGGAGAGTTGAAGCTGGATGACGGAACCGATGGAAACTGCCCGTCGGGCTTGTGATCGCCAACTGAAACGGGCATCAGTTGTGGGGGTCGCTGAGCGCCACCCGCAACAGGAGGCTCTGGCCCACTTGGCACCTGGATCTGCGAATTGGCCATAGTCTGCTTCTCAGCTGCGGCTCGTCTTGTCAGCTCAGCTTGTCGCCACTGAGCCAATTGGGGACGGTACACCTCAATCATGTCGACGGTAGCCTGGGGCATACCTCTGGCACGCAAGTCCGCAGCACTAAGATTGGCGTACTGTAGTATGCGGGGATCGAAAGGGAGGTTAGGCTGCGTTTCGGTCGGCATAGCCACGGCGGATTGGCGACCATTAGCAGCAGTCATACCATTGGCTGGTTGTTGTTGCTGCTGTGGCTGCTGCTGCTGAGTCATTGATCGGTTACGCACTGTCATGATATAGGCGCTTTCGAATTGCGATAGATGTTCCTTGTACGTGTGTTGTAGCTGCTGAGCAATGCCTGGGCCACAACGCGGTGGGTCACCGGGAAATTGTATCCAGCCCATGCGTCCGCCAATAACGGACCACCATTCTCGCAGTGTCACCTACAGAGAGCACGTTGAGCGAACTGCGCAACGTAGCCCCAATGCATATTTACTCACCGACATGTAGCCGCCTTCCTGCAATACCTCAGCATGCAGCCTATGTAGATCGACTACGCGGTTCTCAGCAATCGTAACTTTCATGTTGGGAGTCATTCGTTGGCTGCGGCAGAACTGTGCATACGTCGACTCAAATCTTTGCGCGTCAAGCGGTTTGACACGTTGTGATTGGACGACCCCTTGGCCGTTAGCAGGTCGCACTCCAAACTGATTCGCATTTGCCACGTTTGGAGGTATGGAGTTGGTTGCTTGGCTAGGTAACTGGTGTGACCCTGGCACAGAACGCGCTGGGAAAGTATTTGGACGATTCATCTGTCCGGGCTGCGCGGAAATCTGCTGAGGAACACCTGCTGAATTCTGAGGAACGGCTGGCAGAGGAGAAGTGCCATTGCGAGGGGGGGTCATGGAAAACCCTTGCGAGGAAGTCGAATTGACCTGTGCAGGGAAGCTTTGCTGCGGCGCGACAGATCCTGGTGCTTGCTGAGGTGGTTGAGCAAGGGATGGGCCATTTAGATTCCTTCTCAACGCAGAGTCAACAACCCAGTTATAGCAACGGAAGAAAAACGCACAAGTGCGACATGTTAGCGGGCATAGTACCATTGTGCTTCTGTTGAGCCGCGACTTGTGAGAGATATGCATTGAGCATTTGAAATTGATGTCTCTTAGTGTTGAGTTCCATGCGCATCGCCGCAAGCCTTGAAGAAGCGGGTTCCGGAATATTCCCTGCACGAATGGCGGCTTCCGCTTCGGAGATTTTCTGCTCCACACGGGGGATGCCATTCCTCAATAATTGATACCTCTCCATGCAATCACCCAAAGTTAGCCTCTGACCATTCTGGACTTGAGCCTGAGTATTGGGCAGTGAGACCATTCGATGAGCAGACGAATGGGGTGATCCGTGCATTTGATCTGGATTAGGAGACATTACAAACACGTCCGTGGCTTGCTGAGCAGCTGGTTGGATACCGAAACCTGTTTGTTGGAGGCGAGCCATATCCACGCCGTTGGGCGCCTGCTGATTTTGGGATGCCATGAACTGGAGTTGACGGGATACATTTGGGTTGTTGATAGGTGCCTGTATCACCTGCCCTCTAACGAAGGGAGATTTCATTTGGGGGGTATTAGCGGGCATGTTTAAGAAATTGGACGGTATAAATGGTTGGGCCTGGTTGCCCTGAGAATCGTGAAAAGTAGCGCCCGGTGGGTTGAATCGTTGGGCATTAAGTCCGAATGGCTGTTGCTGCTGCTGAGCAAGAGCCTGTTGTCCTTGTCCTTGGGAATATGCTTGACCTCGAGCATAGTCCTGCATTAGAATGGGTAGGTCAGCAAGTCATGACGGAGAAGGCTCGCCCGGAGACATGCTATGGAGAACAGCACCGACACCCAATAAACAAGTACGCAGTGGCCATGTCCGAGCAATGCCACCGTGAACTTGGGCCTATCGGTTGCAACCAATTGCTTGTCTACTGGAGACAACCAGAGAGAGACGGAGGGAGAGGTACTTGCCTGTTGGTTCATTTGGGGGGCAGTCAGGTCGCCAGACGGTAGGGGCCGGTAAGAATTCTGCATCTGGGCCTGCATCTGGCTCTGCTGATTTTGCATTTGCTGCCACATGCGCCCTGCTTCGGGGTTAGAGAGACTTTGCATCATCTGAGGATCAGCAGGTTGCTGAGGCTGCTGGGACTGCTGCAACATCTGTTGCTGGGCCTGTTGCTGTACGGGTGTTTGCATGATGTTCTGTGAGAACATTGGGTGGTAAGACATGCGATCGGCCATAATCCGAAGTGGCCGGGGAAGGCTGAGAGGACTTTAACGCTGTACTTGCACAGCAAGAGCTGACCACAATACACCCCACGACGGGAAGAGGGGCGGCAGCGACGAGACTACTCAGAGGGCGAGGGGACAGCGCAGGACTGGGACTGAGTGGGTGTCGCAAGCACAGAGGGTGCTGGGTGGAATGGGAGCGCATGCAAAGCACAGACCATAACAAACCATATTCGGAGTTTGAAATCACCGCAACTTCCTTTTAGGTTCGCAATAAATGCCCCTCATCGGAAACACCCGCGCGAAGCACCGCCGGAAAAGGAAACAGACTACCACATCTACAGATGTCCATACATACATACATGTACATGCATACATACACCAAGTGCCTGGCAGCCTGCTGCTGTCACTAAACTGAGGGTCTCCATTCTTCTGTCGGCTTGAGCACGACAGCCGGGCCAGCCTCTAGAACGACGTCTTCATCCCCGCTGTCGTCAAACAGCGATATCGATGCTTCACTGCCCTCGTCGTCAGTGGGGTCGACGGCCTGTCGAATCGCCGTTTTCTTGACACGTGTTACTGGCGACACAGCCAGGACACGATCTCCATCTTCTGCCAGCAGCTCATCGGCTTCCTCGATATCTGCTGCCGATGCCACCTCCCGTTTAAAATAGGTTCGCAGCCCAACAGGTATCAACACGCCGACAACGACCGCTGATAATAAGAAAAAGTTCCTCCAGGAGATGAGATGGAAGTCGTCCGCCGACGTCATTTCGTTTAAGCCACGGCCGATCGTCGTGTGGATGACCGTGACACCAAACACGCCCAGCCAAGTGCTTATCCAGAACGGAACGAGCCCTATTCCGACGTGTGGACAGAGGACATTTATTACCCAATGCGGGGGCAGGGGTGCGATGCGGAGGACGATCAGGAAAGAGAAGATATTGTCTTTCTGAGATGCGAGCTTAACAGACCATTTGTCGAGGTGGGACTTCCACCTCGGGATTGTAAGGAGGGCGGGACCGAACGCAGCGCTAATGAGGTAGCAGAGGGAAGCACCCGTCGCAACACAAGTACATGCCAACGGAAGTGCACGTGGGACCCCCCATACTGCTCCACCGAGGATGGATAGATACATAGATCCGGGTAGCGAAAATGCTTGCAAACTTAGGGGCAAGGAATGAGTATAATGGGGGTAAAAGATAAGCGACGACTTACAATAAATACGTTGTGACATAACAGATTACGATACGGTAAGGATAGATGTCGCGGTACTTGTTCAGCAGGGCATTGAGTGCTTGGAGATCGTCAAATGACGTGGGTATGTGAAGCGACTCCCGGTCGTCACTGGAGAATCAGTGAGTGATGTGGTGTGCAAGACACTACTCACTCTTGGAGGGTGGGCAGGGCAATCCAGAGGACGCCGCCAAGGACAAGGGAACTGGCTACAAACACGACTGCCATCCTGATGGCAGCGCTGAAGAGCAGCTGCGAGGAGGTGGGCCGTTGATCGTGCGAAATGCTTGGGATGGCCCCATAGATATTGTTATCTGATGCTGTTGAGGGCAATAGGGGTGTCCTTGAGTCCTCTTCCTGCTCGTCGACACGCACGGAAGCCAGGGTGTACTCTGAAGCATTCGAGTGGTGCATGGCAGGCGGACGAGCTGTGCAGTGCGGCGCTGGTCCGTGCCGGTATTGGTGGTGTGGATGACTAATGAGACCGTGGGAATCACTCGGCAACTTCCACAAAGCAAGGCTGGATTAAGATTGGGGACGAGTAACGCGCTGAGCTCGTGCTGAGCACAACACCGCTGCTGTGCGTGTGTGCAGGCAGGGACTAGGAAGCTGATAGCTGGATAAACCAAAAAAAATGACACACATACTCCCTCCTCACACCGACCTCAACCTCTCACCGTCCCTACACTCCGCTTTGCAAATGGATCAGCAGCAACAGCACCTCCAGCAACCCCAGCCCCAACAGGCCCAGCAACAGGCGCCCCCTCCATCGAACAAGAAACGACGAAAGGCGGACGGAAGTGAGAACGGCATCAGCTCTCCTTCAGAACCGAGGCGTCTCAGACGCTCCCATGAGGCTTGCGCACGATGCAGGAGCAAGAAAATTAAGGCAAGTCCCGTCGGTAGTCACCGACCGCAAATTTCCGTTCGCCTGTGCTGAACTGACATTCTCACTTGAAGTGCGATTCAAAGCATCCAAAGTGTACCGCCTGTGCGACCGCAGGTGTTCCGTGCCAGCAGGAAGATCGGCACAGACAGACCCTCACTCTCCGGGGTCACACCGAGTACATAGAGCACCAGCTTGCCCTCTGCGACGCTCTCCTCAAGCGCCATATCCAGGGCTTCACCCTCTCCAACCTCAACGAGATATGTGCTCGCGACGGCGTCGACATCGACGGTGTACCACCCACTCCACCTGACTTTCAGAACGGCCAATCGTTCGCCCAACCCCACGCCGGCGCACCTGCCCCCGCCTCGTCTTATTTCCCTCCTATGGTTCCCCCCGGCTACCCACATCCCCTCCCTATCTACAGCCCCTATGGCCACATCTCCATGGGTCCCCCAGGCACTTATGGTCCTCACATGCATCCTGGCTTCCCTCCCCCTCATCCTCAACCCATACCTGGTCCTCCCCATCAAATTTCCCCGCCCTCTGCTCCCTCTCACCCACCACCTCCCATATCTAGTCAAGAGGTTAAGGGCCAAGATCCCCAGTCGCTGGACATGTCCAACACACGAGTACGTTTTCGCTATTTTTTTTCGACCTTCCTATTCTGATTTGTCCTTAAAAGGCTATCGCGAAAAGTTTCGGGGTGAACCCCCTGATTGTCAGCGAGAGTCAGCTCGCCAATGCAAACGACAAGGAAGATCTCGCGGTTGGCTCAGGGGGCCTCACATCCGGTCGTGATCAGGGCATCAATGAGGCATCTCCCCCTCGTGATCCTGCGAAATGGATCAAAAGAACCGCTCTTACCGTCCCAGTCGGGTCTCCCTCCGTGACATCGACGCTCGCTTTTTGGCTGCCCAAGGACCGTAAAATGGTCAACAGGATCGTCGAGGTGTATTTCACTCAGCTGAACACCCATCGCCCAGTATTCTTCCGTTCTGACTTTGAGACCCGTCTTAACGCGTTATATGATGACAAAAACGTTCAGCACGACCCTGGTTTCGTCTGCAGCACGTATCTAATCCTGGCGCTTGGCACGTTGAGCGACTTAAATCACAGAGTTAGTTTAATCGACAGTGGTACGAAGGCACCCGGCGACAGCCCTATTCTTGCTAAGAACCTGTTGTCGAGCGACTGGCCCGAGTATTACGAGTTCTTCGAGCGAGCCCTTGCTGTCAAGCCACATTTGCGTGTCACAATAAGCAGCCTCCAAGCGCTTATACTGCTCCAGTGGTATCTCTATACGGAGGTGCGTTATTCATATACATGATCACAAATCACGTGTTGATAAAGCGTCATTCATAGCGACAAGGTCGTTCCCTGTGGCGACTGGTAGGCAGTCTCGTCAGGCTCGCCATTGAACTGGGTTTGCATCATGATCCCACTTCACAGAGCCACACCTTTACCGATGAGGAGGCGCAATTGAGAATTCGTCTATGGGGTATTGTCATGGTGCACGATCGGGGTACCTCTATTCTTCTCGGTCGTCCACTAGCCATCTCTCCGTCCGATTCTAATACACCGCATCCCTCCCGCCCTGTGAAGGGGAACCCGAATGATTTCACTGAGCATTTCCTGCTCTCGCATCCCATCGCCGAGATTCAAGCAGATATTATCAATTCGCTTTATGCTCCAGCGAGCAAAAGCGTTGACACAATCATGCGTCACGCTACCCGGATCATCAAAAGCATGCTAGAGTTTCGACGACAGCTTCCAGAGAGTTACAAGCACTACTTCAGCGGGACTGATGATTGGCCACTGGAAAAGCGGCGGAAGCTTGTCCAAGACATCACTGAAGACCAGGGATTGACTTTACTCAAGTTCGGGATTTCAAGAATTTTGCTGTTGCGAGCCCTTTTTAGCTTGAAAGACCTGGATTACGCTCATCGGTCGAAGGCGCTGATAGATGGTGAGCCTGCCGCCTGACTATATTCTTCATCGGGATTGACATGTCGCATCAGCCATCGTAACCTCGCACAACATCATCGTTGTCCACAACCAGCTGATTCGGTTCCCAAACATTGCATTCTTCGTGTCGCCTATCCCACTCCACATCGCAGCCATGGTCATCCTCTATGGACACATGTCACATTGTGATCATCTCACAAGACAGGTCATGATCGAGGACGTCTGGATGGCACTGGACATGTTGCCCCGCCTCCGGTGGCGTTGGGAGCGCAAGGACCTCAATGGCGGACATCCACTTATCTCCAAACTCGCGGAAAAGGTACTTAATGTCAACCTTCGAAGCATTGGACCTACCAAAGATCCCGTCCTTATCCCGGAGTTGGATTGGGAGACGGATTGCCCAGGGGGGAGCATGCTCGGATCTCCATCTCTGATGTCTCACAGCCAGATGCACCTACAACAGAAGTCATCAGTGATGGCACATCCGCAGTACCAGAACGCCGGCCACGTGGGGCCCAGTGTGTATGGCCCCCAGCGAACGATTTCGCAAAACACGACACCTGTGAAAAGTGTAGGTAGTGGATCAAGTGGCACTTCCAGTCCCGAGAAGCTTGCGGAAGTACCCGCTGGACTATTCTATCCCTTTTACCCTGAAAATCCTATGGGTGGCAACCAGATGTCAGGCGCACCCGGTGAAGGCGGGCCTGCAAATGGTGATGGCAATAACGGAGACTACACCCATCTGTTGGCCGCTGCGGCTGCTCAACCCAATGGATCGTATGGATGCCAACCCTCTCAGGACTCGTACATGTTGGAAGAAATTTTGCCTTCGCACATCCCACACAATAATGGACATGCTGGCACAGCCTGGGGGAATATTGTGAGTGATCCACGGTTCCCGCGTTGTCCGCGCTGATGAACGGTATTGCGGGGACTCCGTAGGCGCAAAGAGGTAACCCTCAATACATGACAGGATCGCAATGAACTTTGTCTCTTCGTTGGTTGAGGCTGTGGCTGGTCTTCGATGACTACCCCTGTGGTCCTTATTCGTCATTATGTGACGTCTGCATTTTCTGATATTTTCGTGTACTTTATCCCTGCAGTTTGGCTTCACTTTCGTTCCCATCACTTGTGTGCTTTTGTCATTTCGTCTTCTCCTCGCTTCCGAAATTTCTCTAGGTTTCGTCAGTAGTCGTGTCATTGTACAAAATTGTGAACAAGCCAATTGTCTCGGTGATGTGAAACACAACGCCCACTTGAAGGGTCATTACAGTAATTTACAAAGGTGAGGCTAGGGGTAGGGATCCGGCTATGTCACATCCAATGCGGAAGCGAAAGTAAGAGCAAAAGATGATCTCATAATTTTATGCTAGTACCTGCTCCAGACGGGCAAGAACAAGATCGATACCCCTGATGAGGAGTGAGACTCTTCTTGGGAGCAATACCACTCTTCGGTTGTCTCGGTCGTGATTTGTTGGTTGCCGGTGGAGGCTCGCGTTACTTCGCTGCTCCTCGATAGCTTTTTCCAATGTGATCGGTAACGTAAGGGTGAGGCGGGTGAGTTGGATGGTGAGACGGGAGCGACTGGTTATGTCTAAGTATGGCAGTTGGCGGAGAGCGGATTGAAGTTCGAGGACACGGATGCATTCTGCGTGAAGGGCGACAACGCATGTGCGGCAAGCTGGGTCAACGGTGGCCAGGGACGATCAGTTGATTAATTATGACAGAGACCGATGAGAGCCTTACTTAACATGCTCTCGCGGACTCCGCGAAGAACGGAAAGTACGGAGTCGATGCTCTCATCGCTTAACTCGAGGGAAGGGCTCAGGTCACCGAGCGCTCCTGAGGGAAACTTAACGCAGTTGCCTAGGTGGGGGTGGTTGCCCACTCACGAAGTAACATATGTACCATCTCGAGGTTGCCGTCCAGAAAGTCGCATAAGACACTCCTGAGGACGTCCTTCAGAGTGTTGCCTGCGTAATCTGCAGAGTGAAAGGCGAACACGTCTACTTGAACGTGCGGGGGTTGGGAGTCATATTTTCGCTTAGATGATGGTTTGGAAAGGACGTCATAGGCGACAGCGACCTTTTGGAAGGCGTATGTTGCATCCGGGTCACCAGGGAATTTACTGGAGACGATTGAAATGGTACTGGTGAGTCGATAGAAGAGACTCGCACGTACTCTGGATGACAGGCCCTACTTCGCGAGAGATAAGCCTGTCGGAGGGCACGGCTGTCCACGCTCTGAGAGCGAGGAACACCAAGAATATGATAGAGGTCATTACTCGATATAATCTCACGGATTTCTGGAGAACCGTGCTTCTCGCCTTCCAACGATGATTGGTGGGAGGTCGAAGATTGCGGTAATGTGCTTAACAGTGCCGTTGGCTGGCTCATATTTTCAGGACAGAGTGTCATTGTTGTCTGGACTACCCCCGATCCAGCAAACCGCGAGGGCCACCAGAACGAGGGTGCTGCACGGTAACTGAGATCTACTAAGCATAGGGAGTGAGCCAACCACACCCACCTGACGAGAAAACGTAGGAAAACATCACGCCGCCCTGAGGAAACACATCGAAGCTATGAGTACATCAAGCGTGCCTTGTGATAATCCCAGTCACAACTCTAAACATGTCTACATACTTCCATCTAAGTACTTACCACTACATATGTATCACGTGGAACAAAATAATGTCCATCGGCAGGCAATTACACCACCATTGCCTGGAGCTCATCGCAGAATCTGCGCATGGACTTCCTGACTTCGCCACGCTCCCCCATTGCAGTTAATCTGATAATAGTACCGTCCATGTCCGACACGTCGACCTTTGTCAAATCGTATCGCCCGAAGGCCCAGTTCAGGATGTGCATCCCTCCTTGGAGGCATACAAGTCCTTTGACCCTCCACACTGATTCCTTGGGCACGCCTTCAAGCGCTGAGCGAAGGAAGGACTCCTCAACAGAGTCACTCGGGGACAACCCGTCCTGTGATATTTCTTCTGAAGACTCGGTGACGCTACAGCAACGGCAGCTTGATCCATGACTATGAGCCGTGCGCGGCAAGGCACACGAGAGTCCCTTGAAAATCGTGATAGTTTGCACTTCATTATGGTGATTCTCTACCAAGGGTTCGTCGGATTTGTCCTTGAATAATTTGCTGTCAATGCCGAAGATTAAATTTGGGTCAACACCGTCACGTCCATTGCATCGGACTTTCGGCGTCAAATCGTTGAGCGTGTTGAGATGATCTAGGACGAGATCAAGTGCACGGTCCTCCAAATGTTCCCATTTGTTCTGAAAACACAGTAGTGGTTACGAGAGTGACGAGATGCTCGGTCGTATGAGTACATACGATGAGGATGAGGTCCGAATAACTCGCTTGCATCCTGGCTGTGGGAGAAGTGTCTTCGTAACCGGTGAAGTTCTCTGCATCGATGACAGTAACGATTGCGTCTAGTTTAAAATCGCCGTTCGTTTCACGCTCTAGTTCTCGAATTTGGAATGCGAGGGTAGCAGGGAAGGCGGAGCCTCTGAGTTAGCAAGTAACTCCGACGTGACTGAGAGACGACGAAGCGACATGCAAAATACTTACGAGCACTCTATGATGATGCGATCTGGACGGAAGTTGTCTAATCCAAATCTCAAGTTTAGTCTGGATACTCCATACGTTGGCATTGATTCGTACCTCTGATATCCAGCAGAGCGTTCTTCATCTGTCCAACTAGAACACAGCACCTGCACGTAGTTATCTGAGTTCGGGAGTTCGGCCACTTCGCAACAGAATGCACAAACATGCAGCCATTCAAAATTTCATTCACGGCTGCCAGGTTGGATTCTTTCGCAAGCTGGCTGTCGACTGACCGAGGAAGTCACCAACTTTGAGGGGGACGGAGCAAACCCTGGGGACGCTACCTTGGGTATCTCCAAACTCATTCTTGAGGAGGACCGCCTTGTAGCCCTTTGGTAGTTTGGGTAATAAAGAAAGAATGATAGTCGTCTTTCCTGCTCCCAGATATCCTGTGAATACGGTGACGGGTATCATTTGAGACGTTCCCGGCGAGCGGATGCTGTTCGCGCCCTTTCCGATCGCGATCTCCCCAAGTCACGTGCCGGCAGGGTGTGTTGTGGTCTCCCCTAAGAAGACCGTAGTTCCCTGCCGAATCCGCATGCCCATAAGCCTATGGCCGGTCGCAACAAGAAACAACACTTTCAGCGATCTACTGGCCGTGACAGGCTGGTCATCGATGCCTCTTACTTCGCTGCCGTCCATACATACCTCGCACTTGTAGCGTTCGGTTCAGCTTTACTGTTGGGCTGCGCATTGCACTTCAAGAAAATCGTCAAGAACGGTGTTGCCGGATATCCTGACGAGTGGTTTCCATCCGTGTCCGCTACGTGAGTTTCAGTTTGGGAACGCTTCGCTTCGCGCTCATGCTTATGAATTGCTCAGCATTGGTGATTGGTACCCGGAACGCAACCTATTCCAGATCCTCATTGCAATTACCAGTGGTCCACGATTCTCCATCGTGTTTCTCCAGTACTTACTCCATCGTCAGCCCCAGTCGAGCTCGCCAAGATGGTTGTTTCTCTTTGGCATCATACGGACACTTTCTTGTGGTGGTTGGGTGTATATCACTTCAAACGACGATCATGACGTGCATGACGTGCTCATGATCTTGTATATCTTGTGTAATGTTCCCTGGATGCTGGGAGGCATTCATTGTACCCCGGCGGGCCACACAGAGTCTCGTAGAAAAAGGTACGTTTCGTTCCTTAGCTAGTCAGCCTCATTTAACCAACAACCCGCTTAGAAAACTCGTTTCCACACTGTATGTCGCCCCTCCTACCCTAATTTAGACGGCATAATCCCTGCCCTGCAGGTTTTTCGGGTCCATAATACCCATGGTCTATTTCTTCGTCCAGCATAAAGTGTACAAGATACCTGGAGGTTTGTGCCCTGCCGACTCTTCTTCTCTGACACCGTGATGACTATTTTCTTTCAATACGTAGCATATACTCGGTATTCCTTCTTTGAATGGGGCCTCATACTACTGGACATTCTTTATGACTCCATAACGGGAATTGATTTCGAACGCTCTAAATTACAGGCAAGTATCGCACTCTCTGACAAAGAATGTATAAGCTTACCGGGCGATATTAGATCATGCTAGGAAAGTCGTTGGACGCGGATGACAGGGGTGACTCGATGTACAGCCTGTGTTACTCTGTGTAATCTCGTCTGATCTTCTGAAAATAGACCGATACCTTCCACATCCAATCATTCTGAATCTTCGTCTATCGTGCGTCAAAATACTGAAGCAGAGCATCCCGCGCCTTCCAAGACCAATGCAATTGATGCTCCTGTGAAATTGAAGTCGGGTAGCCTTGTTCTCAACATGTTTGCTGCCACGCCCCAGTTTCGGAGCGTTCTAAGTTTCATGGCCGACGTGTATTTTTGTAGGTATATACGAAAACTCGCCATGAATTCAACTGACTTGCACATAGCCTACTTGTTCTGGTCCAATGTCACGTCCCTGCTCACTACGCTCTTCTACTTTTCTATTTGGGAGCTAGGCTTTTCCGGCTCAGAGGCTGCCCTATTCGTTTATCTTTCTCCTGTATTGTTGGGGATTGCCTCTTTGCGCCAGTGGGCAATTACCACGCAAGGCCGCGTGGCACTGCGCTTGCTTTCACTTGTTGGTCTCGTTGCATACAAGCTCGATGACCCAGTGACAAGGCTATTTGTAGTTGGAAGTGCTAACTTGGTCAGCCTAGTCAGTCATTGCAGTGACTGGATGGCGTGTCCAGACGCATACCAAGGGTTACGTGAGTTCTCTTCCGTTCAGTTTGTTTATATGCCATTATATTGTTTTCAGTCCTGGGAGTGGGCTTGATACTGTCGTCATTGTCGAAACATGCGAATCATTCCAACAATCCGGGTACGTACTATGTTGTCAGCTGGATTTATTTCCTCACCTTGCTTGGCTAGTTTGGCCAATGCTAAACGAAGAAATCGGAGGTTACAACAAGGTGGGAATAGCGTTGGCCCTTCTTGCACTCCTGGAGTTGGGCACGCGTTCCCCTGCACCCCGCCGCACCTCTATGCCACCTCAAAAGGGAGCGGGCGCGAGCTCCTTTCACAAGCATGACATTGCCAACCATTGGTTGGCACCGTCCATTGCTTTGGGTTCTTTGTTTTTTACGTTGCATTGCCTGCTCACAGACTCCAGCACCATAATAGCCTGGTCTTGGACAGGCTACGAGTCCCGCAAGCCGAGAGGACCTTTGCCACACTTATACGGCGCTGTCACAATTCTGGCACAGTCATTGGGACTGTTGATTCCAGTCGTCCTGCCATCCCATGTGGCGTCTGCATTACTCACTCACATTGCTTGGTTCGCGTACGGCTGCGCAAGCGCCTTCATCATGTACAGTTTCAGAAATTGGCTGGGCTTCGCTGGTGGCCTCAATTTTGCAGTCTTCTGCATGTCGATAACCCCCTCAGTTCTGTCGCAGGCCGCAATGGGTGGAGTTAACACTCCAGGTCGAACCTTGTTTCTGGCTTTCTTCTTCGTAGTTGTATTTTATGTCGCGAATGTGTTCACTGCGGCATACGCGTTTGTGCCGGGTGGTGTGTACTTCAGGGAAAGGACAGATTTGTAGGTCACTTCTTTGTCGTTTCTCCGGGAAACAGCTAATGTTGCAATAAAGGGTCCTTGTAGCACAACTCGCAGCGATGTCATTTGCATTTAGGTGGCCAAAGACAAAATTTAGGAAGCTTGGCCCTTCACTTCATATTTCTGGAGCAACCGCATCATACATTGCGACCCTCCTTGTCGTGATGTCGCTCACCTCGGTACTCGTCACTATCTTTCACTGGCCGATGATTGGGCCCAGCCCCTACAAACCTGGAACTGGGATACTTAATGCGGGAATATGGACCGTTCACTTCGGGTTTGACAACGCAGGGCGCGATAGTCAACGTCGGATGCGAGATGTCATTAGGTGGGTCCTAATTCGTGCATTGTAGTATACCCTGTTGAAGTGAATATCAGAGATATGCAATTGGATGTGGTGGGCTTGCTGGAAACGGACTTGCACGTGAGTATGCAGTATTTAGCCGGTAAAACATATGTTAATATATGTGGAAGCGCACGGTGTACGGGAACCGTGATTTGTGAGTGTCTACTTGATTATTCTCCTGACATAAAGTGTGAATTCTGTCTCGCCAACACAGGACCCGCGTTATAGCGGAGGAGTTGGGATATGTGAGTCTGTGTCCTGTTTCCAGGGGGCTATCTTACCGTTTCCTTGAGCAGTATGTGGATTTGGGTCCGGGACCCAACATGCACACTTGGGGAGCGGCCTTGCTGTCAAAAGTGAGGTTTCACAAAAATGATTTGACAAATAGGATGTGTTGGATATTAATTTTGCTAGTTCCCTATCATCAATTCTTCCCATCACCTACTACCTTCACCTCATGGCGAGCTTGCCCCAGCAATCGAGGCAACTTTGGATATATACGGAACCGAGGTGACAGTGGTCATTTCACACAATGGACAAGGCAGGCTTTTAAGTCTACTCCCGCATATGGCACCAACGATTTTGCAGAGGAAGATGCCTTAGATCGTGAATTGCAGAGCAGGGAGTTGGCACGTATCATGGCCAACTTATATCCCCGACCTGTCGTCTTCTTAGGATATGTGGTCACAAAACCACATGCACCCAGACGTACGTCTATCCAACATGGTCAGCAGTTCATAATGACGATGAAATCTAAGCTGCTCCATACGACTTCCTTGTAAATGATGGCTTGATGTACGACATCGATCCTCACGACATGGATAGATGGTCAGTCGTAACTCGTTCCACTGTCTCATTTGACGCGATTTACTCCCCCGAAATCTGCAGGTGTGAATATATTTTGTACAGAGGTCTCTATAGGACGGCATATGCACGAGTCTCCCGCGGCATCGTTACCGATACAGAACTACAGATCGGTCAATTTGTTGTTCCAAAGCACGGCTTCAACCTCGTCAATCAAACCGAAGAATCGCGATTATTGCGTGGCTGGAAAGAAGAGCTCCCAGAAGACCATGTCTGTAATTTAATTCTCCCTACCTCTCTAAAGTACTTACAGACTGTCAGTGGCTGCCAATGGAGTACTATGGTGATGAGCGGCAAGGAGGGGTGAACGGCCACTACTATCATGTCTTTGGCACAGTAAGTATCATCCAGTATCTTCCGTACCTTCTGCTTCGCTGAATTATATCATCCTAGCCTCTGTATTATAAACTCCCCGAGGATGCTCGTGTATAAGAGAATCAGCTTTCTTGTGATGAATTCCATCTTTCGGCCTCCTCTCCGCTTTTGTTTCCACTTTCTTCGCCGTCGTCGTCACTATCATCGTCCTCGCTATCGTTATGATTGTCTTCTTCTTTCCCACCTTCGCGTCTGTGTTCATCAGAGGTACTCTCTGGCTCGCTCTGTTCGCTATCGCTCGCGTAGAAGCTATCGAGGTCCTTCCATGTTTCCCTCGCAGTGTTGGTGGGTGTTGAGTTAGTAGGAGTAAGGACGATTGGTGTGATACCTGCTGTGCCCGCTGGGTGAGATGACGACACTGAGGCTATTGACCGTAAAGCCGGCGCAGTGGACGTATCCTCCTTATTTTCGCGTAGTGCCGGGTCGATCCCTGCTTCGAGCCACTCTGGTAGGAAACTATCGGCATGCATGTCTTTCCCGATAACTAGACTGAGAGTGCCGATAAGATAGTTGTGGCCTACTAGTAGTGATATAGGTGGCCAATCTCTGGTAAGGATGTTTGGATACGCACCAGTGAGTGAGGTATTATCCGCTGTTCCTGCCTTCCCCTCAAACAACACTTTCTTGACCTGCTCCCTGCGCAAGACGACCCCTTCCCCCATCGAATTTTCAGGTTGCGGTCCGTTTACTGATGGCAGTACGCCAGAGAGCAGCGAGGTGAGCATGCGGGTTCGATCCCGAACCTCATAACTCAAGTCGTATTTGCCCAACGAAAACACATAACGACACAAAAGCTCTAGCCTGTGGTCACTAGGACAGAGAACAAACAACTTGGCAGCAAGGGTCAAAGTCTGCGTTTTCACGATGGAATCCTAGTAAGATGGCTCTTAAGTCGGGGACAACGCAGACCATATATCAGGGCGTACTTCTGCAATGAATGACTTAGCTGCCTTTCTTAGTACGTCAGGCGCCCAATCAGCGATCCCATCGATAACAGTACCCCCTCCTCCTGAAGGACAATACTGGCCAGTTAACCAGAGTACACATGCCCGCGCCCGTGGGTGTTTAATATCGTCGATCCTCTGTGCTAATTGCGTAATGATCTTAAGAGGATCTTGTGAACGTGATTCTCTTTCTGAGGGGTTTTCATGGAGCTGGTTCTGGACGAGAAGCTTGAGGACTACGATGGCGTTGCTGATGATAGTGTCTAATGGCTTCTGTTAAATGGCAGGTGATCAAGGTTAAGGAGTGGAAAACGTGCCGTTCCGACTCCTTATCATAGCTAGGAGTGCCGAGATACACTGCCGAGCGCAAGTGGGTACGCGTTGTGCACATTGGCCGACAGCATGAATGGCATCACCGACCACGAGATCATCTGGATCATCGGCATAATCCTCAAACGACATGAAGGGAAAAAAAGACAACCAAAATTTTTGTAACTTACAATGAACTCACGCAGTAGCGCTTGGTGGTTCTCAGTGGTACAAAGATTCAGAAGAATCTTAATCTTATCTCTCTTCACCTGTTGTGGATCGTTGGTACAAACCAGAAGGCGAGCGTAGTGCGATGAAAAAAAATGCTGTAACAATGAATTTATCGCTTCTCTGAACAAGTAAACGCGGCCGATGGCTTACTGGATATTCGTGTACTATAGCTGAAATATAGGGAAGAACGATTCGCTCCGTCTCCTTCGAGATAAGCTGGATTCGGAGCAGAGGGTTGACAACTTTGCACAAGGATGACGGGCTGCCTATGTAATAAAACACACGGATAGTAGCAAGGACCACCTGTAAATATATTCAACTGCGATATTGCTGAGAAAGGGTCGCTACATACGGCTGGATTCCTGGAGTGAAACAATGGTTCTGCTGAGGACTGTAGCAACTGCAAGTCCTTATCGAGGTCTTCTGACTCTGAGCCGGCATCACCAGCGATGGTGGGTTTTGGAAGCATCGTACGCGCATATCTCAGCAAGAGATTGAGAAGATTGACTTGTCCCCACTCGTCTACATCCACAAGCATTCTGCATAGCCTCCTGTACTGTTGGTGCAAAAGATCCAACCGCGTTGGACACACCGACTCGAACGCAATGACTGCGCTGCCTATCGAAAGTGGGGAATGATCCTGAAGGAGTGACTGTATAACGGTGATGAGCGTGGGTTGCTGAGAGGGATCTAGCCTATGCAGAACTCTTAATGCGAGTCTGAACGAAAGTGGCGAAAATGGGCGTACCAGTGTGCCTTGGGAATGGCTAGAGCAGCAGCCTTGCGGACATGCGGACTGGGGTCTGCAGCACACTTCTTGATAGCAAGAATGACGATATGACCTATCATGGGGACTTTGATGCCACTCAAAACACGCAACGCCATCGCCCTGATGAGCGGGCTAGGGTCAGTCAAGTCCTTCTGGAAAGCGTTGATGGACAGCAATGCAAGATCGGGCTCGTGTTCAGCATAGCGGAGGAGATAAATATATACGAGTTTTCTAATCTCCAGGTCTTGAGAAGCGACATTCTTGACTACCTGAGGAAAGTAGTTCGACACATTCCGGCCTTTAGATGTGAGCTGGTAATAAATGGGAACATGAGAGGACGTCGTAACTCGCAAACCAACGAAGCAGACGCACCGCAATGAGACGCTTCATAGCCTCAAGCCTCTCGCGATCACTACCGAACTCAAGCTGCCGGCCGATGTTTTTGTCGTCGGGCATGTCGAATAGGGACGCTCCACCCCTTGCAATCGACAGATCGCGAGTGTGCTCGTGCAACGTCTCCTGTATGCGCATTCCAAGCCTCGCTGCATTTTCAGTGAGGGCGGCCAAGTTTACGCTGTCCATCATTCCGGGGCTCGCGAAGTTGGCCGTCGATGGGAGTTGTGAATTCAGCGACACAACGCCATCGACTCCCTCACGTGATCATGTGCTCACTGGATAACATGATAGACATTTGTAGACATCTGGTACTATTAAATGTTCCATCATGGTACAGTTAGACAGTATCAAGGCTCCAGCGAAGCAGGGAACGTTCCATTGTCTCTCTGCTCGTCCCACTTAGATGCCTGTAGCGAATGGTGTCAATCGCAAACATGCAATCGTCCGCTGAATGATACCATACCCATTCGTCTGTCAACGTTGTTAGGATATGAAGAATGTGGAGTCTGATTGAACTTACTAGGACAGAGGGAGTGGTAGGCCCGCTTGAACTGCTTGCAAGGTGCAAAATCTTCGCCTTTAGCCGCAACACACTTGAAATAATCGGTGTAATTTTGCCAACTGTAATAAACAGTATCATAAAATATGCAATGACGGACGCTCACAAGTACTTACCAATGGCGCGTCTGGTTGGTATTTGGGAAGCGGGCTAATAATATTGGTCTATACCTGCGGGCTTTGGTCACTCAATGGAAACTTACCGTCAAACCCAGCGGTCTGCAAAACGTATTTGCTGTATCAAATAATGAGACGGGACACAAAAGTCCATCAACCAAATACTTGCCTGGACAGATCACCGTCGGACATTTGTGATGGAGCGTCGCTGCGTTGTGACAAAGGTGGACAGGATGAAAACTCGGAATGCAGCGGGAAACGAAGGCGAACGAGGGATTGATTATGTAAGACAGTCCTGGGAACCTCCGTCATGCGATTGCTGTTTCCTAGCGTAACCTGCTCAGCCAGCTTTTGTTGTACCCCGTTGCAAGCAGCTTATCCATGGAAGCTTTGAAAGCCGAAATTGCTGTCAAACGAAAAACGGTGGAATCGGTCTCAAGTTCCAGGCCAACCAAATACATGCGAAGGGGAGACATCGAGCGGCTACAGGAGGAAGAACGTACATCCCGCAACGCAAAAGAACACACCGCCAAGGCTATCGTCCCGTCCCAGGAACCCCGGGTTTCCGAGTCTCCAAAGCCTGAATCCTCTTTTAACATTTCGAACGAAGAAACAATCCGGAGACTTCGTGCAAAGGGCCAGCCTATCCGTCTATTTGGTGAATCTGACAAGGATCGGAGGTTGCGCCTGCGCGCTCTTGAGCTACTCGAGGAGAAGGATCACGAGCGTCAAAGTGGCCAGAATGACTTCAAGAAAGCACTAGAAGATGTCGAAAATGTCGAGAGGGAACTTAGAAATAAGAACAAAGAGAAGAGGAAGGGTGACGCGGAGGTCGGGGTAATTGACCTGGACTTGATCAAGACGGATCCGGACAAACTATACCCACTCATTTATTATGCACTCAAACGGACACTCAAGGAATGGGAAGAGGCAATGGACGAGCGGCCAGGTATTTCTCTCCGACTACCTTTGGTTGGCTCCTCCAGCTGACTTAGTAGTACAGAGCATGTCAAGCGGTCAAATCAAGGCAAATTAGCTGCGGCAACTCAAGTGCAGTCTGCTGAATATCTGAAACCGCTTTTCAAAACATTGCGTTCGAGAGTACGTCGTCGCAATTTTTGGGATACTGTACCCGCCCTACTGAATCTGTTCTCGTGGCACAGTCATTGCCCTCAGATATGTTAGTCCGCATTGCCGAGATCGTACACTACATGCAAAAACGCCAGTACCAAAAGGCAAATGATTCTTACCTGAGGCTGTCAATAGGAAATGCGCCTTGGCCAATCGGCGTGACCATGGTTGGGTATGCATAGTACATTGGTTTGAAGAAGTTTTCAATCAATTACGCTCCAGCATTCACGAACGATCTGCCCGCGAGAAGATCTCGACAGATCAAGTTGCACACGTTCTCAACGATGAAGTCAGTCGAAAGTATATACAAAGCTTGAAACGGTTCGTCTTCTTCGGTTGGAGGTAGTGGTACACTGATTTGGCTCTGCAGTCTCTTGACATTTTCACAAACAAAGTATCCGCCAGAGGATGTCTCGCAATTGATGGGCTAATTTGATGTGTAAAGTTCATGGTGGTCTATGCTGTATACCAGTGTACTTCGATGTCGGCAAGAAGAATCCGCTATTATCTCTTGCTCTTTTTACCCCGTTTGTCATGTGGTTTATCCCCATCCAGTGGGGTTGTGAGAGCATGACCGGTTTCTCGAATGTGCGCGAAGAGTTTTGTCCTACTGCCAAAAGGTTGTTTGCAGACATTACACGTCTGACAATGAATTAGTAAAGTAACGGTGCTCAAGAATAACGACGGACCTGAGCAGGAGGAGGTTGCGCAGCCTTCCTCGCCTCCCTCAACTTCCTCATTTCTCTTTTAGACATGTCCGGCTTGATCGGAACCTCAGGTTGGTTATGCAGCGCATTATGATCAAGATCCGTGTTTGGTCGCTCCGACTCTTCGTCGGTCTTTGGCGTACTTGCATCCACTACGGAGACGTGGTCAGGTACCTGACTGTCCAATTCAGCAGTAACGCTCTCGTCCAGAGACGGGCTGGCTGCCGACCGTGGCGGAGGTGACACTTCTGCCATCACCCTCACTACCCCGTCGGACTGACCCATGTTATCACCAACTCCACCATCCACACCGTCAAGCCCCAACTCCGCATTTTCCCGCCTCATCTCTCGCTTCAGCTTCCCAACTTCTTTCATGTGCTTCTTACTTCGCTCGTGACTGTCCCACGCTGCCTCGCTCCTGAACGATTTTCCGCACGCGACACATTCCCACTCTTCCGAATCTTTCCCTTCAGCTACTGCCCAGTCTAAGTCATCGTCATCCATCATAGAAGGAGCAGTCTTCTGCCACTCCTGCTCAACATATACGTTTTGCACATTCCGGGCGACTTTAGAATTGCTAAGCGGCGTAGACAAGCCGGACGCCTTTCGTGATTCATTCAGCTCTGCCTGGTGACTGAGGTAAGTTCTGTACCGCGGATCGCGTTTGCGGATGAAAAGAGCAAGAGACTGTAATGTAAAGTTCACGTGATCAGCATAACTCGGGGAATAAACCGTAGATCCAAAACGCACCCGGATAGTTTCGTTGTATTCCCGCCTGGCATCGTCGCGTGCTTTCTTGTTCTCTTTTTCCATTAACCTTGGGTGTTAATCACTTTGTAAAGGTCCGTCACAAGATACATCCATACCACAAACCTTCGAATTCGTCGGTCAGGTGCCTCCGCAATATTGTACTTGTCCATCCACGTAAATTCTTTCATAGTCGAGAAGTTGATCCATGCATTATAAAAATGACGTGCTGCCTCGGAGGGCCTCTCACTTGATGACCATGTCCAGGTGGAGTATCCGAATGAAGGATAGTCGAGCGAGGCAATGTAATTTTCTTCTTGTGCTAACCTGGAAAAGAGATTGCGGTACAACGTGAAGAAACCCTTACAGGAGCAACGTCACTGGTTTATGAGATGAAAATGTAGGAAGGAGAGGACGCATTTACGTTTTCGCTATTGTCGAATGCAGACCACCGGGTCGCGTCAAAGAAGTGAGAAAGGTGTCGCACCGTCAGGCCACGGCCCCGGGTATGGGTGGCGGGGGCGCCTCTTCGTATGTTCTCGAACACAACATCCGAATCTGGTTCCGGACCCAAAGATGCCTTATGGGAATCGTACCACGCTCGTTCCTACTTGGGCAACTGGATGTTAGTCTACCTCTGTGCAGCAGCACCTATGCTAACAATTGCCATACTTGCTCGTCGCTCAACACCTGTCGGTGAGAGCCTTAGTAGATATCGCCGTGGGGAAAAGATAGCACACCTCATAAGCTTGCCGTATGGCCGCAAATCGCTTCGTAGCACCTTCGACATCGTCCTGATTCTTATCAGGGTGATGCGCGAGGGCAAGCTTCCGGAAAGATTTCTACAATAATCCAGTGCGAGGATGTTGATAACTATGGGAGTGCCCCAACTCGGCCCGATACGGACCTTAATGTCTTCAGTAGTAGCTGATTCCTCCACGCCGAGGATATCATAGTAGTCGGGTACAGCTGATCCCTGCGCTTCACCCCTGGCAGTCGACTCCTGCGCACCCATCAACGACGATGCCTGCGAAATTTGATGTGATAGATGACTTTTGACAACTTGGCTTCCCTCCTTTTAACTGCTGGTCAACGGACTGGAAGAACTGAGTTAGCTGATTCCGGTTGCTCCGTAGAGGCTGCCGGTGGTACTGTCATAAAAGGAAGGACACCTGGACTCAACTACAAACAATGGCCGGTACTTATATTTCTTATAATTGAAGGAAAACTATCTTCCTTCAAGCTACAAGGTTCACCCAGGGGAGACGAGCAACATCCGTGTCAACACCCCATCAACGTTGGTCAGAGAATTCGACAATATACTCTCGCCCAACATGCCCGATTTTTTCAAGACATCCTCGCACACCCAGGATTCCGCGCAAGGTGAACAGTTGTTCAAGTTCTCTTGCCGACCATTTGATTCACGCTTCGGATCGCAGGTACCAATGCGCGGAAGGAGGCGGTCATGAATTCTATTCGTTCAGAGCTCGCGCTCGTGAACGTGCAGGAGCTCATTAACGTACGTAGGGCTCTTTTACCCCGTCGCTGTCTAACTTGCGTTCGTGTCTCAACAGAAAGCTACTGAAAAATGTTTCACAAAGTGCGTACCGAAGCCCGGAACGTCACTTACGAGTTCAGACGAGGTATGTGTCCTCTTCTTTATGTGCGTCCTTGGTGAGCGAGAGAAAAGCTTCTATTCTGATAGGCTTGTCTTGCACGGTGCTTGGATCGTTACATGGAAGCATGTGAGCAATGTTATATTCCGCACAAAGGTCGCTTCCTAACGGCTACATTAGTCACTGTTGTTAGCAGGACTTATACTGCAAGGATTAGCAGGGAGAGCAGTCAGTTGCGGGGGGCTGCGGCGGAAATATAGGCACATAATTCTCAAGGATTGTGCGTCGTGGCATGATGTGCGTAACATAGCACAGTATTAAAGTACGGGCAAACAGGGTGGCTAATGTAAGCTAGTGGTTAATTATGGATTACGACGCTGTGGTACATCGTCAGCGTTGAATACAACACCTGGCATACCTGAAGCCAGAGACAATGGTGGGCGAGAGGCTCGCGCGTTTGGTACTATGCTCGACGGCCCCGCAGGGTAAAACGGGGTCGTCAAAAGTGGCGGAGAGGGACTAGCTAGCGGTGTATGCGCAATGCTGCCCGAGGGGGGTCGACCATCAGAAAGATAGGAAGAGACATGTGCGACGGCGGAGCCTCGGTAATCCGAAAAAATGGGAGGATTATTAGTCTGGATGGGCAGCCCAGAAGGATAGGAAGGGTATGTTGGACCGCAGTGTCCTTGGTGCGAATTTGAAAATGACGCGGGTGAGATATCGAAGGCCATGATGGACTGTGGCATTTCTGCGGGAGCAGGGGACGTATCCTGATTGAAATACGAGGGAGCGTGAAGGCGAATATCAGGGCTCGTTGTATGGGTATTAAGGTGTCGAAGGACGTGGGCTAACTGTACTGCCGAGCCGACTAGGTCATGTCTAAGCACCTTCGTTGCTTGCTGACCCTCTGTCCAGTCCGCACACTGCTTCCAATGTCGTACGGGTTCAGTACCTTGTGCGGGGACCGGGGGGGATAGAGTTTCGACATAAAAGGTTGGGGGGCGTGCGAGGAAAAATGAAGCCATGCCTGAGCCTGGAGCGGCGTTGGTGAATTCGGTGTCTGCTACAATATCGAAAGGGATCTCCATTTTGAAACCGTCGCCGGCAGAATGGATAAACCAGGTAAGGCAGCGTTTGGTGTCGCAGAGATAAGCAACGAGATCATGCTTGCCAACTGTGGTGGCGATGCGGCGCCATGTCCCGATGGAAAGGTCGGTACAAGGAATGATAGTGACAGCTAACGGTATGGACTGGTGATGAGGAGGTGATCGGCAAAGTGCTGGCGAAACTTACGTTCGTCTTCGTGCAGCATGTTGTGTAGCTCCGCTTCGTAACCCGTGGTGAGTTCAGGTGGAGTGTCAGGTGGGCTTTCAGCACTGTCACCGCGACCTTTCTTTCCGTCCTGAAGCTTCGCTTTGGCACGTCTGGGAGGAGGGTAGTGGGAGGTGGGGATGTGCGTACTAACACTGACCTATTCTGAAACCATATCTGAGTCTGGCGCTCTGGCATGCCTAACATGTCGCTAATTTCCTTTCTTCTTGCAGCAGTCGGACTTCTGTCCATGGCGAAAAATCGCTCGAGATGGACAAGCTGCTCTGGAGTGACACGCGACCGCTTTCTCTTCTCTCTCTCTTGCTTTGGTGCGATCGTCGCAGCCGACGACGATGATCCATCCCGCTGAGGTCCTGAGGCTGGCTCCTTGCTGGCGTCCATGGACTGGACTTGGAGAGAAGGAGAGAGAAAGAGAAAGAATAGACTTTTGTTGTCGGAGGTTGTTTCGTCGGAACAAATGATCTACCTGCCATCACAAAACAGAAACCGATCGCGGGTGAGGTAAAAGGGGAATCCGGCTGTTTACGTAATCCGGGTGTCAAACGACACATCACCCAGCACAGCCACTCGGCCCGACACATCGTCCAATCGCATCCTGCCAACTCACGGCCCAAATTCCACACCCAAAATAAAATAAAATACAGATATACTTACGCGCTTTTTCATGCCCTACTTACACACCCCATGCAATGCAGGCTAGGCAGCGAAGGGAATTATTAACAAAAAAAAAAGAAAAAAAAAAAAAGAGGGGGAAGAGTGGATCGAAAGAAAGCATGTCTCACCCAACCGCAACTAATACCGTGGTCGCTTGGCGTCGCGGTCGTCATACCCACCCGGTGCTTCGCGCTTGAGGTCACGACTGTAATACCCACCGCCAGGAGGACCATATCCTTGACTAGGTGGATTCCCACCGTACCCACCTGGTCCGGGACCATACCCATTGGCTTGGCCATCTCCGAAGCCTCCTTGATAGCCGATGCCCGCCCCGCGTCCTCCCCTGTAAGAGACTATCAGCAACGTCTCACTTCAATTTCACCATTCAACTTGCCTATACCCATCGTCGCGTCCGCCACGAAACCCTCCGCCACCTCGGAACCCTCCACCTCGATCGCCGAAGCCTCCACCTCGAAATCCGCCACCTCTACCACCCCTGAATCCTCCACGGTCGCCATATCCACGACCGCCACCACTAAACCCTCCACGGCCACCCTTATGTGATGAGAACGCTGGCACTTGTTCGACAGGTTTAGGTCGACCTCCTAACCCACCTCCCAGACGCCGCGGCTTCCAGCCTCTCACAGTTCGCCCTCGCTCGACATCGACGAGTATCCGCTTGCCCATTATATGAAGACCATCCGATTCCTTGTACGCGGCTATAATGCAGATCAGAAATGAGAAATCTTTCAAGTCCATAAACAGTTTACCTTTCATATCTCTTTCGCGTTCGTATACGATAAAAGCATATCCTCTGCTGCGTCCCTTTTTGTCACGTACGATTCTTACCCGTTCAATAGTACCAAAGCTTTCAAACTCGCGTCGCAAATCATTTTCCGTTGCTCCCTTGTGCTGTAACAAAGTACGTCAAAATCAACCACGCAAACGTCGAGTCGACGCGTACCAATCGAGATATGAACAATGTCTTGTACGGATCACCTATAGCTTGGGCATCGTCTGCAGGTTTGTCTGGTGACAAAGCGATACGTTAGAAAGTTGAACCTCAAACGAAGTCCGACCCACAAGTGTCTTTAGCAATTTTGAATTCTTCCTGCTTTCTTTTCTTGCGTTCCTCTCGCCTGATCTGTCGTTTGACTTCTTCGGCTAGGGTAAACGTGGGCTCCTCCCCTTCTTCCATTCCATCTCCATTGCCGTTGAGGTGAACTGCCGCTTCCTGTTTCAGCAGCTCGAGAATGTTTGCAACTCCAGCGACATTTTTTGACCGCACACGATCGATATCCTTGCCAACTGGACGCTGATACGGAAGAGGTGGTCGGGGTGCAAAGAGTTTTAGGAGGTTTTGTGGCAGCAGATGAGTCCCAGACATGACTTCACCAGAGTACACGTATAAAGCCGCCCGAACTGCAAACCAGACGAGCGGGAAACCTGAGTTCAAACTCCGAACCGGCCAATGGATTATATAAGCAATACTGGCTTGACCAACTTCGAATTGGCGGCGGACGATGGTAAGCAGGCTGCTCGTCGTGTCCCGAGATGATATTCACCTTTGATTTGAACGTTGTGTCGTAGCTTATATTAGGAATTTCGTCTGCGAGGACACCATGTAGTCGGTTTTTGGCCTACCGTGCATCCCGACCATTCGCCCGTGTGCAATATCATTCGGCCTGTTCTCTGAAGGGTTTTTCGTCCTTTTTCTTTCACAACGGTCTGTGGAAATCAGAGGCTGCGGTTGGTGGTAGTCACGGACAGTGTGCTGTTCGACATTCTACCCATACTTGTCCTGTGCGGTTCGCCGATTTTCGGGAAACCTCCCTGGACACTCCCAGGCAACTTCTGAATGTATACGGCCAGCTATCCAAGCTGCGTCTGACAATTCTGGTCATGCTTTCGGCGACTTCTGGTGTTGCCATGTCCCCTCTTCCAACTACTCTGCCCATCCTTCTATCTACCGCACTGGGAACGGCATTGTGCTCGGCCTCAGCCAACACTTTCAATCAGATACAGGAAGTTCCCTACGATGCCCAGATGGCTCGCACACGCCAACGGCCCCTAGTTCGTCGCGCCATCAGTCCTTTGCATGCGACCGTCTTCGGAGTCGTAACTGGTATCGCCGGTCCGGCTCTGTTGTGGACCATGACGAATCCCGTCACTGTAGTGCTTGGAGCCACCAACATTGGTCTCTACGCTGGTCTGTATACTTGGCTCAAAAGAAAAAGTGTTTTCAACACGTGGGTTGGCGCCGTTGTTGGCGGAATACCTCCGCTGATGGGCTGGACAGCTTGCGGTGGCAAGTTACTTCCTACAGCTGACCATCCTGTCCATTTCTTCTTGCCCTCGTTCCTTTCGGATGCACCGCTGGACCCGTCCATGGCCGATAATCCTCTTGGTGCCGTAGTTCTTTTCATTCTGTTGTATAGCTGGCAATTCCCCCACTTCAACTCGTTGTCACATCTCACGAGGGCCTCTTACGCTCAGGCGGGCTACAAGATGCTCTCGGTACTTTCGCCCAGGAAAAATGCTGTAGTTAGCTTGCGGCACACACTCTTACTACTTCCTCTCTGCTCATTGGTGTTCCCACTCTCTGGCCTCACGACCTGGGGCTTTGCCCTCACATCTTTTGTGCCGAATTTGGTGTGGATAAGGGCAGCACTTGCATTCTGGAGGACCTGCGGGGAAAAACAAGCCAGGAAAACGTTTCAACACAGCCTGTGGTACCTGCCGATGATTCTGGCATTAATGATGCTACACAAACAGGGCATGGATTGGACGGAGTGGATAAGAGGTGACACAACAATACTGCAGGTTGAACGCCAGAAAAGCCAGAGTGAAGCAAATTAGTATTGTCTATCCTCGACGTAATGTAAATTGCCTCACGTACAAGAACCAGAAGAGACGACCGTATACCGTTTGATATGTTTCTGACATCAAAGGGGTGCCGGTTTACTTCAGTTTCTCAGATTGTATTGCCGCGCGTTTTCGCCTAATGGCATCCAGGCGGTTTCTCATCGCTTTCACCCTCATATCAGCTTCTTCCTGCGCACGCTCCTCCTCAACCAGTCGATCCAGTATGAGCTCCCGTTCCTCGTGCTCCTTTCTCTGCCTTGATGTCTCGTCCGATCGAAAGGCTGTCTCGTCCTGCTGAGCCTGTACCTCGACAGACTGGGATCGCTTTGGGAAGCCTTCAGCCACGTCTGAGATAAGTTGGGGTTCTGAAACAACCGTTGCACGATCGTATGCTTCGCGGTGATCGGGAGTGTTAAGGACATCCTTCTGGAACCGGATCCACTCCTCGTCCAAAGCCGGATCTCGTGGGGATATAGGTTTGACAAGACCCAAGGGAATTGACTTCTCGCTATCATGGGAATTGCCAGGAGAGGGGTCGAGGACATACGGGGAATCCGAGAAAAAATCAGCAGGTAGGTTCTCGAGCAATGTTGACGCCGTAGCCGTGTCCGTGTCAGCTTCTGGACTTGTTTTCTGTCTCTTCTGCGATGCCCCGTTAGCCTCAACTGCCAGTTCCAGCTCGTCCGCCCTCCGTTTGGCTCTCTGGGATGTTTCCTCGCCAATCAGATCTTGTGGCTGCCCTTGTTGCTTCCCAACCCTGTCCCCTCGCATACGAGCTGCATTGACGCGGTGCGCCTTGCTCCCAACATGACCCTGCCAAGCAGCAGCATGTTTCACACTGGTCTCGCAAATAACACAACGGAGCTGACCGCTCGAAGTGTAGGCAGCTAAGGGGTGGTCGACGCGTGCTTCCTGTCGCTTAGCCTTGAGCAGTGATCGAACGTCTGACATGGGTTGTGCTAGTAATACTGCCAGCTGTTTAGTTTGGCAAGATGCATGCCACTGCCACATGGCTTATGTAATTTGTGGATGAACAAACACAACAATTTTGCTACAGCTGTCCCACAACATTTTTAGAGAAAACTGACTTCAGATTTGGAATCTACATGTGAGACAGAATATGTTGAAAAACAGTGTTTGTAAGTTGTTCCCATGCTTTTTTGGGACTGCTGAATTTTTGGCCAAACAAAGTGTGAAAGTTGTCACACATGTGACTCTTGGACTCAAGCCCAGTCCAGTCTGGACCCCTAGTCCCTATCTTTGGTCAAGTCTGGTCCTACTTTGGCCTAGGTAACTCAACTCTGGCCCTAAGTAACCCAACTCCAGTCCAGATAATTTGAGTCCAGTACTTTACCTCTATTTCCAGTCCACTCCAGCCTCTCAGCCATGTGCTGCTCCACCCTGATCCTCCCAAGTCCATGTCTGGGACACCTAGACATAACTCCAGTCTGTTTTCCTTTGTCTATGCTATATTTAGTCTAGTCCCCTTTTCTGATCTATCCAGGATGCATAGCAGTCCTGGTCTGTTTTCATCTTCTGTCACAGATGGTCATACCAGGCCATGGTCAGCAATACTGTAACTGTGTACAAAATTGAATTGACTTTTCAGTACATATTTGCTTTCTTTTTTTCAAAAAAAAAAAAAAAATGAAAGGCAGTTGCATTACAAGTGGGTGATGTCATTTAGGATTTCATTTCAGTCACTTTGTGTGCTAGGGGTTTCCATACTTCTTTCCCTGATGACCATGCTGCTTTAACAGTTGTCTGTGGTTATGCTGACCATTGACATGCATGCCAACCAGGATGGTGTGTTTTTAACTTACACTATTCTGTGGGAGAAGTTTGTTTTCATGGGCTTTGCGTATGACAGTGTACACCATCAGCCCTATTGTGGTGATAATGAGATGATGATTGCTGTTCCCACCTCCTTGAAGGAGTTCATTGAACAGTTTCAGTTTTTGTCTCATGTTGATTTGTTGGGCATCTGTGATTGGCATTGGATTGTTATTTCCTCCTCTGTACCCATCCAGGCATTGTGTGATGCTATTTATCTTCATGCATGTACTCCAGGGTGTTGTGCTGGTCACTTTCTTTTTTGGTAGCTGCAGCAACAATGACAGGCTTGTTTTCCTCTGCACACTACAGTACCTTTGCCAACAGAGGATTATGTTGTGTGACGAGACCTAACAACAGGGTTTGTTGTAGGCTTGCACCAAGAACCAAAAGAAGAACCAAAAGAAGAAGTAAGGAGAAGAAGGAGGGAAGTGACTTAGAAGCAGACAGCTTTAGATCTCATAGACCCAAATGAACTAGCTTGGAGCTAGTCTGGGGATTGAGCAGTGGTACTTATACTATAATACACATGGTAGAGGTGGGGCACACATGAGGTTCATGACATCATAGTGGAGCAGAATGTCCTAGAAAGGAGGCATGTGGTAACAGTGAGACAAGGTCCAGACCAGAGTCCAGGCTGAGTCCAAAGAGATAAGACAAGACAAGATATTTGATAAGATGAAAGGGGAAAAGAGAAAAGGAAAAGTGTATGTATTGTAACACTATCCCCTCCTTAGAAATCGACTTCCAGGTGATTAAAGGTAGGGACAATGTCAGTGAAGTTTTCAAGTGGTTGGAAGAGGGAGTCAAAAAGGGAGGAGTCCATGCCACAAAGTTTCTGAGGGGCAGAGGGGTGACAGTGGTAGAAGTCCTTAATGGCAGTGGGAGCAAACTTCAGGGCAGACTCAGGTTCTCAGGTGCAGTCCTCATTGTGGTACCCCTTCCAGTGAACCAAGAACTCGAGCCTGTTTCTTTTAAGGCAGGAGTCAGTGACAAAATCGACCTCAAACTCCTCATTGCCCTCATGGTCCACCACTGGTCCAGGGTGAGTGACCATCTGCCCCTCTAAAGGTCCCTTGTATGGTTTAACCCATGATACGTTCACTACTGGGTGGATCCTAAGGGTTTTTGGGAGTTTCAGTTCCACCACATTTGGTTCAAGTGAAACAACCTTGTAAGGGCCAATCCACTGTTCAGTGAGTTTTCAGGAAGGATGGCCAGAGAGCAATATCCTCAAGGTCTCCAACCAGACCATGTCCCCAACAGAGTAGACAGGTGCCTCTGACCAGTGGGACTCAGAGTTCACTCTCATTTGATCAGTGGTCTTTTCAAGGGCCCTCTTGGTATCCTCAAGGACCTTGGCAAAGTCAACTGCATGACCCATATCAGCCTCTGCATTCAAAAGGAAGGGTTCAACACCCATGCAAGGAAGATAGGAGCAGGTAACTGAAAAGGGGCTCCTGCCAGTAGACTCCTGCCACTTGTTATTGTAGGAGAACTGTGCTACATTTAGCCAAGAGGGCCAAGAGGTCTGTCTGTCATTCATGAAAAGTCTGAGGTACTGCTGAAGGTCCTGATTGAGATGTTTGGTCTAGCAATCAATCTGGGGGTGGAAAGTGGTGGAAAGCCTGGGTTTGACCCTAAGTGTTTTGAAAAGCTCACTAGTAAATGCACTAGTGAACTGAGGTCCACAATTGGAGATGACAGAAGAGGGGAGGCCATGCTGGGTCCACATGTGATCCCAAAAGAGCTCTGCAGTCTGAAGAGAGGAGACCTCCTTAGTGGTGGGTGCAAACACCACCTCCTTGGAGAACCTGTCAACCACCATCATGACATTGTTGAAGCCCTGGGCCTTGGGTAACTCCATGAAATCAACCAAGATATCAGTCCAGGGTTGTTCCAGAACAGGATTAGGAAGGAGTTTGCTGGCAGGGGGAAGCCTCAATCTCTTGGCCATCTGACAGTGATGGCAGGCAGCCACATACCCTTTCACAAAGGTAGTCATGCCAGGCCAGACATAGCTCCAAGAGACCAGGTCCAAGGTTTTCTTCCAACCTGGATGACCAGCAACTGGTGTATCATGATGTTTCTCCAGGCAATGGATGTGGATGGCAGGTGGGACATAGACCTTTCCTGCACAGATGTACAGTCCATCCTGAAGGGTGGAGCCTTCTGGTTGTGGGGTGACTGATGACACAGACTTCAAGGTGACTACCAGATCAATGTCCTCTCCAACTATCAGGGTGGAAGCAACCCTTGAAGGGTTGAGAAGAGTAACACCCTGATTGTCTGCCTTCACCCCCTATTCATGATCCTCCCTGCATGACAATGCATCTGCCTTAGCCATGGAGGAGCTGGGTTTATGTACCAGCTTGTAGTTGAACTGCAACAGGTACTGGGCCCACTGTTGTCACACACCAAAGGTGTTGTGGACATGGTTACAGCTGACTCTGCATAACTTGTCAATGAGTTGCATGCCCATGCCATGCATATGAAGACTAAAGCCCTCATGCATAGAAAGTCTGCTGGACATGAGCAGTCATCCTTCACACAAGAACAAGTCATCAGTGCTAAAGAGAAAAGAGGAAGCAAGTTAAGTGTGCATTAAAAGTTTTTAGTGCCCATGTATGGCATTCTGGTTTTTGTCATATCTCCACCATTTCCAAAGATATCAACTCCATTCTCACACTTGCTTAAAGTGCTCAGCCATGTGATTCTGCCTTCCAAATTTGGAGAGGATCCTCACACCCTATGCATTTCTACAGCACTCCATCCATCAGACACTCATTTTGCTAAGACCATCAGAAATGGCCACATGGTGTGCAACCAGTGCAATGAGCTCAAGGAGTGCTGCTGGTGGCCAGTCAAGGGTGAGACCAGTCAAGGGGCCAGTCCAGCTGCTGACAAGGGTAAGAGGAAGGCTGATGTCATCTGCCAAGATACTCAAGGGTGCAGGTGACAAGGAGGATGACATGGGTGAGGGGCCATCAACATTGAAGACTGGTGCAACCAAGATGACCAGTGAAGGGGTCAAGACTGACTTGGTCACCAGTGCTCAGATGGAGCACCTGATCAAGGCAGTTGAATGCATTGTGTTGGGGTACCTTGGCCCAGGCACAGGCAGTACAGGACCAGACATAGTCTTTGACAAATGTCCTTAGGCTGGGCCAAGTGTATTCATGCCAGATGAGCTCTAGGGTTCTATTCTGGCTGAAGTGGCTGGACAAGGGATGGTCATGCTTGAACCTCAAGACACAAAGACAAAGGTCATTTGAGTCTAGTACATAGATTCTTCCATCTAGGTGGAGGAAGCTGGTGTCATCAACTGACCACCAGGAATCTGATGTGTCTGAGATCCAGATTTGGGAAACTGGGTCTGAGGGTAAAGCCAAGAGGATATCACTGTGTAGTTTCTCCATGTCCATTAGTGCAACTGCACATAGGACTGGGTACTCAAGGTAGGTGGCATGCAGGGAAGTGGCTAGTTGTTCCTGCATGGAGACTGGTCTGAGGTTCTGTGGGTTGACCTGGGCATAGTTGCTATCCCCCTCTTTGGGGTAGACATCCTATCATCTAGTTAGGGCATCAGGCTTAGCACCAAGTTTACCAGGTCTGAACTGGATAATCCTATTGAACTGTGATAGAAACTCAGACAAACACACCTGGCACCAGGTCAGTACCTTTGAGGTGGAGAAGTACTCCAGGTTCTTGTGATCAGTGGCAACATCAACTGGTACAGCAGAGCCTTCCAAATAATGCCACCATGTCCAGAATGCCTTGAAGATTGCAAGCAATTCCTTGTCATGGGTGTCATAGTTTAACTCCAGGGCTGTCTGGGTGCAAGAGTAGAATGTGACTGGCTGGATCTGACCATCACCACCAGTGATGGACCAAATACTGGCAATAGCATAGTTGGACACATCAGTCTCAACAGTAATGAGTGCATCTGGAGAAAAGTGGGTGAGGATTGGGGCAGTGGTGAAGGCCTGCTTGAGCTTATTGAAAGTCCAGCAGCACTCCTCAGAAAAGTTCCAAGGGGCACCTTTGCATGTCAACTGGGTTAGAGGCACCACTATGTCCAAGTAATTAAAAATGAACTGGCAATAAAAGTTGGCAAA